CTACTAGGATTTCTGCTCTTCAAGTTCTCGTTCGGCGGCAAGCAATAGTTTTGGTGGTTATTGGCTGCGGGGTCTCTTCATTACTACACTATTCGTTACGCTATACGCGTTTTTTATCATTGTACTACGCATTCGCATTAATAATATGGTCGCAATGGACTCTTATTCAGTGCTTTTCAGCGAACTAAGTGACGATTATTCACACCTAATTCGCATCTTATTGAAGCTATTTGGATGGAATCAGTACCTGCAAATTTCGGGAGGAAGCTAAATAACAAGATGGCGAAGTTGCTAATGGTCTAATAATTCGCTCTACAAGTAGGTAAAAAGCAAAAGCTAGGTTATAGTGAGGAGGTTCGGCCTTACGCGTAACAGCTGGTCAAACTTATAGGGGTCGCGCTTATTAGCTCGCTTATGCTATTGAGATTCGCTTAGATTCACGTAATCGGGGAAATAACCAAGTAGCCGTTTTCCTGATGAATCCACCTGTCAGCATCGCAAACACAATGACGCCAGCACTCCAAGAATCGACAAGGTGATTATATCGTTCAGTGATCGTCTCTTTGATGGTCTCCGGCGCGAGGTACGCCTCTGTTCCGCATATTATTTGTAGACTGCCACTAACGTGGAGGCTCGAAGCTTCATGAATTTCCTTTGCGAGTCCAAAATCTGCGACTTTGACAATGGGCGGGTCAGCAGATGTAAGAAGGATGTTTTCGGGCTTTAAGTCGCGGTGTACGATGCCCTGACTATGGACAAACTAATACCATTCAACAGATACACCAAATAAACAAGATAAGGCGAACGTACCGATAGAGCATTGGCAATCTGATACGTGATGTAACAAGCGAGCTGGTTTTCTGAGAAGCGTAAGTCACCAGGCAAAAGGGCAGAGTATACTACGAACTCAGGCACCCGCGAGAATCAATCAAATTCTGTAGGTTCCCGCCGTCCACAAGCTCGTACACAAGGCCTATAACAATAATGAGTGGATAGTTCCGATAGGAGGAAGCAAATTACGCACTGATTCTTGAGCTCTCGAAAAACACCTCCTTCAGCTGACAAAGATTTTCGTGCTGAAGTTTCTCGAGGGCAAAGATCTCCCTTGGAACCAAAAGCGGAGAAACAGCGTAGGCACGCCTAAGTGCCTTGCCATTGAGAACCTTGATTGCATACCACTTGTTCGTAGAACGCGAGAGGCCTTGGATAACGGTACCGAAAGTGCCCTGTCCAATTTGGTTCCCGAATTGATAGAATAACTCAACAACGCTCCTGTGTCGCTTGGACGCTCTATGGCGATAGATGTATCCTGTCATAGAGAAAACATAAGTTCGAAGCATGGATAAACACCACAGACAACTTACGGTAATCATGCAGCGGCGAATTGGGCTGAGCTTTGGACTGCCCAAATGCAATCTCGTCTCCATCTCTCAAAATAGCTGTCTTATCCTTTCCGACCTTATGAAGGTTGATCTACTGAAAGGGCTCATTGCAGCTCAACGAATACTGAAGGCTGATTACGCACCCAAGTACCATTCGCCAAAAGGTCCGTCACCGTGACAATAGATTTCTCATCGCTCCGTCCATCCCATTCAAATTTGCAATGAGTGCGGCCTGCGTAGATTTAGCATCATTAAGGCTGGCCTAACAACGCGGCAGAACGAGTGTAACACATACTAATTATGAGGCTAGATAAGACCATATTATTGTCCTCGGAGTTTCGACCGATAAAAAAAATGGGTTGTCGCTCGTAGAAAGCCACGCGGGTCAAAGAAGCGCCGCGGGGCTCGAGAGCGCCCCAGACGCGATCATCAAGCTCATTATCTCTGAGATGTCCGGTTTCCTCCTGAACTTCGGTTGTTTCGGTACTCGCGTTGTTCGTTGTGTCCATCGAGTACGTCTTCGCCAGATCCACGGTGGACGACATGATGTCGGAGGGAGGTTGAGACAAGCTATGCGTTGTTCCAGCTGCGAGATGATGCATAGGGCTTCGTTTATAAGTCAAGCACGGTAAGGGTAGAACCATTCTTATTAATGTCTTGTATTGATCACTAAGGTAACATCAGACTCCGGAGCAAATTTCAGTGGTATATCGTACGTACAATTTGGTCAGGGCAGCTGCAAACTGAAGTTGGCGTTCGGACAGTTAACAACCCTAGCGAGCACCCTGAATTCAAGAAAGAGGGCGTGAAATCGTTTTTTGAAATGGACTGCTTCGGTCTCACCGAGAGGAGATATGGCATGAATGTCGTAAGATCCTATCCTTCTTCGCAGGCCCTGGACCCTGGAAACTCGAGCTTCATGGGTTGGGAGAAGTATGCATGCGGTGCTTGCATGCAGACGCCTAGGTAGTTGGAACGTGTCCACTGCGAGGATAGGAAGGGTAGAGAAACGTGGCAGAGAAAGCGGGCCGGTGCTGAGTTTGCTGTGATGTTCTGTTGTTGGCGTTGATTCGCACGACATGGGCTACAATATTTGGAGAGCTAGATTTGGTAACTCGAGTCCGTGACCGGTAGTCATCGCCTGTGGGCGTTACTGCTCACGGTCACCAGTTCGCCCACATGTCATTAATCTCCCCCTCGCTCTGAACATTCCTCCCAGCGATAACGATCACTGCAGGAACTCATCGGCTTGCATCTATCGGCACTTTCACCCTCTTCTCTCCTAGGTTAGGCAGGTCTCAGCGAAGGGCGGATTAGGATCATGCCGATCGTGGCACTATTACATGGTAACGGCGACTGAGAACGCCTCTTGCGTGTACATGGGGCCTTTCTAATCCTTTGTTTTATCACTGGCAGATGTGACATGGCGTGTCAACGTCAAAAATTCTTTCGCACCATCCCTTTTGCTTTCATTCTCGCTGCCCAGCTGACATTCACGCAATCTCCCAAATCTCGTCCGCGGACTTTGTTCTTCAGCTGAAAACAACGTGGAAGTGAGGCTATTCCCCATCCTATATAGTTTCCTTTGTTGAAGGCCACCCTTTTCGTGTACCAGTGCCAAGATATCCCCCCCTCCGTAACAATCACAATCTATCTCTATCGGCAGATGTCCGCCGCACAAGGATCCCTGGCATGGCAAGCAACAGCGAAGACCTTCTATGAAGGACACCAGGCCACCCAGCACGCCAATAGTGACGATCCTCAGCTCCAGCACAACGAAGTGTGGGGTGTTTTACACCCCTTCAGCGCCTCGGTGGAGCCCATAGAACTCTCCAAAAAAGTCTTTGCCATTGGCCGAAGCGAAGAGAATGACTTCGTTCTTCGTGGCAATAAAATTAGTCAGTGTTGACTCTGGGCTCTTCTCCTGAAGATTGGTATACTGATATTTCCTATAGGCGGCAAACATTGTACTATCCAGTGGAACGGTCAAGACGACAACACCTCATTTGTTATGATAACGGACACCTCCACAAATGGAACTTGGGTAAGCATCAGTTCTCCACTTTACCCGGCCGCTCGTTTTAGTATTACGCAGATCGATGGAGATAGAATCTACAAGGATCAGTTCTTACTGCTAAAGGAAGGGAGCGAAGTTGTTTTCGGGCGACATCCTACTTTACCCGAAGTACCTGAACTTAACTACCGTAAGTCATCCACGAAAGCGTACTTTTAGCTATTAGCTGACATCTTTTCCGAACAGGTTATATCTACCGTCATACGGCCATTCCTGCTCCTCCGGGAAGCCTCCGTACATCATATGACATCGGCTACGAAATCGGCAGGGGAAGCTTCTCTACCGTTTGGTCGGGTATTTCTCGCTCGACGGGAAAGTGGTACGCGATCAAATTCATCGACACCCCCAAGGAGGTGGTCGATGCATGCGCCGAAGACTCAGAATCAAGGGATGAATCGAGGGCCAAGGTAGTGAATTATGTGAGAGAGGTTGGAATCCTCGAGAAGCTTCGCCATAAGAATATCTGTCAGCTCGAGGAAGTGTTTTATTCAGAGTGGAAAATCTGTGAGTCTCCTTTGTGATTTGTCTTTGACATGACATTTACTCGGATTCGGTATAGCATTAGTCCTTGAGTACGTGGACGGGGGAGATCTATGGGATTACATTCATGACCGCGTCTGCGTCGGTGTGTAAATCCCTATCCAGTTCCCCTATGACCCTGATCTGGTTGCAGATGAGGCCACGACGGGCGGCATCATGTTTCAGGCGGTCGACGCCCTTGCGATGTGTATTCATCTTTTACCTCTTGTATTTCACGTCGTTCTCAATGATCACACGTGAGCACAGTATATTCATGCCCAAGGCATTTTTCACCGTGACCTTAAGCCTGATAATATACTTTTAACATCCCATGAACCCCCCGTTGTCAAAATCGCCGACTTTGGCCTCTCAAAAGTTGTAGATAATACGACATTCCTCAAGGTGAGATCTCTTTCTCTTCGGGTAGACCTTAGCTCGCTGACACTTTTTTTGCCGCAGACAATGTGCGGTACAGCCTCTTACATCGCTCCGGAAGTTTTGACACAGGAGAAACAGGAGGGCTATGATCATCTCGTCGACTCTTGGAGTATTGGAGTGACTGTCTACACGATGTTGACGGGAAATTCACCTTTTGTTGAAGACTCGTCAATCGAGGATCTGAAGTCTCGTATCATAGCGCGTACTATTTACTGGGAAAATCTTGAGGAAATGGAGATCAGCAAGGACGGTTTGTCTCGCATCGTGGTTCATCTTCTTTTCAAAGCTTTCTGACGTTTCTATATTTATCGACAGCCGACGATTTTATCCGGAGTTTACTTCAAAAACTACCTATCCATCGCCTTTCGCTCTCCAACGCAAGATATCACAAGTGGCTCGTCAGCTTCGAGCATTCACAACCAGAACATGAAACACCCAGGGATCCAACGGCTCGAAGCGCTCTTTCAGAGACGGCATCAGATCTTCAGCATGAACTGAGCGTAGAGAAACTTTTGGCGGGTTTGGATGGTTAGGACATGCAAGTCGCTTGTTTTTCTCAAAATATCTCTGAGTCCGCGGTATGTATGCTCCAGCGCTTGACGTGGACGCCCAGTGTAATATGACGACCAAATGTGAAAACCAATATGATTTCTTCCTGTAGCTGTTTTGCATGGTTTTTGGGACCAGAAATGAGTGCCACCTCAAGTCTACTTTAAGAGAGTACGCGTATTTTCGTCTAGCTGGAAGACCGCAATTGCACACTTAGCGTTTTCAAGGGATTTGCGCGCGCAATGGGCCAGTGGTATGCAATCAAATCATATATACAAAAACGTAGCAACGTAAGAACGCCTGCTTATCCCGTCATGTGCTCAGCGCACAACGTGACGCAGTCTACGCAGATGAATATTGTAATGGATGAGTTTAAGAAAGGTCGGTCACTCATCCTCCCCCTTTCTGCGCTCAGCTTCTCAGACGCTTCCTCCTTTAGGCGCCGATATAGTCGATAAGGTTATAGTGGGATCGGCTATGTGAGCTAACCTATACAGGAAGCACTTCTTACACAAGTACCACTATTACCTTCAAGCTAATGCGTCAACAGACTTAGTGCCGAAACATTGCTGGCAAACCTCCAGCCTCATGTACAACCTCGCGATCGAGCGGCATATTCGCAGCGCAAATTTATGAGTCTTGTACAGACCTGGACGGCAAAGTCCAAGATAGCAACATCTTTACCCAAGATGTCCAACCGCTGGAATATCCCAGCATTCCCTGACGACCGTGTAGATACAACCTAAAGTATACCGGCGGAAGCATATTCGCAGGCTGGGAGAGCAGCTTGCCACGGAGGGGTTCTCTAGACGTAGCAGTCGGATCATGTTTCGAAATCCTCAAGGAAATGCTGTCGCAGGGACGATCCAAGCGATTTACCCCCATACTCGAACCCTGAAGGGTGGTCGAACGATTACTCAGACTTTCTTCACGGCTCAGCAGTATTAGTGCCGGACAGCATGGTCGCTGCCGATTACTATGGAACGTTACCTGGTCTGGGGTGTCATTTTATATCATCAGCTCGACACGAATGCCTGCGGCTGCTGACAAGCTCCGATGTCCTCTGCCACTTTGTGTATACATCATGCAAGTTTCGTGATGCCATTGGACAAGGTATGTACCGGATACACACGAGATGTTAGCTGGCTCTGATCACTATAATTGCACAGGATTGGGAAGGGTTCTCTTCGTTTATGACATCGAGCTTGTACTACACTTGCTCTTCGTTCTACGAAACGGTAGTAAGCTAGTGACGCAATCCGCCAAACGCCCAGACATACATGGAGTCAATCGTTACCGATAGCTCACTACAGCTTGGTTGCAGAGAGATTTTCGTTGGTCAGGTACCCTATCATGCGCTAAGATTTGCGACGCTATATATGTCATTGAACAACCTTATCACTAAAGCATCAGATAAAGCATCAGATATAGTAAATATCCAAGCCTGAGGTAACCTTCGGCAAGGTATCATGGCTCTCCGGTTTGGCGTACCGAGAATTGGTTTACAGGAGCGTGCGCGACGGGCCCCTGAGTACAGTGACGTGCTCGGGTGCTGCTTGGGCTGCGAATGGGGGCCAAAGTCAACCGAGCACAAGTTTGATGTGCGTGACGGCCACGTCGCTAACCCGCGGTTTGATTTCGCAACGAAGGTACATCGACTTGACGCCGCCCTCGCACTCGCACTCGAGCGCGAGTTTGACTTGGTCTTTGATGGCGATGTGTATGCTATCGTCAAAGTTCACCGTTAGCGTGTGATTTAAAGAGGGTGAAGGGGTATAACGAACCTATCCTATTTATCAGGCAGCAAACTCCCGCAGATTTTGGCAGGTACATGTATAGGAGGCTCGACAGTCTGGAGTCTCGGGGGTCCTGGCATGTCACCTGTAACAAGGGCTTCTCCACTGTGCGTCGACGAATTTTGTATGACGGGCCTTTTTGCTTGCGCCGAGAATGTCGCTGAAGAGGTAAAAAAAAAAGCGAAGGCAACCCTTCTGGCGATCGTGGAACATCGCCGGCGATGGAAAGTCCTGCGCACTGATATTAGAGGATCAACGAGAGCCCAAAAGGACTCAGAAGTCTCCGCAGCTACCCGTGAACTTGCATCAAACCGATGCAAGGCAAAGTGCAAAGGCCATCTCTTGGCCTAATATCATACTAGTTGCACAAAGCCATGAGATAATAATGGAAGGACAAACTGAATAGGACATACCTCTAAATACCATGCATAGGTATTTCCAGATCGTGTCTGACTTGGTAACAGGTGCGCGAGTGTCCTCGTGACGGTCGAGTTGATGTCATGCAAAGTCGCGTTGCGCAACATTTCCCGTATTGACAACGCCAACCGGTCTGTACAATGGGTAGAGCAGCGTAAGCCATAGCATGCATATGGGCTTGCTACGCCATGGAATCAAAGACTGCGGGCCTAGCGCCGCTGCTAGGCGGCTAATGTGGGAGCAGGCGGGCGCCTTTGAGATCTGTGGATGTGCCCAGTGCTGAAAAGGCGCGCGATCGAAAACAAGCAGCACATACCACATGGTGGGTTGATCATGATGGTGGTGGCAGAGCGCCGGCGCCGCTCCGTGGCATTTCCCTTGAACAGATCGTCATCAAGAAGCCACTTTGACTCGGAAGCCACTGACCTTTTCTCATGTCCGAGAGCAAAGGCGATTAGTCGCCGGCGGTGACGATAGAATTCGGACGTTTCGCACAAAGGGGCATACCTTTTGATGAGTTGCTCGCTAGCTAGCACACGAGCGTTTGTGGTATCGACGACTTGGCAATGCTTGAAGCGCCGAAGATTTGAAAGAGATCGGAAATCGGAAGTCCGCAGCCAACCAATGTGACTTGTTCCTCGCACTCGACTCACACATCCGCGTCACCCTGCAGAGGCCACTACCCTCTTTGCGACGTGTGTGTCAAGTGGCGAACATGTGGGTGTAGCGTTTCCTTTGCTTTGTCCTCTTCAAAGCTTGACTTGCTTTATTCTCTTTCACGCTTAGGCTTGTTCATGTGCGTCGTTTCCCGAGTTTCCACCGGGCAAAAGGCACAGATTGGCTCTCGTTCTAATGCTAGGGCCTCACCAAGCCTTCAGCTTCAGGGTACAACCATATGCATTGTCCTCCAAGATATATATACCCAGTAAAGCCACGCCAGATTTGTGAAACAAAATCCTGCCCACCGCTTATCGCAACCTGGTACTGTTGTCCTTCGTGTTTTACCATCTTCGTCTGTCGCTATCCACCATCAACATCATGCAGATTGCCGATGAACCTCTCAGCCAGCCTCTTGCAGTCGCTTCCAACAGCGCCGAGAATAGGAACCCCGAGGGTCACGAGGCAATCAAGCAATCTGCTCGAGCCTCCGATAGCATGTGGGGTATGCTCAAGCCATGCTGCTCCGCACTCAAGACCATCAAGTTCTACGAGGCTCAACCCGTTGTACATATTGGCCGCAACCCCATTACCAACAGCGTCGTTTTTCTGGCCACCAAAATTAGTGAGTGTTGTGTTCTTAACCATGCCTTTCCCTTCTGACAACACTCTGTCGTTTAGGCAACGAGCACTGCAAGTTTAAGTGGAATGGTAAACGTGATGCCACATCGCACGTAGAAGTGACGGACACCTCGGCCAACGGTACTTGGGCGCGTATCTACGTCAAAGGACTTTCTTCTTATGCTGATGTAATTATGGTTCGCAGATCAACGGAAAAAAGATTGGAAAAGGGGGAATCGGCATCCTCAAAGAAGGGAATGAGATTGCATTTGGAGAGAATCCTATTCGACGTACTTCTCCACCACAGGAAGACTATCGTTTGTTGCCTTCGTTGTTTTATCCTTCATCTCTCCCTGACCTGAAACGTCTATTACCTCTAGGTTATATATTTCGTCATATGGCATCTGAACCCGCCAAAGGTAGCCTGCATGCATCCTATAGCATTGGTCACGAACTTGGCAGAGGTACATTTGCGACTGTCATGAAATGCCTGTCACGGACGACCAGTGAATGGTTTGCCGTTAAGATCATTCATAGCCAAGCGGTCAGACGCATGCATGACGCATCAGGTACTAGTGATGCTGAACAGCACAAGATGGCCACGCTATTTGCAAGAGAGATCAGTATCCTCGAGACGCTTCAGCACAGGAATATTTGTCAGCTGAAACAGGTATTCTTTGCAGAAGGTGATATCAGTACGCATTTATTTTTTCGTACTTGACCTTGATCCTGCATTAAGACTGTTCCAATAATAGGCTTGGTGCTGGAACTCGTCGAGGGTGGCGATTTATTGGATTATATCGATTCTCGCGGAAGCCTCCGTATGTTGGTCAACCCTTCGCACCTTCAGTTGGCTGATCTGCATGTAGACGAGCCTATGGCTCAGCATTTTACTTTCCAGCTTGCTGAAGCTCTTTCTGTATGTGCGATTGCTGTATGTTTCTCCCTCTTGATCCTGCTGACTCCGCTTATTTTCAGTATATTCACGAGAAGGGTATCGTACATCGAGACCTCAAGCTAGAAAACATTCTTCTCACCACCGACAATCCCCCTGTCATCAAAATTGCTGACTTTGGTCTCGCTAATGTTATTAATAGGTTGACGCTCCTGAAGGTTTGTAAACTGTGTCTCGGCCATTATCTGTATTCTAACAACAATTTTGACAGACGATGTGCGGCACGCCTTCGTATATTGCTCCAGAGGTCGTGTCTCGTGAAAAGAACAGGGGCTACGATCACCTCGTTGATTCTTGGAGCGTTGGAGTCATTATCTTCATGATGTTGACTGCTCAGTCACCTTTTGTTGAGGATGAGATGATCACGGATGTCAGAACCCGTATTCTGAAACGTAGCATAGACTGGGATGTTCTTGAGAGCGTGAAACCCAGCGAAGAAGGTGTGTCCCAAGCCCCCCACCTCTGTTCGTACCTGTTTTGAAGGGTCATACAATAGCAAATCACCTGGTACAAAACCTGCTTCAGTACTTTCCCGCTGACCGTATGCCCCTCTCCGATGTCCAGAAGCACCCCTGGATTATCGAGCGTGGCTACATGCCGTACTAGTGTGCTGCGACCTTGGGCACATCAGTCGAGCCCACGATGCCCGGCCTCACGGGCAACCTGGACTTTCTTTCTCATTCTGTGGAGATGGTAGTGCGGGCAGTTTTAACACCAGGAGGAGGGTCGCGGAGCAGGGAGCGCCTGTAAGGACGGTACCTCGTCGTAAGCTACGGCTATACCCATAGTTTGCTCGTGACATAATGCTACTTTCTTGCATAGGAACTTGCTATTTTCTTGGATGAGCCAGCGTTCGCCGGCACATCCTGAAATATGGGATTGATATTGTTTGGGGTGATTACGGTGCCATAACCAATACCGCGTCGGGCGAGGACGCCCCCATCCGCAAACACTTGTCCATAGATCGCCAACAGTGCATTCCCTTCTGTTTTAGCACTTCCTCTTCTCTCGGCTTCCCCTTCCTTCTGGTTCAACCATCAACTTTGATTAATCTGTTTATTCCTATCTCGACGTATATTCCGCAGCTTAAACTTCATTCAACCGTTCCAAGACGAAGTAGTCTGTTCCCTCACCCACCGACACATCTCCCCTCCCCATTTGCGGACTCACGCACTGGAAGGCCGTTGTCGTATGCAATATTGACGCAATGCACATCCCACTGAAAGAATAAAACCATCTGTCAGTATCATCCATCGCGAAGAAAAAAGAAAAAGAAACAGAACATTGAAAGTAAGCATCGCACCTCAGCCGGCGTGTACACAATCGCATTCCTCATCTTTAGTAGCCTCAGATCCGCACTCGTCTCCCCAGTCAAATCAATGAGCTTCCCGCGCAAACTCTGCGCGAATCGTCTTGCACGAGCGCTTGGACCTTATTCAACGTCTCGATAGTGCTCGGCCCGTTGCCCGTTGCCGTCATAGACTGTCTCGAGCCTCTTGTTGTGCAGCACGATCGGCGGGAGCAGCGGCGGGTCCGGCAGCGGCATCGGGGGCGAGAACTTCTCGGGCAAAGTGAGGTGTACTGGCAGGCGCATCGCTGCGTGCAGCCACCGGCTTGAGACGACGGCGGTATGGTAGTTAGGCGGGGCGGGGTCGAACATGGCCCACGGGCTGCGGGACGTACACCAGGTCCGTGACGAGCGCGAAGCCTCCGAGCGTGAGCTGGAACAGTTTCAGCCCGACTACAATAGCCATGCTAACCAAGAACATTTTACCTACGTGATGAATCCTTCCGCCCACACCAACACGCTATACATGTGCAGGGTTGGGGTCGGGATGAGCCTCCTGTATGCGGGTCTTTGTTATGAAAGTGAAAAGAGAGAAGAACTCACGATACGCACGATGTGGTCATACTCAGCCAGCAAATCTGATCAGCCTTGGCGCTGTTAGCTATGGGTGTTGGACAATGCTGGATGACGTCCGAAGATATCGGACGATGTCGGGCGATGTTGGACGATGTTGGACGACGATGTTGGACGATGTTGGACGATGTTGGACGACGATGTTGGACGATGTTGGACGATGTTGGACGACGATGTTGGACGATGTTGGACGATGTTGGACGATGTTGGACGATGTTGGACGATAACGTTGGACGATGTTGGACGATGTTGGACGATGTTGGAGATGTCGGATGACGACGATAGGGTGCGTTGGACGATGTTGATGTTGGAAGACGACGATGCGTTGATGTGATCGGGAAGTCGGGGCTGGGGCGGGACACATGCTCCCGAGGGCTCGGTGCCAAAGTCTGGTATTCGTTTGAAAGCGGTGGGCGGGCCGAATTGCCGGAACTCTGAATCGGTCTAGACTCCATAGGCCACGCGAGGCCCAGGAGTTAGACTTTAAGATAACCGCCGATCGAGAATACTTTGAATGCGAGAGCGTGACAGTGGCATGTGTGACATCATTCTTCATGATAATGACAAGACAGCTATGTTGATTGTTATGATGAAGATATCTTAAACCCGCTAAGAGAGTGCTTTCAAATAGTTTTCAAGTAACACGCTGTCAGATACGGACAAATTATTGAAAAGTACCGGGACGACAGCCTTCAATAATTTTAAAGATAATTACTGCAGGGTTATCAAAGACCAAATTGACGGTTTGGGTTAGGATAAGTGCCATCCCTTTATTGAGAAGGTTATCGGATAATTATTCAAAGCGGCATCTTTAATAGTGTCAAGATAGCACCGCCGGGGTTATCAACAACATTATCCAAAAGCGGCTTCAGAGTAACGTTCACGATAGCATTTCAAATAGCCAAGGCATTGTTACTTGAAAGTCTGTCAGACCTGTCTCTGATACGGTTTCTGATAATGAAAAACTAATTATTTTAACCCGGGAAGTCCCGTTCACTCTATTTATTACGATATATTTCAAATAAAATGGTCACTTTTACTAAGAAATGTTTCCAGTGTCTCCGTCACTTTTCTGCCGAAAGCACACGCAAGACACTGGCAAGACGTTTGACTTTGCGTTTGACAATTGTCAATGACACAAACGAAAACATTACCATCTGGAGAGGACGTCATCTACGAAGTCATCAAGTGCTTCCGCCCAACCACAATCAAGGATCCAAAGTTAACGTCATAGCTGCTTATGTCTCTAGCGCCTTTCTCCCTCAACGGAAGCTGACTATTTGTCTTCTCGTCATGCCTCTAGTCTTCAATGCATAAGACCCAACTCTGTCTATGCCTTCCAGGACGCGTCACTCGTATAGCATTCTGCTCACCTCACTCCCGACTCTCGGTGATTCCCCAGCTTACTCAGCCCAACAGCCTGTGAAGACATGCGAAGAAGCCAATCATGACAGGGGGTACACACGATTAGATATTCACTTCAGGGGGTACCTATGTGACGTATAAATACGACCTCTTTGTTCCCTTCGTTCTGCACCCATCCTCATCTTCAACACCTCACACACTCAATACAACCTCAGCCTCAAAAGCAATGTCCGCATTCGCACCTGTCCCCAAGCCCGAGAACCGTCTCGCGCGCTACCGCGCCCTCTCTCCCAAGGCCGCCGTGCACGTCTCGCCGCTCCAGCTCGGCGCCATGAGCATCGGTGACAAGTGGGAGCAGTTCGGCATGGGAAGCATGAACAAAGAGTCCTCGTTCAAACTTCTCGACGCGTTCTTTGACGCTGGCGGCAACTTCATCGACACCGCGAACAACTATCAAGACCAGTCCAGCGAGGAGTTTATTGGCGAGTGGGCGGAGAAGCGCGGGATTAGGAATGAGCTGGTCATCGCGACCAAGGTGCGTGTCGGTTTACTATACTCCTGGTGGTCTTGAGCTTTCCGGCTGATGTAAATACGATTATAACCTGTATAGTACACGACCAACTACGTGAGCCGCGACGGGAAGACAACGCAGCGGGTGCTCTTTTCGGGCAACAACTACAAGTCGATGGCTATGTCTGTCGAGGACAGTCTCCGCAAGCTGCGCACGTCGTACATCGACATTCTCTACGTGCACTGGTGGGACTACGACACCTCGATTGAGGAGGTCATGATCGGCCTCAACAACCTCATCAAACAGGGCAAGGTTCTCTATCTTGTAAGTCTAGGGCTTCTACACCGTTCCCATATATGTTTCACTTACACATGTATATGAAGGGTGTATCGGACACGCCTGCGTGGATTGTCTCCAAGGCGAACCAGTACGCCCGTGACCACGGCTTGTCCGAGTTCATCATCTACCAAGGTGCCTGGAACGTGATGTCTCGCGATTTCGAACGCGAGATCATCCCCATGGCGCGTCAAGAGCGTGCGTCTCCCCTCTTCTCCTGCTAACACCCCGTTCCCCTCACTGACTTCCCTCCCTTAGGCATGGCGCTTGCCCCATGGAATGTCATCGCGGCCGGCCGCCTGCGATCCGACGAAGAAGAAGAGAAGCGCCGTCAGACCGGCGAAAAGGGTCGCGAGATCTTCGGTGGAAGCTGGGAGCGTTCCGAAGATGAGCGCAAGGTCGCCAACGCGCTGCAGCGCATCGGCAAAGAAGTCGGCACACCGCACGTCACGGCGGTCGCGATTGCATATGTGATGCAGAAGACAACGCACGTGTTCCCCATTATTGGTGGACGCAAGATTGAGCACCTTCAGGCCAATATCGATGCGCTCAAGATCACGCTCACGCCTGAGCATATCCAAGAACTCGAGAACATCGTGCCGTTCAGCCTGGGCTTCCCGTACGACTTATTCGTGAGTGGTGTTCTTATTTGTCCCACTGCAATTTTGCTGACAATTGTGAACGCTGACAGGGATCGGACAGCAACGAGTATGGCTGGATGATGAAGACGGCTGCGTGGTTAGAGAAGCAGCCGCATGCGAAGCCCATCACCCCCGACAGCGACTAGAGGAGCCGAATTCGAGCTCGTCGATCTTGTATATCATCAGTACTTCGTGTGTAATTCGAGAATTATATATTCAATATGACGCTACTCAGCCACTGTTTGTTACCATCACGGATATGGGCCGAGGACTGAGACTACTGAGCTCATCATCATAAGCTTACGCGCATATGTTTCGCTCAGCACGAGGTAGGTATCTGCGTCTCTACATGGCGATTAGACCTTCGATAATATGATCAAAAAGCTGCCGTATAGATTGTCATAGCTGTTAGTATGGAAGCTGGTGAAGGCTACAACATGTACTCTTACGAGTTCAAAGGGCACAACCGAAGTGGGAAAGCCGAGTGCCAATCGATTGCTAAAAAGTATCTACGAAAATGCAAGTATTTAAGTTCTCGAAAGCCTAACCTCGAGGTAAACGTGCGGTAAACATGTGTGGGTATAGGCGTAGCCGCGCTGAAAACTTACATGGTTAGTCGTAGCGAGTTAGATTGGAATGAAGTCAGCCGAAGGTGAAACTTCATGTCAACGAGGCAGTCTCAGCGAAGATCTTGTGTGTGGCAGTGTACCATATCGCGGCATCTTCCGCGTCAAATCTTCCGCTTTGACGCGAACCACTGGCGTTTTGTTCCCAAGGCCTCATCCCGCTTTGAGCGCTGAGCCCTCCACATAGAACATCCCCAACGGGAGGCAAGAATTTTAACCAATTAAAGGGTGTGTAGCTCTTAGCTAACACACAATTCAACGTTCTAATATTGCTTCAATATAGAGAGGATTGCCTGGTCAGTGCGTGCGAACTCGCAAAAAAGCTGATTCGAATTAAGCTGACACAACTCACAGGCACCAAAACGTCATTCTCTCTTACTTTCAACCATAATGAATGTGAATGTGTATGACTGAACATCCTTGCGCTGATCTCGTTCCATCTCATCGCGATTCCCCGAGTGCGTTTCACCCTGTTCCGAGAACCACGCAGCGCAGCCATCTCCTTGTAGATCCATTGGGATTGGCTGAGCACCGACGATCATGGTTCGTTTTCTCATCGTTGCTTATGAAGATCTTCACCAGACACTTTGCCGAGCGCTTAACTCGGTACACGCAAGCCTCGGGGCGGGGCAGGGATGAGCAAGCGACATACACTCCTTGCTGAAGGCTTCTCGGGGTGTAAGCAGCTTTCTAGTCATCTATGCAGAGCCACCGAATGCTGGTTGAAAACGAAGCCAGCTATAAAAGCCCTTCTTCGGCGGACACAAACCGTCGTCTACTCACTCTCCATCCCCTACAACACAAGTCATGTCATTTTCTCCTGTCTTGAGACCTGCCAGTCGCCTGGCCCGCTACCGAGCGCTCGCGCCCAAAGCTTCTGTCCATGTGTCTCCAATTCAGCTGGGCGCGATGAGTATCGGCGACAAGTGGGAGCAGTTCGGCATGGGCAGCATGAACAAGGAGTCATCGTTTAAACTTCTTGATGCGTACTATGACGCTGGCGGCAACTTTATCGATACGGCGAACAACTACCAAGACCAGTCCAGCGAGCAGTTCATCGGTGAATGGGTGGAGAAGCGCGGAAACCGTGACCAGCTCGTTATTGCTACCAAGGTTAGTGCACGCTGTTCATCTCTCGACGTTCCGTACTGATATCTCATACTCGGTTATAGTACACCCTCAATCCAATGATAAGACATGACAATGTGAGGCAGAAGGTCGCGTTTGGGGGGAACAGCCTCAAGTCGTTGCACAACAGCGTCAACAACAGTCTGAAGAACCTTCGGACGGACTACTTGGACATTCTCTACGTCCACTACTGGGACCACGAAACATCGATTGAAGAGGTAATGGATGGTCTTCACGCGCTGGTTCTGCAAGGAAAGGTGCTGTACCTGGTACGTTCCCAATAAAGCATCACGACTTCAGTCCTTCGGGCTCATGAACGCGTCAGGGAATATCCGACACGCCTGCCTGGATCGTTTCGCAGGCTAATCAGTACGCCAGAGACCACGGAAAGAGCCAATTTGTTATCTATCAAGGAGCTTGGAGCGTCCTTGACCGCTCGTTTGAGCGAGAGATCATCCCCATGGCCCGTGCTCAAGGTGAATAGTTATCAGTTCTCTGACAGTGGTGCTGGTTACTGAGATCGCACCCCCTTCTCAGGCATGGCCTTAGCTCCGTACAGAGTTCTTGCCACAGGTCGTCTGCGTTCAAACGAAGAAGAAGAACAGCGTCGCAAGACCGGAGAGCACGGTCGCACTGCCTTTGGCCTCAAGTGGGAGCGCAGCTCGACCGAAAAGCTCATGGTCGCTGCGCTCGAGGAGGTCGCGAAGGACGTTGGTGCGGAGCACCATACATCCGTTGCGATCGCATACGTGATGCAAAAGGCGCCATATGTCTTCCCTATCCTCGGAGGACGCAAGGTCGAGCATCTTGAGGCGAACCTTGAGGCTCTTAGCATCAAGCTCAAGCCCGAGCACTTCAAGAAGCTTGAGAGTGCTGTGCCATTTGATCTTGGATTCCCGTATGCGACCTTTGTGAGTGGTTACGTGAGCTCTTCAGCAACTGCACAATACTGAACTCGTTGCGTAGGGTAACTATGACGAGCGGAGCTTGGCTATTGCACGGCTTTCGGCGTATATCGAATATCATCCTCGGGCGCAGCCCATGGGCCCGGAGGAAGACTGAGGCATCCAAAGGACGTATGAGCGCGCAATCTGAAGTATTCGAGGTGGCATGTAACATGATTTACCTTGTTTAGTACAGTATAGCAGCCTTTGGCTTGCCAGTGTCTGTAGCACACGTTGTGAATTGCGATTAACAAAAGACGAATTTGCAGCGTTACGCTATGCAGCCTGTGTGGTTGATATGTGCAAGGTAAGTGTGCGCATTTCTTGAATCCTATTGATCGGTCAGTCCGCAAGATGATCCGTATCTATCACATACATAAAACGACTAGTGGAGATGTAGAGAATATCGTCCTCTAGCTCAGTTTATTATCTTAGCATCTAAACCTCTATTATCACTCGCATGACGTGAGAGTTTAATATCGTAATTATCTGATCAAGTCTTTGATTCAGGGCGCAATGTCTGTCCAATTTCGTGTGCTTGTGCACTTGTCGAATGTCAAAGTTTGCTCGAGAAGGCCGGCGCTAAAATTGAGCGCTCCTCTCTGCGCTAGCTCAATGATTAAGATCGGTGTGTCTAAGCCCACCCAGTAACAAGGTAGCGGCGTTCTTCTGCTTTTATCCATCCTCACTGGGGTGGCCGATGGCGATAATAGAAATGCACAAATGACGGTGATAGAAAGCCAAAACCAAAAAGAGCCGGGCTCGCTCTGGAATGGGCTAATCGACGAGCTTGAAATGGTCAGCTGAAATTCAGACTCTCGATCTTGCCCCCTACAATGATGGCGAAGACATGACTTATCTTTAGTTCGAGATACGAGATGGAACCCTGACAGATGCGGCGCAGCGCCTCATTCACGATCCTATGCGGTGCATTGTGGCCATGGGTAGATTCGTCTTAATGCTCTCACACTTTACAGGTCATATGTTACCGAAGGAGTGTGATCCATACTGGTGGACATATTGTCCATCCTGTAGCCGATTCTACGGAAGCCTAGAACCGGTACAGGAACATCCACAACGCCACTGGATTTTGGCCACAATTTTTGCTGATTATCCGAGAGGTTATTACCAGACTTTGACTTGACCATGTTTCTCGGAATTTCAAGCCATCACAGTAGGGTTTAATAAATAAGCTGGTAAATGTTCTATATCGCACCAAGATTTGCGATCTAGAATACTATCAAAAAAACATAACAGTTAACAGGGTGTGATGACGGTGACTCGACTCCAGCGTGAACTCAATGTAGAATGCTCTTTGGCAGTTGCATTACGTAGTCCTCTACGTTGAGCTAGAGCTGTGAAGTATGTCCATATCATGCACACAAAAGCTCTGTTATCAAGGTGTTATGCCACATCGCGGGTATCATACCTCGTGGGTAGCGCCACCAATCGCCCCATGTGCAAGTTGGAGGGGCGCTGTGGCAGGTATAAGATATGAGAGCAACATTCGAGAATCCCCACCTCATCCCACCGTTTGATATCACAATGGTCTGGAGTGCGTTTCAGGTCTCAGTCCTTGACCGTTTCTGGGACTGGCTGGGCACCGATCATATAATCGCTTTATTCTCTCGACCGTGGTGCCTTGAGACCAGCGACACATGGAGAATCGCTGAGAATCTGTACATCTACGCGTGCATATCTCTGCATACACTTGCCCTCCGATATTGCCACGGTCATGTCCGACGTGGGGGTCTCCCGCTTCCACCAGGCCCATACGGCATACCATGGGTCGGCAACGTTATTGGACTAGATGTTTCTCAGCCGTGGTTGACGTACACGAAGTGGGGCAAATTTTACGGTGAGCATTTTTTATATTTACGTACATTAGCTAGCACATACTCAGCGATGATACACAGGAGGATTGATATACTCGAAAATGCTGGGACAGGATGTAATTGTCATCAATGACGAACAAATCACCATCGAGCTGCTTGAGAGGCGGTCGACTGTATACTCCGGGAGACCTGTGTTGGTAACGAACGAGTTGTGAGTACAGTATAGTCTTAGAATCATATTTCCAACGATAAGAATATAACGATCAAAGGTTCGGCATAGATTTCAACACCGGCCTGATGCAGTATGGCCTGCACTGGCGGCTGCACCGCAAGATGTTTCATGCTGGGCTGCGCGCTGAGGTTGCAGAGGGCTATCGCCCAATTCAAATCGACAAAGCACGCCAATTCCTTCGCGGGTTGCTTAAAAGTCCCGAGCACTTCGAGGAGCATATGAAAACGTGAGAAAAATCCGATCTATGCCGGTAATTCAAACTAACAAACGAAGCAATTCAGTATGTCCGCAAGTATCATCATGGCGATCACGTACGGATATGACGCGAAGCCAGAGGACGATCCATTGGTGAAGAAGGCCGAAGATATGGTGAAGATGTTTCTCACTGAAATCACGCCCGAACGTGCTGCACTAATCGGGGCCATACCTTTCTGTACGTATCCACACCCCTACTTATGCGAGCCTGGAAGATTGACAGGGGGGACAGTGGCATATATCCCATCCTGGTTTCCAGGTGGAAGGTACAGACAACGTGCGATGGAGTGCAAAGAGCTCGCCAAGAAGGTGCTGACGGAACCGTATGAGTTCGTGAAGCAGCATCGCGTGAGTGTGACGTTTACGGGGGGCTTGAGTCTACTTTTAATATGTTAAATATATCCAGGAGGCTAGTACTGTTCAGAAATCAATGGTGTCCGATCTGCTAGATGCAAGAAATCCTTCAAAAGAAGGTCAATACGACATGGAGAAGGAAATAATGGGGGTCGCCACTACCGTTTTCCTAGGAGGAGCCGAGACGGTGAGTCTCATAGCCAATACGCCATATTAGCCTTAGCTAACCTTGATACATCCATCTTCCGACGCATGCCTAGACCTACACTACCTTGTATATCTTCATTCTTGCCATGCTTCTCTATCCCGAGGTGCAACACAAGGCGCAGGAAGAGATCGACCGCGTCGTCGGATGCGAACGGCTTCCGGATTTCAAAGATAGGCCGAACTTGCCTTACATCGAGGGTGTCCTTCGTGAGACTTTCAGATGGCACCATACGTCACCAATGTGTGAGTTGTACCAATTGCGAAATGTAGAATGAATCTGATAGCAGCGACGCTCAGCCCTTCCACGTGCAACAACGGAAAGCGACGTGTATAAGGGATATTACATACCGAAGGGTGAGTGACAACCTCTCGAGTCTCTAAGGTTCGTCATTCTGATTTGTGATATAGGAGCGCTTGTGCTGGTCAACCTGTGGTAAGCATTACCTTCCTTGATTAAAGAATACGCATCCTTACAAGCATTAGGGCGATGACCCGAGACCCTACCCGCTTCGCCTCGCCAGAGAGATTTATGCCCGAGAGGTACTTTGACTCCCCAGGACATCCCGCGGAGAAACCGTTCAGCCACCCGTTCGGGTTTGGCCGTAGGGTTTGTCCGGGCCGGTATGTAGCGGACGCGTCTATTTGGGCTGGCATCGTTTCTCTCCTCGCAACTTATCGCATCGTGCATGCTAAGGATGAGAGCGGAAAAGTCGTCGAGGTGAAAGAAGAGTTCGATACTGGGCTCTCTGTGTGTCCAAAATCATTCAGGTGTCGCTTTGAGAAGCGGTGGGATGGCGTAGAGGGTTTACTCAGTGACTAGTGAGCGCTTGAGCATTGACGTACAAGATGTGAAACACTGAATTGTTTCTGTATGGTTAGATGGTATGTACAAGACAAGGAAATTTGTCAAATATATCGATACAATGTACGCAGCCGACTGCGTGGGGGAGTTGTACGAGCTATCGTCCATGCCCTGTCAGTCATTCTCGTGAGCAAACCGAGTACCTTCAATTACGTAAAGAAAAACGCACGAAGAAGTTGTAGGGGAAGCCAGGACGGTACCAAGTTCTCAATCTCTTGAACATGCTCCTTTGTAAGCGTAATCTTGAGCGCGTTGATGTTGGCCAGGAGGTGCTCGATCTTGCGGCCTCCAATGATGGGGAAGTCATGCGTCGTCTTTTGCATCACGTACGCGATCGAGACCGCTGCCAGGTGATGCGTACCTACCTCCTTGCTGATGCGCTGGAGCGCGTTCGCAACCTTGCGCTCCGTCTCGGCACGCTCCTAGCCTCCACTTGCGATCGTGCGGCCTCCCTCGCCGGTCTGGCGTCGCTTTTCTTCTTCTTCGTCGGAGCGGAGCTTTCCACCGTTGATGACGTTCCAAGGCGCAAGGGCCGTACCTGCAAACGAGGGCTTAAGAAGAGCGTGTGACAAAACCGAAGGAGAAACGCACGCTCTTGACGCGCCATTGGGATGATCTCGCGCTCGAAGTCGCGCGGCATGACGTTCCTGGCACCCTGACAGATGATGAACTCGGACAGGCCATGGTCACGGGCGTATTGGTTAGTCTTAGAGACGACCCACGCAGGCGTATCCGATACACCCTTCAAACACGTGTGTAAGAGCAATGTATACCAGAGTGGCGGAGAAAACTGTGACTTACGAGGTAGAGAACCTTGCCTTAGCGGACAAGGTTGTTGAAGCCAATCATGACCTCCCCCGAGAATCGGAGTGTTGTAGTCCAGTGCACGTATAAAATGTCGATGTACGACGTACGCAGCTTGGGAAGGCTGGCCTCGACGGATATAGCCGTTAACTTGTAGTTATTGCCCGAGAAGAGCACCCGCTGTGTCGTCTTCCCATCGCGACTCACGTAGTTGCTCGTATACTAGATAAATCAGGAGCGTATCCGCATCAGCCAGGGAACTCCCTAGACCGCCACTGGAACTATGGGTAAACCGCCGCGCACCTTAGTCACGATGACCAGCTCATTCCGAATCCCGCGCTTCTCCGCCCATTCGCCAATAAACTCCTCGCTGGACTGGTCTTGGTAGTTGTTGGCGGTGTCGATGAAGTTCCCGCCAGCATCAAAGAACGCGTCAAGGAGCCTGAACGAGAACTCCTTGTGTCACATGATGTCCCCACGTCAACCTTACCTCCCCTAAGCCCGGGGTTGGGAGGATCCGCCGAGGTAGCCGACACGCGACCTCGAGCTTAACATCCTCGCTCTGACAGCCTTCGAATCTGGGATTATCGGCGATGTCTTCATGCGCAATGTATACACCATCCTAGATGCTGGCGAAACTCATGTTGGCTTTGCTGACCTTGCATAACGAGCTGCGTCATTGATCCAGATCTCAAAGTATATTCACATACTCAACTGCTCTTATTTCCACTGCGTACTACACTTCGGCTAATGTGATGTTCTTTTTGCCGTCCGTTGGAGAACGCGCTCTACATCAGAGGATGTGCCACTTGTTATCTTCCGACTTACTATCATTCAAACATCGGGTATAACATTAAACGGTTTGTATATCTTTTCTATTGTAGGTTCCTTACAGTTACTGGCACATGTTTTAGTTGTGGTGTCTTTATAGGTCCCCGTAGAGGCCGGCGGTCCTATCATTGCGGACTCGGAGGGAAACCAAGTGCCTACGACGTCAAGCTAGGTTGTTTGTCAATAACGTAAGAGTGCGTGTCCTGCTTTCGTTCCTTTGTGGACCTCCTCCATTAAGCTGCCTTTGCCATGTCCGATGATCTTGTGTAAACTCCTTCATGCTACACTACGAAATTGTCGTCCTCTCTTGAGCCCTTGAGTATACTGTCTTGGCCTGTGCCCATAATGCCACCCTTGCCCGTGAGCGTTTATTCGCTGCATAACTCCGTGTGCATCGTTGATGGCGTGTTGCATGGCAATGCAAGCGATGTTGCTGAGGTGAGCTAACATTCATTGCGCCTTCATTTCAGTGGCTTGACGGTTTGTCCTGGGCCGCTTTTGCCTTAATTTCTCCCAATTATCGCAATTCATTCCGCGCTGACAAGTACATATATATCTGTGCATTATTGATTGGTCATTGTCTCCCTTAACTGAAAACCTGAGATAAGTATCCCAAACATCCGGTTATTGTGGTGGCTTTCCCCCGTCTCCATTACAAATTCATTCCTGAGCTAGCCACCCATTGTTGCACCATTTTCCAGGAACTGCACACAACGTCAACTTAGGTCACGACCACAAACATCGGATAACTTTTAATGCCCACCACCTCAGCTTCAGGTTGTATATAAGTGGCGTTCTCGAGCAGCGAAAGTAAACATCAGCTCTCTCCCCAGACATGAAGTTCGCCACCAGTCTCGCTTCCCTTGCTCTTCTTGCCAGCAGCACATTGGCTTTGACCATCAACACACCGTAATAAAAAAACTGGTCTCCTGTTTGACTATTATAGCTGACTATCTGCTGCCTGCTTCAGCCCTTATGCCTACACGTGTTTCAATACACTTGTTACTTGGAGCGGTGGAGAAAGTAAGCAGTTCTTTCGTCACCATGAAGTACACTGCATGGCAGGATTGCTTACTGCTGGCTTCAGGCCCATACACTTTGGTACGTATGCAAAAACAGTGTCATCTCAATGACTCACTAGTTGAGATCTCTCTTATCATATGCAGAGGTATGCTCCATCTTCCATCACATTATTCCTCGACTGAAGTTTGTCATAGTGTCACCAAACCCGACAACGTCAATGAAGTTTATGATACATACACTGGTCTGACAGGCGACTCCTACGAATGGGGTGTCAACATAGCTCCGAGTAAATCCATACCTTTTGGAAGATTTCATCACACTCACCTCACTTGTTCTTTTAGGCACTGTAGTCAAGCTGGTCCTCCAGGACAGCAATGGCTCTGAAGCACGAAGCGAAGCTTTCACCCTCTCCGTTAAACCCGGAACTGCTCGTAAGTCTTTGAGAAGCCGCCTCTCAAAACTAAGCTCACGTATAACTCTCATCAGCTCCCGGTTGTAAGTTTACGGGACCCACTAACGCAGCGTGATGGGCCTGTCTAAGGCTGAGCGTCGATGTATTACTACATACTAGTGTAAAACAGCAAATTTTGACGGTGATTGCGATAACCAAAGGAGATATATATCTAAATTACTTTCTTGCCTATGGAAGCAAAATTATCCTTCAAGAATGGGCTTTGAGAGCTATATGTGAGTATGCTCTCTGTTGGGCCGCTGAGCTGGGATTGATCATGCCCAGCAGTGAATCAAAGTGTTCCTATTTCTATCCTGTCTCTTCCATTGGTCGTTTCTCCTCTGATCCGTTCATCATCAAATCTCAGAATGTTGAGTAGCATGATAAAACCTATCATGGAAGTGGTGAACGTGATTATCAAATTCCCAAATATGTTCCAAACGCCGTTGCTTCCCTGTCGAGATGTGTTGAAAGGACAAGAGTCATTCGTGTGTCACTGCAATATAGTACTTACCAAACACAGGGAAGCAGGTAGATACTAGATCTCTATCAGTTCCCATTGCATGGATGCTCTTGCCTTATTGTTGTGAATGAGTACGCAGCAGCATATTACTTACACTTACATGAACATGAACGTGATCAGGAGGTCATCGAGCACGTCAATAGGATATACCCGATGCTGTCCTTTGTCGAGACGGCTTTCGACGTTGATGGCGTCCGGCAAATGGCGCCGGCGTGGTATTCTATCTCGAATGACCATTATTTCCGCGTAGATGCACGGTGAGACTGTGTGTGTTGTGTCATCTCTCTGGCTCACTCGCTTGCTCACAGAGACAACTAAATCTTTGGCTCATATTGTTTTCTGGTTCCCATTGTTTCTCCTTCTCTTCGTGTCGGATCCAAATGCCGATTCAGAAATATTTCTAACTGACTTCTAACGGATGCCAGTGTTGTTCCATAAATAACCCACCATCGTGGTCTGCAACAAATGAACTCGACGCGGCAAAGGCTCACCTTGGCGGGTCTCACCGTCGGTGACTCATAAGTCGTGAGAGTAAGAAGGACGATTTTTAAGTTCTTAGTAGCCACTACATATGCCAGCATAGCATTCTATCGGTTGGGTGCCTTGCATCGGTGGGCACTTTGGCCGTCTTGGGAAAACAATCGTCCCAGTTGACAAAGACTGAATAGCATTTTAGGAGACATATAAAGGCGACATTCGACCGGGTGATTGCCCAACACTCTCCATCGTTCCAACTCTATCATGAAGTCCTTCACCAGTTTCATCGCTTTCCTCACGTTTGTCGCTAGCGGAGTTCTCGGCGCGCAGCCTCTCACTATGAATATGCCGTAAGATGACCCTTGTTCTGGTCTCGAGAGTACCATGTCTGACAGCTTTTCGAACAACAGCGCGAGTATTGTCCAGTGCGAACCCGTGCTTCTTACTTGGAGCGGAGGCTCAGGTAGGTTTTGTGTTCATGCTTCTGGGCTGAATACGCATATGGCTAATGCTTCGATCCGACTCCAGCACCGTATACCCTGGTAAGTTTCACTCAATATCGTACACGATAGTCGTCATGTTCATGAAACTCCCATTCCTGAAAAACATTTCCTTGTGCACAGATGTAAGTCTCTCGCGATTCACGTCATAAAATATAACTCGCTCATTTTAGATATGCACAGCGTTGATGCAAACGACACTCCGATCAACACCATCGAGACCTATCACAACTTGTCTGGCAACTCCCTTGACTGGTTAGCTAACGTCAACGAAGGTTAGTGAATGGCTCTCATAGTGAATGACAATATTGAACAGCTGCACACTTAGGGGTAGTGGCCGGGTTTCAGCTCACCGACAGCGAGGGAAATTTGACGCAGTCTGCGCCTGTTCAGGTCCAGGGTTCTACTTGTGAGTGCTCAGCTTTGCGTCTCTTAATGCTTGTTTTCTCACCTAACTCATACTGTAAGCTTCATCGTGTCTGCCTTGAGTCATATGAATCGTGCCATGCGAGAGCACATACGCAATCCAGTAGACAGGTCCAGGGGCCTTATATGTCGGAACTTTCTCAGGCCCATTGCAATGGGGCCAGAATTCTAATCGATTAAAATTAAAGGCACTTTTCATCACAATGACCATGGCAATGGCCATTGTAATGCCGTAGAGCCATAGAAATGTCATGGCAATGGCCATGGGAATGAAAAGTGCCTTTCATTCTAACCGATTGAAATCCCGGGCCCATTGCAATGGGCCTGAGAAAGTTCCGACATAATATTCCCGGCTCATCCCCATTTTTATGCATTCCGAGTGAATAATGCAGAGATTGCTTTGTGAAAACAGCTCTGCATGCGTCGTTCTACATCCGAGCTCGGTCATGATACAGCGTAAACTTCAAAGTACTCGCAGTTGACTCGCAGCCCAGGCACTGCGGCCAGCGTTTATCACGTCGCGCATCATTCATCCGCAGGTCGCAGCCGTTCATAGATTTGCTGACACCGCACAGGGAGCGAGAACTTGACGACACGATACTATGTTCCATAAGCCACAACTCCCGAGTTGCTCCCGAGATATCTGCAGCCTTCTGCAGCCGTGCTCGAGCCCGGAGTCCGAACGCGAGCTGTTCTCGGGCCGGGGTAATTATAGATACACCGCGATCTGCGGGACACGGGAGCAAAAGGCAGCGTGAGAGTGGCAGTGTCGGTTACGGGCAGTGTCAGAGTTAGGGGCTTTTGTGCCTTGTGCTGATCAGCCTCGCGACAAGAGAACTGCGTATGATCATCACAATATAAGTAGCATGACCCAGCGCCCATCTACTCATCTTTTCCCCCTCCACCATCGTCAGCCACCACATCATCAGCTGCGGGCAGCTTAATCTTACTGAAACACGCGATGCACGACGAGAAATCCAACAACCCATACGCCTCGCAGAATCAAGGCCAGTGGTCTCAGCCTCCTCCCTCTGGAGGCTACGCCGCCCCGCCTGGGCCTCCTCCCCCGGGGTACCAGCAGTCACCTCCACCCCAATCGTACGGCGGGTATCAGCAGTCTCCTCCACCCCAGCAATATGGCGGCTACCAGCAGTCTCCCCCACCCCACGCCTACGGGCCACCACCCATCGAGCGAGGTCCTAGCATGTCGGGCTCTCCGGGGCCATCCGGCGGCCAGCAGGAGCAGAAGCCCGGTGGCTTCAAGGGCTTCCTCGCCAATGCCACCGGCAACGGCCCTCCCCCGGCCGGCTGGATGCGTCCCCCGCGCCAGGACCTGTCGTATGCGCCGTTCCAGCCGATCGCGCTGCTCTCCAAGGGGAAGGACGTGAGCAAGGGATTCCCCGAGATTCCGCCGCCGTGCACGTACAACCCGCACCCGTTCGCGACGCACGATGTTACCGAGGAGGATTGGAAGAAGTGAGTTTCAGTTTTAGTTTGCTCAGGTTTCACGGCTCTGGAGTTGTGATCGCGGTGCTGATGCTCGTGCAAGGTTCATTGCAGATGTGAAGAAGGGTGGTGAATTGACAGTTGCCCAGCGCATTCGATCCAACGTGATTCCGATGGCTACGGGCGCGAGCTTCTTTGGTACGCTGTTGTCCTTTGCCGCTCCGTCCGTCTGGTTTCTCACCATCGATCAATAGGTGGCTTCCTGATGACGGCTATGATCGAGAGGAAGATGAAGGCAAAGAACCGGACAGTCGCCGGCGAGGTTATAGACCACTGGAACGCCGTACGTGCCTATCTCCCTTCATTCTTCCACCCCCTTCCTGACCGCATCGCTCCCTATATAGAACTTCTTCGCCCCTCGTCGCATCGAGGTCGTCCTCTGCCAAGCACATGAGCGCCTCAGCGGGCGCATCGGCGCCGCCCCGAACGTAGGCTTCGACAGCGCCGCACGCCGCGCCGAAGAAGACAGCTCGTCCGACAGCGACTCTTCCAGCGACCGCCACGGCAGCCACCACGGCTCGCAGCATTCGGCGCCCATGATGAGCGGGCGGCAGGAGCGCAGGGCCGCGCGCCGCGAGCGCAAGGCCGACCGGCGCGGACGCAAGGCCGAGAGGAGAGAGCGCAAGCGCCGTGGCGACTTTGACCAGCCGTACAGGTTGATTGTGCAGCCTGCGGACGACCAGACGATGGTCAATGCGCTGCCGTACCCGCCGTCCCAGCAGGGGCAGGGGTACGGGCCCCCGCCGCAACAGCAGGGGCAGGGATATGGGCCTCCGCCGCCTCAACAGGGCGGGTATCCTCAGCAGGGGTATGGCCAGCAGGGGTACCCGCCGCCCCAGCAGGGCTATCCTCAGCAGGGATATCCGCCCCCACAGGGTTACCCACCTCAGCAGGGGCACCAGGGATACCCGCCCCAGGGAAGCTACCCGCCTCCGGGGTACTGAGTAGCAGACTGCATCGTTAGAATATAATACTGTTGCGAGTTATGTGTACATGTAGAGGGCTTCTTGGAGAATACCAAAACAGCAAACAATACCTTCATTCTTCACCCTTTTTGCATATGCGTGATGATCTTGAGATTTTCCTGAGCCTCGAATCTCCGATGCTGGGTAAGGATGTTGATTTTAGGTATTGGGCTCAGCTATGAGCAGGCATTTTCTTCAGTCATAGAGCTCACCGTCTACGTACTGAGCTAAAGTCTTGATATAGAGGCTTTACATTACAGATGTCTGTAGTTTTTATTCATGTTTCTCGTTTATTATAATTACGTGTTTCGTAGTGTATAGGAAATGCATGTAATGCAATCAGTGATACCAATAAAACATATCACAATAAGTAGCATTTATGACCAATAATCGGATGCTCTCTAGCTAGTCACTGACATAGCGTCTTCCTCTTCTGCGCCAGAAGCCTCCAGCTCATCGTCATCTAGCGGCGGGACGAGGTTCGACACCAATGTCCCGCGAGAGGCGTCCACAGGCTCCGAGATGTTTACTGGCGAGTTCCCCCGCGCTTCGTCCAACTGCTCCTGAGAGCCGTCGCCGGTCTCCGAGGCGATCATCGAGCCCTGCCGTGTCGGTGCCTTGTCGACAGCGGCGCGTTTCTTTGGCCAGCGCGGATCGGGCCTCGTCCGGCCCGGCCCAGCTGTCACGTCGATCCGCCACCACTTCGTCCCGCCTCTACCTGCGAACGGGGTGCCGTCCTCTTTGGTAGGTACGAAGATCTTCAGCTTCGTGAGCGTGTTGCGGACGTTGTCCTGTCATATCGCGGATGATCGCGACACGATTAGACGATACGACTGGGCTGAGCCGGGTTGAGCAGAGAAGAATGCGAACTTGACTCACCTTCCATCCCTTCTCCTCCGGGTGCGTCCTGTACCACTCGAACCTGTCCATTAACACTTGCCAGATCTCCCGTATCATCAGCCGCTTCTTGGGGCTGCCCCATATCGCGAGGCAGTTCAGCGTCTTGTACGGGTGCGACGGCGCCTGCCCCGGCGGGGGATCATCCAGCGCCCACAGGTCAAGCCGTTTCGGCGCGAGCACACGCAGCTCCCAGCGGAGAATCGTCTCCACTTCACGGTCTGACTTGATCGGGATCGCGGCTGGAGCCGGGGTCGGGGTCGGGGCAGGCGTGGATGCATCGAGGGCAGCGCGAGCCGCCGCGCGCTTGGCTCTGGTCCGCTCGACGGCCTTCTCGCGCTCCTTCTGCGACTTCTTCACGCCCTTCCCGGCGGACACGTCGATCTGCCACCAGACCTTGCGGCGCGTGCCCACCACGGGCGTGCCGTCCTCCTCGACGGCGACGAACCAGTACGTCTTCACGAGCACGTTGCGGATGTTCTCCTGTCGATGCCGCCGGGACGCGAGTTCGAGTTCGAGTTTGACGTCGGCGTACACCAGCATAATTGTGACCGGTGAATCAGACTGAGTGTACACAAAAAAGACTGCGAAAAAACGCACCCTCCACACCCGGTCTTTCGGATACCGCCTGTACCAGTCGAACCGGTCGATCAGCGCTTGCCATATCCCCTGTAGCTGCAGCCGCTTCAGCGGACTACCCCATATCGCGAGGCACACGAGCGTCCTGTAGGGATACGGTGGCGGCTTGTCTGCCGGAGGATCCGCGAGCGCGCGTAGATCGACCTCCGTGTCTTGTGGGATGTTGAACTCCCTGCGGAGGACGGACTCCACGTCGTCCCTGTACACAGAGGATAGTATTGGGGGCGGGGGCGGCGACGGCGACGGCGATGGTAACGGCAGCGGCGGTGTGGTCAACGTTGAGGCGTTCGAGTCACTTGGAGCTGGCTCGGCAGGTATATCTATTACTGGCGTTCTTCAACGGATATTACCCCGATCAGGCCTCAGATTATACACTGAATCTGTTAACAACTCACGGTGTAGTAGAGGGTACTGGTGTAAGCGGGGTCGGCGGTTGCGAAAAAGGCGCTGGTGTAGGCGGGGTCGGATGTTGCGAAACAGGTCCGGCTGGAGATGGGGAACGATCCGTTGTGTGTGCTTCATGTGCTGCCGGTTCGTGAACAGGCGGTCCGTGGGGGTGATCGAACTCGCTGGGGTCCTGGGAATTGAAGTTCTGTGGGTCAGTGACGGAGTCCTGGGAGTTGAAGTCCTGGGAGTTGAAATTCTGAGGGTTGAGGTTGTGGAAGTCGATGTTCTGGACGTTGAAGCGCTGGGAATTAAGATTGTGGGCGTTGAAGTTCTGGCTGTCGAAGTCCTGAATGGTGATGTTCTGGATTTCAAAATGTTGAACATCGACGTTCTGGATGTTGCGCGTAGCGAGCGCGTCTTCGGAAGGCTGAGGGTGGACTTGGTCAGAGGTGTAGTCGTCGTTGGAGTTCTGAGCGTTGACAACGGCAGATGCGTCCCCGGAAGGTTGGTGGTTGTCTTGATTGGAGGAATAGTAGTCGCCGAGACCCTGTATGTTGGGCATGGCAGACACGTCGCCGGACAGCTCTGGGAAGCTTTGGCTAGAGGAGTAGCTGTCGATGAAGCGCTGCATGTTGTGGATGTCGTGTTCGTCGCTGGAAGGCTGGTGGCACTCTGGCCCGGAGGAGGGACCGTCGTTGAAGAAGCCCTGCATATTGCGAATGGCAAACTCGCTAACAGAAAGCTCATGCCAGCCTTGACTGGAGTAGAACTCGTTCATACGCTGAATGTTGAGAATGGCGGATGCGTAGGCGGAAGATTGGTGGCCGTCTTGATTGGCCGAATAGAAATCGTTGAAACTCTGCATGCTGGGAACGTTAGACGCATTGCCATCGGGAGGATTGTGCCAGTTTTGAACAGAGGATGGGTAGTACTCGTGATCTTGAACGTTAGGAATGGGGGACGCGCTGTCGGGAGACTGAGACGCGCCTTGGTATGTCGTGTCGGTCACATCAAGCATGGTAGTATCGCCAGGATTACCCAGATCTCCGGTTGGGACGAGTGGCGGCACGATAGATGATGGTGAATCGAAAGAACTGGCGCGCGTCGTAGAACGTTGAGACCATGCAGGCTGTGGGCAAAGAGAACCGGCAGACAGAATGGACCGAATCATGTGCTCGAACGCGGCGTCGTCGCAGAGACCTACCCCCGTCGAATCGCTGGGTTGTGGAAGCTCCGCGGTCTCAAACTGACAGTCGAGCTACAAACACATGTTGAGTAACGATAGTAGTACCATCACACATATGCCACTCACCGGTACGCTCTCAAAATCGCTCACTAATCTAGCATCACATGTTGATGCCACTAGATCTTGCCAAAAGGGGTCTTCACGCGTCTCAAGTACGGGTGTAGCCTTGGGAGTGATCGTGGCATGGGGCGTGAACGTAGCCCTGGGCGTGTTAGGGGCCTCGGGGGTGAAGGCAGCTTCGGGTACATGCTCAGCCTCAGGCGTGGACGTTTCCTCGGGGGTGGGTGCAGCCACTGGCGTTGGTGTGGCAATGGGTGTGGATACAGCCCTGTGTGCGTGTACCGGAAGGTTTTGCAGCAGAGGAGTCCCAGGCAGCCCAAAGTATGGAAACGTACTGTCAAAGAGCCGAGCGTCTATCGAGCCTCGACTTGGGGTGCCAGCCAAAGCGTTCCATGGAGTCTGTGGCCGAGGCGTCGCAGTGTTGAGACGTATCGAATCGACAGTTTCATAGGCAGATAAGAGGTCGTCGAGAGACATGTCCAAGAGCGAGGGCGCGCCTCCGAAGTGGCCGTGTAGAAGGGAGCGGCGCGTCAACGAGGGCAAATAAAGGCAACAAGCGTTGACAAGGCGCCGCGCCGGCTCTATATAAGTACGCTTGGACCCACTGTGACAAACAACACGAAAAGTTCTGGTCAGCACTGGCACGGCACGACATCAAATACTTCACTTGGGCTGCAACCTCGCATGTCTGGATTAAGAGGACGACGGTGACTCCAAACGACATATGGATTCATCATTCGCGTAGGATAAAAAGGTTTGGAAACAAATCAACAAACAATCAATAAACTTCACGAAATTCGTTTGTCCTTGTTTGTCTCTTTCCTTAACCATGTTATCACCCCTATCTCTACATTGTGCCCAGAGGCAAGTCTTGCTCGCGCTCAGGTTTAAGTTGCACTCGAGTAGCGCTTGACCGCATCCTTGGTACATATACGTTACACGTGGCCAACAATAGCTTGTGGAACATAGGGCTCTTCCAGGTAGTTGATCTCCTCTTCCGTCAGCTTCACATGAACGCCCTCTGAAACATAATCAGCTCTAGCCTCAACGCCAGGCATGAGGTCTACGTACCAACGATCTCGTACAAGTTCTCTAGCTTGGTGGTTCCGACAATGGGAGCCGTGACGCCAGGCCTCGACAGCACCCATGCCACAGCAACCTGGCTCATACTAATACCGCGCTTCTTTGAGATCTCTTCCGCCCTAACATGCAGTCAGACCTCGGGAGTATGACTTCTGCACAACACGAGTTGCTTGCCTATCCACGATCTTCTCGAACGCCTCTGATTGGTCATATCGCTTGAGTCGTTTGTCAGTCTCACTCCATTTGCTCTGTTCTCCTCCGCGTCGACGCGTGAGCAGTCCTCGAGCGAGGGGTGACCAGGGCATTGACCCGACGCCAAACATCTAACTTATGCCCATCAACACCGATTAGGCACATAGAGACAGCGACTTACCTTCAGAGTTGGGGAACATCTCGCGTTCTTCTTCGCGGTATATCAGGCTATAGTGGTTTTGCATTGAGATAAATGATGTGAGCCTATTCTGGATGGCGTAGTCTTGTCAAGACGTCAAAGTCAGTAAAAGCTGCTCCCATTGGTCGAGGGTATGCCTACTTTGCATTGCATGGACTGGATCAAACATGTCAGCTTCGTGTATGCGGATAGAAGGAAGTGAAACACATACATTGATAGGCGTAGCATGAGCTCATGCCTATGTATCGAACGTATCCAGCCTGAACCACATCATGTAGTGCTTGCATCTAAAAACATGAGATATAGATCCATCCGAAATGGGGCCTCGCTTCTTACTGTTTCTTCGATTGGGGTATCATGGCTAAAGCGATGGCCTAGAATTCCCATGGTGAGTCACGTAGCCCGTGCGCTACCATATACACTCACACTGAAGAACGACAATGCAATCGAGCTGCAGACGCTCTAAGCTCTTCTTGACGGAATCAAATATGTGCTGAACCACGTTGAGGTGGTTTATACACGCATATAATAGCTAGTACCTACTTTCCGACTGAGGCCATACTGGTTGACGTAGCCCAGGGAGTCGGCATCCTTGAAGTCAATCAGGATCTGCCCGTACTCACGCGCAACGAGATGATGGACCTAATATGACTGAGTGCCACAGCTCGACGAATAGTCGCAGTGTCACATACCTTGGTCATTACAACGATCTCATCACGTGGAAGGTTATGCTGTTTGATCGCCTTCCCCAAAATGACCTCCGACAGACCATTTGAATATACGTTCGCCGTATCGAAGGTCTGTATGCCTGCGTCATACCTAACGAATTTTTGACCAAGGTTAGCTTAGAGCAGGCCGAAGACGGCAAGTAGCCAATTCGGAAAGGACACGTACGCCGCCTTGACATGTTTAATACCCTCCTCCTCACTGAGTACTGAGTACCCATAGCTGCCAATTCGAGTCTCCATATGACATCATCCCGAGGATGATACGGGACACCTTGAGGCCAGAGTTCCCCAGTCGCACTACGAGGCCTCTTCAGCTTATCGATCATGGGGAGTTAATGAAGCATACATACCATAGGGCATCTGTTTTGGTGGCTGGACGGACATGGTAAACGCGAAGCAGGCGCTACTCTGCGCTCTCGTGGTTCAGGACAAAGCCACAGGTGAAGAAGAACCCCGTGTTCTTTGCCTGCTTTGTATACGTTCGTGTTTAAATGGAGGCGTCATCTGCTCACGTACAAGACTTGTCTCTTTGTCACTGTTGGCTGAAGGATGTGGAATCACAACGATAGATGCATAATGGTGCTTACTGTTCATGTGCCCTCCATCGGACAAAGTAGAAGCAAGGGAGTAAAGTATCCCTGGGTATCCACGACATGGTAGTGTAGGAGCGCTGAGCGCTGGCGTCGGGAAAAGGTCGCAAACTCGGCCTTTACATGCCGAAGATAGTTGACAGATAATGCCAAACGAGCACCGCAACATGACAAGAATTGTCGCAAACGTATGGGCAGACTTGCTGGAGCCAAGCAGGGCATGTAAATGCGGAGCCGAAGTCGACCTTCCCTACACGCCTATTCAATTCGCCCGGCCCGAGAGTCCGGATGACGGATGCGATCCAGATCACAATGAGCGGCGGCACCTTCAGCTCTGGTGGGCACTGGTGAGAAACGTTGGCCTTTATCGAGTTCAAGTTTCTTTGTTGCCGTTGCCAACGAAGGCCTACATGAGTGCGTAAAAATGCTAAAACCGTGTATACATGGGTGAAGGATGGAAAGTAAGGAAATAGTACGGAAGTGCGTATGGGGATGAAGTGCGGATTCAGATGACAGATGCTTAGAAGACTCAATTGACAAGAATGGATTACATACGTGCGATGCTAGAAATTGTAGTATATATATGTGCGTAATCAAGAAGGTATCAAACAGCAACGAGCGCAGATTCCGGGAAGATAAACAATAAAACCGACCATAAACCCATGAATGAGGAAAAGGAAGGATTCGACAACGGAAGCTTAGTACGGAGGATTAACATCGACAGCATCTTTTGGGAGGGCCTGCCTATCCCACCCCTGTTGCGTCTCATGACCCGAGGAAAAGAGACGAAAGAAACGACATGAGCGACGAAAACGTCGACTGCGCGGCGGTTAGGCACACGAGCAAAGCGAGGAATAGTATGGCGAGTCTACGATCCTGAGCTTGGCTGGTGGCCTGTGTGAGAGTGCTTGGCATAACACGGTAGGAGTTGCCCTCTACCTCGGGACCGCGACCACATCTATCGTCCTTGAGTTGCTCGGGTGAAATGCTCCCCGGAGTCCCACTGGCACTCTCATCCGTAGAGGTGGGGCTCGCTCTGCTTATGGACGAAGGTATAACCGAACCGTCTGCATCGAAGGGCGTTGAGAGTGCTTCGGTCGTAGTCTGCAGGTCCTCGTCTGTGATGGTGGACAGTCGATTGCGCAGGCCACTATCGAGGCTTTGGCTGCTGGTTTGCTGCCATTTGCGCCGAAGGCTGGGAGGCATAGGGGGCTCGCGTGACATCGCACGGAGGAAACGATGCTGAAGGGTGCGAGAGGCAGATGGAAAAGCCAAAGGAAACGCTTTAGATGGAAAGGAGCTCCAGGTCGGGGATGTGCCATGCGAGTTCGAGATAGGGGGATTGGTGGATGAGCGCGATGAGGTGCTGGAGTGCGATGATGATATCGACGAGTTGCTACCCGTGCTCAGGGAAGATGGAAGAGTCGGTCGCGAGACGAGGGAGAAAAAGCGGTCTTCCGAGGGGCTGTAGCGGGTGTCGGGGAAAGGATATTCAAAACGCTGGGTAGTGACAAAGGGTGTTCCAGGGATCTGAATGATGGCGAAGATCAGTACAATCGTCCCGGAAAACGCCCAAAAAAGCGTTGGTGGGTATACACATTGCAGAAGTATGGTGGAGATCAAAGATATGAAAGCTCTCACCTCGTTTGATGGTGCGTTCTCCAGAGAACCTGACGACGAAGGCTCGCTGGGCGACGGCTCGACCGGTCTGACAAAGATCTCCACATCATCCTTCTCTACACCTTCCATCTTCCCTGAGTGTTCACAGTTGAAGCCATCCTCGGTGAGAGAGTGGATACCTGCGACCGCCATAGTCGAAAGACTGGGAGATGCAAGATACGCCAGTCTAAGAGCTATGAAGGTAAAGAAAAAAGGGGAAAGTGTGGGTTAGCTACGGGGCGCAAGACCTGAGAGGAGCTGGATGAACATACCGCCCAAGGCGCAAGGTTGTTTTTATCAAAAGCGTGAGTGTGTCTCCGGGTCATGAATTGGGCACGTTGCCAATGTTTTGCTGCCTTTCGGCCAGCTTCCGGCGCCCCTGAGTGTCACTGCAAATTTCCGGCACAGCCCGCCGCTCTGCCACCCCTATACCCCGGACCTTGCCGCTCGATTGCGGCCGGGGACCTATAGTTGCGCCCAGAAACATGCAAGATATTGGAGGACAAGTACGTCGTCCGGATCTCTCGGTGCACAGAAATATTGTACGTGACAGCGTACCTGAAAATCTATGCGCTCACATTGGTTCTGGGCTCGTCGGGAGCTCGTCGGGAGGGGGGTTAAGTCTGGACCAGCTACGTCACATCCATCCGTCACAGTGAGGCCTGGGCCGCGCCGTCCAACTCTGCTGTGATTGGTCGACCTCCACAGGCTATTCCTTCCTCGCGATGTCGTTCATCGCCGTTCCGCCCAACATGAGACCTCGAGGCTCACGTTCCCTGCCGGCATACACACGGTCACACCATAACATTCAGCCAACACGTCGCGCTACTTGTCATATGTCAACACCAAGATGAGTATCATCACCCGCAAGGAACGTGCCCTGTGCGTGTCGCGACCTCGCGACTTCCGAGCCAGAACTCCCCTTGACCCAATCCGTCCACCGAGGGTCCTTACGCTGTCCTTACGCCTCCGCCAGATGACTAGTCGGATGACTCAAAGCGCCGGAGAAACCTCTGGTCATGGCCGAATTTTAACTCGCAGCTCCAGCTCCCCTCAAGGTCCCGTATCCCGTGGAGTTGCCATCGCGTCCCTCGCATATTGCAGCGTCTGATACCCCACAACACGCAACTTCAGCGTTGCACGATAAACTGAATCTCAGCCGCAAAGGTGTACGGAAGGAACTTGCTCTCTGTAGCATCCGATGTCTGACACTGCTACCTGCAAGAAAAAGACGCTGTTTCGTCACGATGCACTGGTTTTATCCCGTCCGCTCAATCGTCGAGACACCTCCGAACGACCGGGTGAGGAACAGCCGCAGTTTCAACTTTAGAGCTGACGGTATTCGTGGACTGGGGCTCTGTCCTGGGGGTTCGTGGTAGATGGCCCTTCGTGCGTCCCAGCGCCCTTCTATAGTATGCGCACGAATGAGCTCCGTCAGCTCCACCTCATGCTTAGTTATCTCTCCTGCAATCTCCTCATCGATATACATTCATTTGAAGGCTTACGGTTCGATCAAGTGATTCAGTATCGTCCGTAGAAAATGTAAACGAGAGCAGGCTAACAATCCAAAGAGACGCTCAGGTCCTTACTCCGGTGGCCCCGGCCCCCGCCATTGGCAACACGTCCGCATGTGAGTGGTGACTCGAGATGCCTATGGTTGCCATCCTCGTAACCAACAGAGATCATCACCGTCATTGACGAACGTTTTCGTTCCACATCTATCTACCACCATCGGAGTAGACAGTGTTGGTATGTGATTCTGTTACAGCATATTCATCTCCGCGTTTTGGCCATGTATACAGCAAACACCGCCGTGAAGTAAGACGACACTGCAGGCTGCGGAGCACTCCAGGGGCTAATAGTATAGCCATACATCCATGAATTATTTGAACAAGGGCTAACGTTGTCTTGCGTACTAGTTTGCTTCCGTGTCGATTTGCCTGAAGGCCCCCGAAGACATCCCAAACTCCACGGACATCTTTGGTCCGAAATCAACATGCTGTACCTTCAGTAACGCAGCAAAGACCATTATGGTGGTCGGGCGTCAAAGCATCGAGCTCGCAGGTACATTTCGGGTGATATGTGTCTTGGCGGGCGTACTCCGTGAATGTGGATCTAGCCTTCAGTTACTATGCCTAGAAGACTGCGCGGTACTGCGTAGCATGTGGTAAGAGATCGGACTCTCACTGCTGTCAACAAACTTGCTCAATCACTAATTGTTACCCCTGGCCCTCGGATGGTAACGGTTCTTTTCTGCACACATAATGCATGAATAGGTCATCTTTAATTTCAATATGCTTTAGTGACTATCCTGACATGGCGCAAGCCGAAGGATTTGACGCGTCAATACGACCGACGTCGATGTGCTGGACGAGGTAAGACGAACGTTCGACAGAATTTTATAATCAGACTTGAACTAACCCACGCTATACATAAGACAGATCATCGATGAGCCCACGCCCTTTTAATTTCCCCCATACGACACTCAAAAGGTTCAGTCTCCAGCCCAGTGGAGCTCATTGCCCGAATACCCTTTGCCACATCCACCAATCGAACGATGCGCCCTGGTCGGTTTCTTAAACAACGCACTCAGGCGCTTCGCGCGACGTAGGTTTCCGATCTAAGTCGTCAGTTGACAATCCGCCATTGAGTTTCCAGGGTGGGACGAAGGCGGCGATTCACTGTTGAGTAACGCTTGCTAAGACCGAGCTGACACGTGCTCGACAAAGCATTGAGCGCTGAGCTCAGCTCGCAGCAGCTGCTTAAGAATATATCACATGTACAGATGTTAATCCCACGCAAGACACCCGTCGAAAGGTCATAGACGCTCGATCTCCGACAGACAAGGAGATGCAAGGAGGGTTCGCATGGTCCTCGGAAGACAAATTCAATGTCAATTTTGCGCTACGGAGTTGGTGAGCACCGATACCAACCCCTGTAGGTACGATGTCTAGTACAACCATACGTGGTGGTGCCAACGTGCAACGCTCTTGGTGTCTACATGAGTTGGTCTCCCATCCTGTGGTCAGGGCCGGTCATGACAGACGTAATTTGACATTAACGTTGCGAACTGGTTCCGTCGCGTCAGATCCTGACGGTTTGGCGTTTGACGTCGGATCATTGCCTATGGAAATTGATCGCGTCCGCGGCGCAAACAAGGAAGCCTGCAGAGCTCTGCAAAGGCCTACCTACCCAGGTACGTGTTTTGCATCCGTACGAAACGCAGGCACCGAACGTTCTTCGACCATCTTTCAAACAGTTTTCGAAACCTGCGATTGACGGAGTGTCCGTACATCCGTCTGAGGTCGTGACTCGTAAGCCTTGCAATTTACCAACGTCCACGAAGGAAAGGCCCTTAACGGAGTTGAGTGCTTGACACCACATTTGGCAATGAACCGACATCAAGCGGATGCCAGAACCTGTGTGAAGATCCTGACTGGAACTCGAGGAGTGTCATCATTCATGGCCCAAAGTACGGGAACAGGTCGCATTTTCCCCGCTCCGTTGCAGCAGGGTGTATACTGAGTGCTTACTACATTGAATGCATCTTCCCCATGCAGCAGCGTACAGCCCACCATGTTGCGCCTATTCACCACCTTGGTACATAAGAGCAGATGGGCTTCTTTCCCGAAGGAATCGATTCTTTCTTCTCTAGACCCCAATTCCTACTCAATGACTTCCCCAGAACTGTCCATCACGTTGTCGGTAGCACAACTTCTGCAGTTCGAAGTCTGCGCCAGTCTCTCTGAGGAGCAGCCTCGCCTGCAACTTGGAACGCTGCAGCAGTCATCTCTCCCTGCTGGATCTCAGGATCTGTCATCGGTCGATATCAAGTTTGAAACGCAACTCGTCGACGGGCGGCGCATCTTGCGCGTCTTTGCCATCCCAAAAGCTGGGTTATCCCGTACCAACAACACTTCATCGCTGGACGCGTATACTTTCCAACATCGTGCGTCGCATTTCGAGGATCTAACGCGCAGCTCCTCCACGAGCTCTTGCTCAAACGCAAGCTCAACGATCTCGTCACCAGGTTCGTTTTCAATCATCGACCTCTGTTCGATTGTTGATTTGATCCCCAGCCGCATTTGACTGCTATTTCCCAGACGACCTAATGAAAGACATCAACTATGGTTAGTTCATCCTTCCCATAGGCACTTGAATATCCGCTTATTGCATAGCCAGAGTCCTTCCTGTCTTCATTTTCCTCGTCGAATATGTACCTGGACCCTCTGGGATCCGTAGACCAGCTACCTCCTCTAAAAGGCAACTTCCCTTCACAATGCAACGAAGAACCTCTTCTCCTACAGTGCATCGATACACTGCCATCTTTTACTCCCCAAAACCCTGAGACTTCGGAGGCATGTTCAGGAACTTCCAGCACCACGTGCCAGCTCCCCTCGCCTGCACCGACTGAACCTGCCGTCTCCGCCGGTACCGACACTAGCGCATCAAATACACCAGCTGTGCATCATGAGGAGGAACCTGCAGGTCGCCGGCGGCGAGCGCGTCGATTTTCGTGTTTGGAGCTAACGTGTTCGAGGAAATTTGCGAGCAAGGTAAGCGAACAATGACGCAACCTCTGTCCCGTGTGCTGACGACGATCAACAGTACACGCTAGGACTACACATGTCAACGCATCAGCCGGGTAGAAACGTACGGTACGCTTGCCAGATGGGCTGCACCGAGACGTTTTCGCGACAGCACGACCGTCTACGTCACGAGGTGTCGCAACACGGCCGTATTTCTGAATGGACGTGTAACCGGTGCAGACACGTATTCTCGTGCCGGAGCACACACGAAAAACACAAATGTTCGAACTTGGGTGATGCAAGCGCATGTCGTTGATTTCAGGCAGCATATGTTCTAGACGTTTTACACATATAGACTACTACCCGTGTATCATTACTTTATGGATGGCTTAGTACTCTACTTGTATTGCAATGACTTATTCACGACTAGTGTGCCAACACTCGTTGATATACATTTTGATCAGCTATGTTTTGTTCAGGTAAGCCTAAGATTTATATGTTCCGTAAGGGAGCTAAGCTGGATGGCAAGGTTTCCAGCGCCTTATTTTTCTATCAGAGAGTCCTAGTGTCGCTACATTAGAGTACAATACGCCGTCTCTCCATTGATCTTCTTTTTGGCAGCGTAGCCAAACCTGGATCCGCGAATGCATAAATCCTTCAATGCTATAGCCAAGTTCTGTCGATCAGATCCTTGATTGTCCTCTGTGAATGGTGGAAAGTTAGACAAGCTGTGTCCTACGGACGTACATTCGCGTTTTCGCCGATGTTCGGTCCGAGAATGCAGATGAATATGCATGGTCCTAGAGTAGATCATAGAATGACGCTAGTCCGTAATGTGGCTCAGATTGTTTCAAGGAACACAAAGAACGTTACTCGACTACATGGTTCTCGGCTTGGTTCTCGGACCGGACCCATTTTGGCTCGGATCAAAATGTACGAGAGCATGCGGGCGTCTCGGCATTCTGTACGACGTCGGACACTACTTATATCCTAAAGTCATTCTCACATCGAGCACTGCGGGTTGCTCGGGCCACTTCTCGGTGATCACCCCACGTGTCTCATATCCATCGAACGGTGGAGTCTCCGCATTGCGGTCTTATGGCGACCGGGAATCATTCCAGGAGCCGGTTATGCGTCTACGGAAGCGGAAATACAAGTTATCCCTCCAGTGCAAGCTCCGATGGATATACTTCCTTCCGCCCAACAGCGAGGCCATCGCTATCGGAGAAGTCAGAACGATCTTCGTCGAGTCTTCATTAAACTTATGAGGATCATAGTCGCGGTACGTACCTAAGCCGATCGAGTGCGACATCGGCGGCACGCTGTTGTCTTGTACCTTTAGCGGTGCTCTTTTTGTCAGATTAGATGCTCCATCCAAAGGGTGGCGGTGTAGTGAAAGAGGGCGCGGGAAAGTTCAGCCACCTGCTGACCAGTACTAGACTCTCGAAAAGTTTTTGAGCTTTTTGTCCTCAGACGCGGCTCTGCTTCAAGGTATGTCTATACCACTTTTTATTACGCGTGGAATCATGCACCGCAGTCTATCTATGATTGAACACCAATGAGTTGCAAGGCACGCCAATCACAAGCCTGTTATGCTGCGCGCCCAAGATTCCTGGTCTAGAAGTCTCAGACATTTCCTTTCGAGCAATTCGATTGTGGCATCGCCCGATAAGTTCCGAGACATAACCGTACGCGTAGCGTCTGAAAAATGGCCGTGATCCAACCAGGTGGACGAGGACCTCTCCCAGAATCAATGACTAAGGCGCGTGCTGTGGCAATGCTCCATAGCTACTTCTTTGCCCACTGTAGCCTCGCTACACATTCAAGCGACGCGTAGGTTCATATTGAGAGCCGATGAACGAGGCCTTGAGGACCGGAGGGGTTTCAGAAATCGATCACCCGTGCATTATGACGTAGTTGTCTGTGCGCATCTTCTGATCGTCTTCCGCGTGTAAACCTTCGTGCCCGATCAATAGCAGCCGCGGCTCGTGCCGCTTCGATGCCGAGACGTTCGGCGCACCCAGCTTCACGTAAGTTAAGTCTGCTTTCCTCGATCAGACCGTCATTTCCAAGGTGAGGTTCGTAACATCTAGATGTAGACTTAGTTCACTTCCCTAACTCCAGAACTGCAGACATTTTCGTGCTCAGTACATGTTTCACAGAAGTTCGGAGCGTTCTGCACTGGATACCGCCGTATGTGCCTTTTTACGGCACGATTGATGGTAAACATCAAGTCGCGCTGATCGGGGAACCAAAAGTTCATTCGTACTTCCGGCGCGGAGGGTCGACTCGGATGCTTCTCTTACTCTATTCATGCCAAGGTTGATGCCAGGTTCTGCTCTCACTCGCTTACATCGATCGGCCAATCTCCATGCAGGCAGTGCCAAAACTGCGGTGGCTCTAAACACGCCTTTCAAAACACACATAAGCGTCAATCCATTCGATCTGAGGTAGTGTTGGTTTCCCCTCCTCTAGCAATGAGTTCCTCCGATGTGTCAATCACGCTGTCAATATCGCAGCTTCTCCAATTCCAGGTCGTTGCAGGACTTGTCGACATGCAGCCCAACCTACAGCTCAAACCAACACCTCAGCCGACCTTCGCGCCTGTATCTTCAGAACTGTCGTCGGTCGACATCAAGGTCGAGACGCAGTACGTTGGCGGCCAGCGTGTACTGCGCATCTTCGCCTTACCCAGCCCTGGCCATCCGAACTTCTATAATACCCCTTCGTCCTTTCTCGCACCACCGACTTCAAATCCTCTTCAGTGTTTGACATCCGGCAGTGCAAATGCAATGTCGGACTGCGCTTCAACGGCTACGTCACCAGGTACTTTGCTCATAAGTCTTTCGTTAATCACCCATTGACCTATTGAGTAGACGACTTCGACTCCTTCACTCAAGATGAACTCCTTGGCAGCTACAGTTCGTCGTCTCCTATTAATTATGGCCGCCTTATTAACGACGCCTCCCAGACAACATCTTTTCTACGTCATCGGCATCAACGCCAGAGAAAACTGCGCCGAACTGTCTGTCGCTTCCCGAACACCAATGGCAGCCGTGTAAGTATCCCTTCTTACAAAGTTATTGAACAAACTGGCTCATCGTATGGCCTTCAGCGATGAATACTACAGCCTTACAAGCTTGTCCATATCTCAGCATAGCCAACTCACCACAATATGTCGCCCCCACCTCGCCACCCTATTCTATTCCTTCCACCGCCAGTACACCGACTTTCTCGACACCCGCTGAGGAGGATACCACGGGCCCTCGCAAGCGACCTCGCCGATTCCCATGCCTGGATCCATCGTGTCCACGGAGATTTGCAAACCAGGTTCGTTCCTGCGCTTCAATCCCTTCATTATTCTGACGTTGGTAAGCAGTACACTCTGCAGCTTCACATGACGACGCACCAGGAAATTCGCAAAGAGCCGTATCATTGCGAAATGGGGTGCTCAGAAACCTTTTCGCGGCAGCACGATCGTCTGCGCCATGAAGTCGCTCGGCACGGGCGGGTATCGGAGTGGACGTGCAACCGGTGTAGACATGTGTTCTCCACTCAGTCGACGCGAAATAAGCACAAGTGCCCGGATCTTATCCCTGCCGATAACTATCGTTCATGATATTCTAATTGTTTGGGTTCTTCGTTGGGACTTTCATGACAATTCACTTACAACAAACATGTATTATATACTCAAAAGCTATAAATTATGATGATGCACATACCTTATAAGAAATTGACAACGGCTACAAAATACTAAATAAAGATGCGCCACCAGCTACCTAGCGATGAAGTTTGCAGCCGACGCATTCCAACGTGAAGTATAGTCTCACCGCGGAGATCGGACTGAGCTTCAGATGTGCCAGGGATATCACATTAATCTCACCAAGCGACGCTGATAGCCCCACAACTCCCCAGAAGCGGATCACATCATGCTGACATATCTAACGTCGGTGGTTTTGGGTGTTACATACCGTCGGCATATAAATAGGGTATCGAGTCCGTTGGAATGGCGGTGTAACACACAGCAGCGTCGAGGTGATTATCGATCACCGAGGTTGAGAAGTCTGTGAATAAACTGTCATCTACTGCGCATTATTAATGAACGAATACTGACTGTCAATACCAATCCAATACGTTCAAGCTGGTCTTCGGAATGCAGCATTTCATTTGCCCTTCCATGAGGAGACATGCTGTTTTAATGTTGTTTTACTATTAAATAACTTCAACGTAAACAGTCACTGTAGAAGTTGGGACAGCGTTGAACGAACGTTAACGAGGAAGTCAGGTCTTAGATACTTCTCCACAGAGGAGTAGCTGAGAAACCAGTTACTCAGTGTCTATATCATATGCACCCCAGTTTACACTGTGCAATTTGGGTGATTCAACTACGTTTTCCCTTGTAAGTCTGTGGTCTTTCGATGGTGAACATGTCTACCTCGGGTGGTTCCGTTTTCAAAGGGACCGAAGGACTCTAAAAATGGCAGCCGGTTTCTTTGACCGTGAAGTGACAAGCGTGGAAGGTCCCGTTGAAGTGGAGAATGGCCCTTTTCAGTGGTTAGTAAGTTGCCGTACATGTTTGCACAAGGGGCAAGAGGTAGACATGAGAAAGCCTTTCTGGATGGCGTAAGGCTTTGTCAGTTTCTGTCGGCTTCGAGACCGATAACGAATGCAACGCGACAGCACTCTGGAGCTGACATCTGTCAAAGTGCTGATCGCACGTCTAAAGGCGTCCAGAACCTTATTATGGAAGCCCAGGACCGGAGATGGAAGATTGTCTGTAACCCACATGGCCATAGCTGTTTGAAATGCGCGAGGACTGTCGAATTTCGTTGATTGTGTAGGATGTCGGCTTACTCGGGGAGTCTCGGGATTACATGTGGGAGATTCATGGCTTGATAATCTGCGTCATACTACCACCGTACAGCGATCCGTCAATCCCACCGATAAGAACAGTTTTGTGCGGCAAGCCAAATATAAAACTCGAAAACTCGTCATATAATTCTCGCCTTCTCCATATACCTCAATGTTTCGTCGAAGCTCGCTAGGACGTTACTTAGACTTGTGCCACACCACAGGTGAACTACATCGGATGGCACCAGGCACACGGAGAAACACACAGAAGCGTAACGGCATTAACCGGGGACCGAGTGAGCTTGATCCTCGAAACATGTTGTTTGCGGCTGACCCTGGGTGAACGGTAGCTCTAACGGAGCGGTCCTATTTGATCGGCCGCTTAGGTTCTGCCACGTGAGGCGGTGTCACCTCATTGACGTCTTCGAGAGCCTCAACGAAGTTAAATCTTTGGTTTGAATGCGTAGTGATTCTGGCTTTCTCGAGCGGAAGCATCGCCAAGCACGTGGGATCAGCAAAAGCGGTAGCGACACCGGATATCGGAGTAGCTTACTTTCTCCAGGAACATCAAACAAAAAGACGTGCATTTCTGACTGTGGTCCTAATCTTCACGTTCAGACGTCTGCACACGCGGCAAATGCTTCCCAGCAAATAATCTCATTCAGTAATCTAGCCGGGTTTGGCATGGACACTTGATGTGGCCTCTATTAATCGGCTGCTATTTCCGACGATTCTGACCCAAGTCAGGTTTACATTCGCGTTGGCAACACTCTCCGTCGGGCAAGAATTAGAAGAAGAGGCCCCGATAACTGTTGACCGGAACCCGCGGCAGGCGGGATTCTTGATGGACACCATCGCCTGCTCGCTGTTACCACATCTCAGGACCATACCAGAGTTTCAAGCCTCGGGTGCCTTTTCGGAGCGACTCACTAAGGACTTTATGGGTGTTGGGTGTTGCGATGTCAATGATTTTTGCCGACAACATTGTTTCAAGTCCTTCGCCTCATTAACCGCGCCAGTCCCCATGTAGATAATCGTTGACATGCATTGCGGCGGGTTGGGGCAACTTTGCCTCCGAGTACAAAATCACTGTATGCCTATCCCCGAGCGTTCTCTTCCCATTCTTCCGTTGACTACTATGCTGCCTACGTATTAGTCAACATCCTAATCCCTCATCTACCTCAACCCCACCCTATTGAGTCCTCTGCCGTACTTTCAACCGAAGGATCTTCTCGGCCGAGTGATAAGCGGGATCAAAGAACGCGCTCCCTATTCAGCACCACCGTCTTCATCCAACACTTCTTCGATCTACCAACTCTGCGCAAGCGCCTTCTTTTCTTCACCTGCTCCAGTAATCACCTTTAAGCTTCTCCACGATTTGGTGGGTCCACAATTTCCTCGTCGATCCAATGGCTCTCATTGACCACATAGCTCTGTAGTAACACTGTTCATTCGAAAATGCAGTCAGCAATGTTAGGGAGCTCTGGGCATGAGAGCCGTACGTACCCATGCGGTTATACTTGCTCGTTGCTTGAGGTTAACTCACCGTTTACTATGTCCGTCAACCAACATCCGTATTTCACGGGTTCAACTCCGATGTCATCGGGTCACCGTCTTGTACTGCCCTCTATCTCTTTCTGTCTGTAGATCACCCACCATCAAACACAATCGGCCGGGTTTCATGCCCCTACGTGACATGCAAGAGAGAATTTTCGAGCGAGGTTAGTCCGCTCTCGTTGTTGAACTCCTCGTCTTCTGACTGCTTGTTTCATCCAATCAACAGTTTTCCCTCCAACTGCATATTTCGACGCACCAGGAACAGCCAGCGGCCCGGCACGCATGTCAGATGGGGTGTGCAGAGACGTTCTCCACGCCGCATGATCTTGCACGCCACGAGATAATGCAACACGGTCGTGCTCGCCAGTAAGGAGCACACAAGACCTTCGTTAGTAGACACATTATTACCGTTATAATACCGTAAAATCACTCCACATAATGTGTACGATACACTCCATTGACTTTCGTTCTTATTTCTTACTTTGTTTCGTCAAAATTTCAAGGTTCGAGCTGATCCAAACACTCCCAACACGGAGCCAAAATCTCATCGGGTTTAAACCAGCGGAACAAGGCCTATCGCCTATCTACGCGACCACTGTGACTGATTTATTTTTGGGGCTCGGGTGTTTAAAAGCCATGTTCTTCTGATATTCGGTTTCTGACTCGGAGTTAGGCACAGGGCTGGACGATCCACATGTCAGACACACGCCTACCTGTCAGTGCCGTCCTTGCACCCCCCCCGATGCAACACGACACCCTCAATGCAATATGCGCTGAATGAAAACGGTATCATATAATGAGCTGTAGGCTTGAATAAATGTGTTCCACCAGCCAACAAACAACTGTAGCGTGGGGAAAAGAGCAACAATACCCCCCTGCATCGAGGATTTCCTGTTGCATGAGGGCACAAGGGTAGTATGTACTGTTAGTACTGGCTTCACCAGAATGCACTAGCGCACACATGTGGTCGAAGTGCCGGATTTAGCCGAGAGAAGCCGTCGGACGTTGTCCCGTGGTCACATCGTCGTCTCGAGCCTCACTACTGTGATCCTTGAGTTTGAATTTCAGGAAGACGAAATCAATGCTCTGGCTCCTGGCCCCGAGTCGGCATGTTGCACGATGGTCACCAAGTGGCCATGGTTGCCTCTGCCGAGGCTGCCGAAGCTGCCGAGTCTGCCACCTTGTCATCAGACAATAGGACTCATGTCGAGATCGTGTACCCACCCGAATAAATCCCCATCCTCCACCTTATTGCGACCACATATTCTCTCATGCTCGGTACGTTGAAGCGAGACTGAATAATAGCGTAGCATGTTTTAGATCTTGGACTCGGAATGTATAGCGCGCGCAAAGGTAGCGGAGCGATCGAGAACTATGCCCGGAGAAGCGCAGGGAGCGCCGGACACCGGCGGAGGACTTGTCGGTATCTTTTGTAAATCTCTGCGCTTCGGAAAATCTCTGGCGATTCATTGAACGAAACTCGTGGCATCGAAGCGCTCAAATAATGAATAAGATAACCGAAGGCCTAAGAAAGCGAGCCACCAGCTGAGCATGGTCATATAGGGGTGCGAAATCCGGCCCGGCAGTCGCCAAACTAGCCGCGGTGTGAGATGCACAACAGCCTTGAGCATCGGGAGCCTATGTGTCATATCAGGGTCGGATTAGCGCGCGTTATCCCTGTTGATGTAGACGCTTGGAGCAAGGTTGCGATCAGAAGCTGTGGAGGAACTCTTGAATATCCTTTGACGAGCTGTCCAGGCCCGGAGAGGGCGACCACTAGGGACGAATAAAAAGAGCGAACAACAGGGACGAAGAGAAAAAGCGAAAATCGACGCCGAAAGGAACAGGCGAGAACATAGACTGAGCGGTGTAGAGAAAGATCTTTATTATCTTCTATAAATACACTATGGCTATGTCCTACAATAAATAAAGAGCGAAAGATACTGTACGAGAAAAGAGGGAAGAATGGTATATATGCAAAAAGGAGCGACAGTATTCAAGGTTAAAAGTATATAGCAACAGGAAGTTAAAGCCGGGCTTAACAAAAGTTCGGCGTTCGAGAGACCCATATATCCAGCCGAGAACGCAAGGCCACGAAAATCGGACCGTGAACACGATCGCTTCGACCAGTGGATCCGAATTTAAAATCAGATAATCCGTAACAGCGGCCCCGGCTCAGGCGCATCCACGCCCCGCTCGCGTCTGCGGAGCGCAACGCGGCGCTCGAGTTCCCAACGGACGAGCTCGCCCTTGAGCTTCTCGACGCGAACCTCGTCGACGGGGTGGCGCTGCCCGACGATGCGGTGCGCGAGCGTGCGTGCCTCCTGAATGACGGGCGACTCGGGCGGACGTACGGTTGAGCCGCAGTCGGTCGCCTTGGTGTTGCTGTGGCGCCGCTCCCAGAAGGTGACGGCGTCGCGCGCGTCGAAGCCGGCGTGGGCGAGGAGGCTGTGGGTGGGTCGGTAAGTTGGGGAAAGGCGTAGAGATGTGATGGGCAAAAGTGGCGCAGTGGAAAGGTGAGGAGGGACGGAGAGAAAAAGGAAGTAGAGAGGATTGGGAACGTGGAGGATGAGATAGTTACTTACCGGGCCGAAACCACATCTGCCTCGATCTCCTGCTTCACGCTATTACAGTACTCTCCCACTTTCGTCAGCTCGCCCGAGCCCATCTTGCCGAGCGCAGCGACCGCGTCGTTGACGAACGGACCAAAGATCATCGTGATGGGGAACAGCATCGTCCTGAACACGTCCGAGATCATGCTCACCACCGCGGGGAAGATGATCGTGCCCGAGGAGAGCGTCTCGAGGTGGTGCGACAGCACCAGATGCGCGAGCTCGTGCGAGAGCAGGATCGCGAGCTCCGCGGTCTGCTCGGGCGTCGGTCCCGTCCATGTAGGGTTGCTGGAAACGGAGGAAAGCGAGCCGAAGAGGGAGGAGAACCACGAGGACGAGGGCTGCTGTTCAGAAGCCGGAGAAGTGGGGCCCATCGGGACGCGCGAGAGGATGTCGTCCAGGAAACCAGAGTACACCACGATCCCGCCCCCACCGTCCGGCCCGAAGCCGTACGAGAACGCGTTCGACGCGTCGGGCTTGTCCACAATGAGCAGCGAGTACGGCGGGCCAGCCAGCACATGTGGTGCGGGGGCGGGCATGCGCCCGCACATGGTCTCGCACATGGAGTGCATGAGCTCCGACGCGCGCGGGCGCGGGCGAAGCGGATACTGCGCGGGCGGGGGGAAGGGGGCAGCTTCGTCGGGGCGCTCGAGCCAGTACTGCATCTGCGGCTGGCCTTCGCTGCAGATGTTGGGTATGCCGCGCTCGAGGCAGCGCAGGGTGTTTTGCACCCACTGGTAGCGCCAGTCGGACGGGGAGATGAACTTGGGCGCGGTGCCTTCGGCTGATAAGACCTCGGTGACGGCTTGGTACCATTTCGGGCCGGCGAGCTGGGCTGCTATTTCGTCTTCTTCTTCGGGGGAGAGGATGATCATGCGCCATCTGCGGGGTGAGAGGTGGACGCGTCAGCGGGCAACAAATGGGAAGAGAAAGATGGAGTGGGTCATGCACCTGCCTGTGAGCGGGGTCCTCTCGAAGCTGGCGAAGATTGCTGCCCAGAAGATTGCTATGGGGACGGAGAGTAGGATCTGGAAGAGGAGGGTACGTGTTTTAATCTTCTGCAGCAGCATGGCCTTCTTCTCCTCTGTCGCTGGTTCACCGTGGAACTTGGCATGGTGTGCGATGTACCGTTGGGTACGTTTGTTCTGAAACCAGAGCAATGGGATGAATGTGAGGGCTATTCGACCTGCTGCGCGAGCAACCTCTATCGTAGTGGAAGACTAAGAGGCCGCATCATGAGTAAGGTCACGAAGCTGCGGGATGAGACTGATACGTACCTTTAGAATGCCCAAAATGATCGGCACAAGGGGTGCACCATGCCGCGACGGTGTTGAGTGGAACGAGGACGTCCCGGGCTCGGTCTCCCATATCCTCCGTCTCCTCCAAATATTCTGAACCTCGCTGAGAATGAGGCCGGGTACCGCTTGGTGATATGATGGCCTGCTGGTCTTGCGTTGAAGTGATATACTTGCTGTGGAGTGGAGGAATGAGCGCTGGATAGTGAATAGAGGAGGTTTGGAGAAAGATCGAGGATGTAGCCTGCATGCTATTCGAATGGATGAGCGGAGCATTGTACATTGTCCTAGGGGAGTACTAGGAAGAAGATATGGTTTGCTGTCAGAAGGTTTGCATGACTAGGAGAGCTTTAGCGCGTTGTCTCCGGAGCCGTCGACGAGCAGACGACATACGCCCATAAACGGAAGGTCTCAAATAACCGACGGCATCAGGCCTACGCGTCCTCCCGGGTCCTCTCACCCGCTGCGCTCTTTCCCCACACCCCACCATCCTCACACGCAAGCCCAAACGTGGACCAACAGATCTTCGCGCAGCCGTCGCAGCACTGCAAATGCTGCTGTATAGGGAGGGCTTCTCAACTGCTACTCAACCCTTGGGTCTGTGCTAGTCTCCCCTAGGCAGCCGTTTATAGTAAAAAGGAAGATAGTCGTTCCTTCACAATAAACGGTCTGTGCAGAATCCATGGTGGGCATGTGCTCGCAGCTTCGCTCCATAGTCGTCGGAACTGCGCGCACTTATCTCTCGTGCCTCAATCTGCATCCGTCGCCCGCCTCGGCATGGCTCGCTGATTGCTATCTCGAACTCCCTCAGAAATGACCTGGAAACACAGAGAGTCTCTTGCAACATCCATCCTGCGATCTTGGTCGTTTGCTCGATAGTCAGTCGTCTACTGACTAGCAGGATAACACGGCACTCTCCTTGATACGCTAGACAAAACGAAGCACAGCTAAGGGCGGTGAAGTTCCGAGACGATAACCATAAAACGGCAGGCGCAGCAGCGATCTCAAAAGAATGCGCTCTGATGGGTAGATCGTGCTTATATACGAACCAAAAGGCTTTCTCAGTCTCGCTTGAATGACCGTGTCGCACCTTTCGTTGGCATTCTCGTCGCTCGTGCAATGGGAATATCTATCCTCAAACCGGCTATTTAACAAAAATCTACCAAGTGGCAGCCCCCTGCGCAGGTGACTGCAAACAATAGAACCGCGGCATCTTTTCATACACGCCTTGGCAACTTGAAAACATGTGTAGCATGAAAAAGGTATTTAAACTCGTGGTATGTCGAACCGCTTCTGAAAGTCGCTTCCTTCCTCTCTTCTCTCGCCCCAAACCCGCTATGTCCAAATCGAAGGGCGTTGTACTGATCACAGGCTCCGCAGCAGGTATCGGCCGCGCGAGCGCGCTCAAGCTTGCGAGCGACGGCTTTGACATTGCTGTCAACGATCTTACAAGCCAGAAGGATGGCTTGGAGACGCTGGCGCAGGAGATCGAGAACCTGGGCAGGAAGTCATGCGTGCTACCCTGCGATGTAACAAATGAGGACGCGGTGAAGGAGCTGGTCGCGAGCACAGTGCAGAAGCTTGGGTCACTCGACGTCGTAAGCCCTTCTGTACCAGCAGACCATCCAGCGAGGCGTTAGCTGATGCGGGTTTCCTTGTGAATGGCATCTAGATGGTTGCCAACGCAGGCATGTTCATGACCCCGACCCCTATCAACGAAAGTACGCGCCTTACATCGTGACCTCATTCTCAGATACCAACATCATCACTGCTCTTGCACAGTCGAGCAGCCGTTCTTCGAAAAGATCTTCGCAGTCAACGTTCACAGCGTCTTCTTCTGCTTCAAACACGCCAGCAACCAGATGATCGCCCAGGGCCGCGGCGGGCGCCTCATCGCCGCCACGTCGCTCTCGGGCCGCACTGGTGAGTACTACAGCGATAACTTACCTCCCCTCACCTCGCCATATGTGGTCTTCGTGCTCATCGATATGGGGCAATCGTGCAGCTTTCAGCAACCTGAGCGCGTACTGCGCCTCCAAGTTCGCCGTGCGCGGCTTGTGCGCCACTGCTGCGCTCGACCTGGGCAAGTACGGTATCACGGCGAACTCGTACGCTCCGGGGGCGATTGCTACCCAGATGAGTGAGTTATCTCCATGTTCTCGCTCTGTCTATTGCCCCGATGAGTCTAATGTCGGCTGCCTTAGCTGGGCTGGATACGAATCCCGAGTTGAAAGCATTGGTACGCTTTGGTTTCGTACTCTTTTGACCGGACCTGAACGTTTGCAACTGTGGTTTAGATGGAGACCAAAGCTGCTTTGGGGAGGACGGGGACCCCTGAGGACGTAGCAGGTGTAGTGTCGTTCCTAGCCTCCGAAGAGTCAAAGTTCGTCTCGGGGCAATGTGTGAGTAGCTCCTGCTGTGAGGTCAAAGTAGTTTCTCACTTTCGGGTTACAGATTGGGTGCGATGGCGCATGGATAAGCTAGAGGTAGACATGGGTTCATTTTCTGTAATCACACCCAAATGTGCGATGCTGCTGCAAGCCCGATTCAGGTGAATATTGTTGCCACATTTAGCGAACTGACTGGAACCAGGCCAAAGGATCTTGTACTCGTATTTATCATAAGTCCTGAGATAACGCACCTTTTCGCTGTGTAGAGGTTATAAATCCCACAGATTCATACTTGGTTGGTCGGATTGGGGCATGAAAGGGTATTTCAAGGAGTCGCTTTGGGCTGGCTCCTCGAGCCGCGGCAACACTACAGGTGGAGTGTAATCTGTACGTAAATCGAGAGAAGTATCCACTGGACACCCGGCTTCCCACGAAAAATGCGCATTGCAGCAGCGAATTTTTTCGTCCCGACCAGCGTCTTCAACCAACTCTCGTATTCGACAATGCAATAACATTGCTCACTGTAAGTTGAATGCCATCCGTGACTCAACCAGCTGTATCTGATGCGAAACAGTGGTAGCATGGCCGAACCGTCAGATCTCAGCGAGGAGGTGCATCTGGCCGATGTAGCTGCAGCAATTCAACCATGGCAAACTCCTTCGATCGTTTCGCTGCCCACTGAGACCCTTCTCGAGATCTTCAAGCTGGTATCTCTTGACCCACGCTACGACATTAACGGGCGAATCGGCACAGTTTGCGAAGTCATGCAAGACTTTGCCTCCGTTTGCCCCAAGTTCTTCGACGTTTTGACTCTAGTCCCAGAGTACTGGACTTTCATTGGCTTACGACCATTGCGAAGTTCACGGTGTCGTTCATTTTTTGCCGAGTATCCCTCACTTCTTGAGAGGATCTTCGAGGCATCTCGGGACCTTCAATTCGAGATCGCCGTCTACAACCCACGAGAGGTCGCGCTGGACAGGCTAAAGAAAGAGACAGAGCGTTTGCAGGTAACCAGGATTGTCAAGGCTTTATCCCTACACTTATCCAGGTGCACTTGTCTTCATGTCGAAACTCGCTATCGCTCATCCATCCTAAACTCCATCCCACACCTTTCGGGGCTGGCTGCGCCCAATCTCCGTCGCTTCCAGCTCATCTCGGGGGAGGCAGACAGCACCGACGGGCTTCGGCTGGATTCCCTCAACTTGCCTCGTCTCCGCTATCTCACGATCGATACTTGCAGCTTTATCAACCTTTCTTCAGCAACGATGAGCGCCTCCCATGAAGGAGAGGAAACGTCGCTCTACGTCCATCTTATGCCGTTCTCTTCTTCGTTATCAGCAGATGCTGTCCTTCATGCATTGACTGCGCTTGACAAACGGTACACGATTGTGGACCTGTTTATGGAACACCACTTGTTTGATGGTCCCCCACAGAATCTACCAGTTCCAATCCGTCACTTCTCAAGTATTGCTTTTGCAGACATCCGCGATAACATGGGCTTCTTTCCTGCGCTCCTGTCAAACTTCCGCTCGACAGATACCGTCACCTTCCACACGTGCCATTTGTTCTGCCCCATGACTATCGACGCCGACCGTCTTCTGCTAAACCAGATAAGCAAAGACAGCGATCTCAGACACGCGCTATCTAGCTGGACCGGTACACAACTGCACGTCACCTGTTGTAAGTCGTTCAACGATGACTTGCTTGACGCTATGGCGATACTTGGAACCACTGCAGAAAAAAGAAGTGTCTTGTGTCCGCGGTTGGAGACACTCATAATCGAAGATTGCGAATGCTTCTCGTACGACAGCTTACTGCGCATGGTCGAGGCTCGGGAGCCCCCGCTTCTGACCCTTGACATCAGAGGTAATACGTGCAAAATGGATTATTCAGCTGCCCGCACTCTAGGGCACTCTGTGGATGAGATACATTTTGAGACAGCAAATGTTATAATGGATGATTATTAACTTTTCGTTTCGAAGGAGACCGCAGGTTCATAGCGGGTGTGAATTGACACTGTGAGTGCGCGATCAGTATGATACACACGTATAATCTTTCGCTAATGGCTTTAATCACGCTGCGAAAAAGACGTCGGTGAACCGACACGTGTCAAGATCAGAGTAACTGTTGACACAGTGTTGTCGGTGCTTGAATAGTTCTTGACGCAACGTTGCAGATAACTCAACATAGACAACGATGGTCTTCCTACTTTTCCCATCTGTGATCCGCGTGGAAATAACATATCGTACCACTTTGGATTACCATAGCTATGTTTGGGAGTGCCAAAGAGACGGGCATCGCTTGACAAACAAGCAGTGTCGCTTTGCTCGCAAATTTGCGCAAGTACGAATCCGACAAGTCTGGCGTTACAGCGTGTGCCACACTCGCATCGCTCGGAACAAGCGGATCAATAATGTGTATCGATAGCCCCATGGTAATCAATGCATATTTGCGAGCATGAGTTTTGAATGAAGCGTTTCAAGCACTGATTCACTCGTCGAACTTAAGAGCACTTGCTGAAAATAGAATTATAATGAAAACGACGATATCGTATTCGATAGAAGATCTAGAGTAATACATGCTGGTTTGTGAATATGCTACAGGTTTTGCGATAATATACGATGATGTAGAGCACATGGAGAAATCTATCTTCCTGTTACGTTGCGTAAAGTCGTGTATAGCGTAGAACGTGAGACGTTTTGTTTCGTCGACTTCCGCACTTGCTATCTGCAGGATGGGGAGCCAATGAGCGCTGCAATGTCGCAGTTGCATGAAGTATAACGTCCTGTAGGAACCGGTAAAGCTAAGGGTGATGCAGCGTCAGTGAACGTCTCACATCTACGCGCATGGAATGACACTTACTACGTGACCCCCTTGCAAGTCAGTCGACCCTAATCGGCGTCATCAAAGAGGGTTCTTTAGTTGTGAGGCCCTTTTCTGGGGGATGCTGTTCCTGTGCGACCATACGCTCGAGTACGCCAGCAGATGCCAGCTCGCGGATATGAGCCATATGCTCTTCAGAACGGCTCGGCTGGTTAATCCCAGTGTGCATGCGATGTATGGGTTGAGAGGTACGCCTGGTGATGGGCGAATGGCGGGCGGGGCCGTGAATGGGTGTCATGGAAAGAGAAAGCCTAGAGAGCATGTCGGAAAGAGGTGGTTGTCAACAAATATCCTGGCATGTTAGCTGCGTTCGCCGCTGTTAATATATCCATCATCCACCTAGCGTGGCGGTGGGTTATGTGACATCGGAAATAAAGTGACGACGGCGAGGTGAACATAGATTCTTGGCGCTCCTCAGTCTGTCGTGAGGTAAATTGGGCCGTCGCGTCAAGGTGGGCCCCAGAGATAACGGGCCGGTCCTTAGCTTGGAGCAAAGGAAGACGATCCTCTCTAGTCTCCTTTTTGCAGCCGTTTTACACGTGTCGCTGCGCTCTTTTGACGCTGTGTAAAACGATCCTCTCAGGGCCTATTATGCTTGTCCGGGCGACCCTCTAGACACGATCGCGCGCATAGACCATAAAATGTATACACTACGAAACCTAAAGATTTTATGGGAAATTTAGTACAACTGCAAGTTCAGTCGGATCGGTTGCTACATTAGTCCGTATTGTACCGTCCGAAACTCCAGAGTGTGAACATCGAGTGTGTGCCAATCGAGATAGTAGCTTGATGTGTTTATGAAGCAATCATGCTTTCATGTTGACATCATAGCCACGCAGTACGAGCCACTGACCCGACAATGCTTCTTTTTTTAAACATATCCACGTCCACGTTTGACGCATGGGAAGTAATGGTGGCGGAGGGATTGATGCGGTGAGTTTGGTACCAGAAGACGTCAGTCCCTAGCGATGATAGTACTTAGTGACGTATGCAAGACGTACCTTATGACAAGCATTCTGCCGACTCTTGGAGCATATAGAGATCGACGGGACTGTTCAAGGCCATGCATATACTATGCCGGAACCCGCAATGAAAACCGTCACCTGCAATGAAATTCGACTGTCCCTCCCCTGTCCCTTGGTATATACCTACAAGATTGAACATGGGCCATCTTATGAAACTACTCTATGTCCGTATTGCGCGGCTTGGTAGAGGACTGAAAACTACGGACGCTAGGTACAAATTTCATTGCGGGTGACGGATTTCATTGCGGGTTCCAGCATAGTAAGGCCTCAGTTGCGAGACGTATTACACGTGGTGATTCACCCACCATCTTGTGGGCTCGGAGGTCTGTTGGGATGGTTGTAACCATGACCCGGAGCAGATTCCTGAGGATTGTTCCCGGAAGGCCGCTACCAGGAGTGCTGCTGAGTGGTTGGAGTGCTTAAGGAATGCTTTTACCAGTCCTTCTGATGTAATTTGAGTCTTGCCTGACTGGTCCACGTTAACCGAAGTTCGCCAACGCATTTGCCGCTCGCCATGCCCTAAGCTGGTGGCTCCTGACAGTGATTAGGCTGTGTAAATCCAGCCATATGGAATTTGCCGCTGAGCTGTTGCAACCAATACTTGTTCCTACGCACGGAAGAGGAGATTTAGCAAGGTGGTGGTTGGCGAGAGGAAAGGTGAGTCAAGGCCAACACGTAAGCCGGGCCATGAAGTCAAGAGGATCCGAACTCCGATGTGCGTGAGTGAGGGTGCCGTTGGTGCCGACGTCTCGAGGCCTGCGTCTGCCTTGCTCTGAACCACATCCACCCAACATGTCCTGGTTTTTCTCGTGTGTATCTCCCTTTTCTGCCTCCCATACCCTCTCAAGTATTCATTATACAGCTCAGTACCCGCCGACGCACAGAACTTCTTCCCCGTCTCATCCGCCTACCCCGAGTCTGAGCTCTTCTCCGAGCTCACACCCCAAGACACCGAGTGGACTTGCGCAGGTGGCTTTGTGACCGAGACGCAGGTGTTCTATCAGTTCCTTGAGGATGGCACCTTGATCATATTCCAGGTCATCCACTCTTCCGTTGGGTGCGTTACCGTGTCTTTCTGTGCCTATTCTTCTTTGCTCACGAAATCCCATCAATCCGATCTCGTTGCTCGTGTGCAATGTGGGGTGGGAATGACCGCGCTTAGTGTCTGGCCCACGATCCAGTTCACGGCCAAGATCTACAACCCGAACACCAAGGAGAGGGTCTGGCGTTCTTCAACCGTCAGGACGTTCACTACTCCTCCCCCCGGTCTCGACAAGCGCTCCTGCAAGGGCGAGACCGCAGACAAGAGCGAGCACTTCTCCATCACCTTCCGCCCCGCATATGGTGACAAGCCTGACACATACACCATTAATGCCAGTTTCGGCTCGGAGGTCCAGCTCTCTCTCGACATCGTCCGCCCCGCTGGCGTTCCCGCCTTCAAGATCGGCAGTGACAAGCCTGGTGACCCTCTCGCCCGCGGCGGCTTCTCATACTTTGGCCATGACAAGAAAGAGGGTTACGTCGTGCACCGCTTCTGGCCGCGTACGTACTCCACGGGTCATGTCATCCGCAACGGCGTCGCCACCGAGGTCAAGGGCCAGGGCATCTTCAACCACGCCATCCAGGGCATGCGGCCCAACCTCGTCGCCTCCCGCTGGAACTTTGCCAACTTCCAGTCGAACGAGCACGGTGGCATCAGTGCGGTCCAGATGGAGTTCACCACCTGCTCGACGCACGGCTTCAAGGGCGCCAACTCGGGCGCTGTCAAAGTCAACATCGGCTCCATCGTGCTGGGCGACAAGCTCGCGCTTGTGACGGCTGAGACCCAGGTGGAGGGACAGGAGCCCGCCAAGGGCAACGTGATCTCCCGTGTGCATCATCTGTCGCCTGCGCATGACGTGGACACGGGATACGGCATGCCTTCGGCGCTCAAGTACGAGTGGGCGGGATCGTCGATACTCGCCGACGCCTCCGGTCAGGTGGAGGCCACCCTAGAAGTTCAGACCGGCGCTCCGGCAGATCCGTCAGGGTTGGTCGAGAAGCTCGATGTCCTCGCCGAGTTCCCATCTGGCGTCAAGATGCTGGTTAACTACGTTGCCGGCACGAAGCCCTACATTTACCAGGTGCGGATCATTCGCCAATGGAACTACTCGCATCGATCTGACGTGTTTTATGACTACAGTGGCAGAACAACACCAAGCTCATCGTCAAGGGGCCGGACTCCATCATCCCCGGCCTTTCACAAGGCATCGAGGCCAACGGCATCCTCTTCAACGAGGCTACCTTCATTTCTTAATCGTCCCTCTTTCTCTCCACTTACCCCTAATGAAACCGATAACGATCGCTGGACACAGTATACAAGAAAGATGCCACCTTAGTACAGTACTGACGCTGAGAGGGGATGGGAGGATAGCGGATCTGTGCGACATGTAACACGTAGATGTAAACAAATGTCAGAAAGCATTGCTCGGTCTACACTGAGGAGGTTGATTAGATGGGGAAGCTGGAAAAGTGTCTGGTGAACAAGAAGACAAGAAAAGGTGTAAACGCTACAAAAAATGACCAACAACGGTACGGCCCAGATGGGGCTATTAGTAGTTATACAACAAGTCGTAAGGTACGTTGAAGCGTCGTGAGTGGTGCTCGTGGCCATAGGACGGGGATCGATAAGTTATGTCGATAGACAGGTGCGGTGCAGGATAAAATTGCCTGCTACTTCTTCGTACAAGTGCTCCTGACGAGTGCAGGCACGGAAGGATAACGCGGGGTAAAGTTACATGCAAACGGACGCGGATGTCTATAACGTGAACCACTCGTCAGCAATCCGACTTCTCCAGATCAGGCCAAAGAACGATCATGCTCGCAACTTACATGGCGATCCCGCCCTCGAACGCGTCTCCGACCTCCACCGGTCGCCCGTTGGCGTCCAGCGCGTGCTCGACCTTGAAGACGGCGAGCACGGAGACGATCGTGATCCAAAGTAGCTCGTCCGACGCGAACTTGCCCGGGCAGTTGCGCCGCCCCAGGCCGAAGACAGGGTCAGTCGTCAGTGGGGAGTCGATGAGTTTGCCATTGAAGGTGAAGTGTCGCTCGGGGCGGAAGGATTCGGGGTCGTCGAACCTGGACGGGTCGCGCGACATTGCCCTGCGAGTGGGGTGTAAGTTGAACTGGAAGAGGCATGATAGGGAGAGATACGGGACGCGTACCAGGCATTCATGATCACGATAGCCCCTAAGTCACGATAAGCATACGATGGGCGTGGGTGATCGAAGGAGAGGACAAACCTTTGGGAATAAAGTATCCTTCATAATAGTCATCAATGGCCGTTGCATGCGGAATTCCTATTTCACGGAGTGTCACTGATTTGGAATGAGAGAACAGTCGCGCCTCTGCGACAAACCTAGTGGTACAACAGGACGCCATCTCAGCACCTCGCGTATGATAGCCTCGATGTATGGCATCGACGGCCGGTCCTCAAAGCTGGGCAGCCGATCGTTGCCAACGATCGCGTCGATCTCGGCGTGGGCGCGCGCCTGGATATGAGGGTGGAGCAACATCGCCAGCACGAAGCTCTGGAGCACAGAGGCGCTCTGAAGTAAACCTTGATCTGAGCTGCCGTAAGTATGAGACAAAACGGCGACTTACGGTCTCCGAGCCAGCTGTGGACAAAGGGGTTTAGGACGGGGGATAACACGGGCTCCATCGTGATTACAAGGAGCTTACCTATAAAAACGGTGGCGGCGGCTTCTCGGATAGCCTGTTCCTGAGTCTGGTAATCCTCTTTCTCGTCCAGTGTTCCGAGGAGATCTGACACCATAGACGGAGGTGCAGTTCCGTTTGCCTGTGAAATGACGGTCCGAATGAGAGTCAGCCAATTCGGTAGATCTTGGTCCATCGTTCGGACTTACGACGGTGCGCAGCACAAAATCAAACGGCTCGTTCATGACTCGCTCGGAAAAGGATTGTCCGCGCGCGATGGACTCCTTGAAGCCTCCACCTGGGAACCATGACGGCACACGCGCCACTAGATGTGGCGTGAGCGCTTGAGCCACTGCAGTAACAAAAGAGAAGATTCTTTGAACCACAGTCACTTACGGAATGGGAACATAGTCAACGCCACCGCTCTCTCAGGCGCAAGCTCCTTCTCCAATAAACGGATGAGCTCCTCCACGTTGTCCACGATCGGGTCCTGATTGGGCTTCGTTTCGTAGCCGTAGGTCATAGCCATGACCGTACTTGCAACATGACTGCGTGTTAGATAACCGTGATGCAAACACGAATACCATCAGGACATGTGCGACATCAGCAGTGACAGTGCGTTGACATCACCATTGACGTTAAAAAGCGAAAGAAGCGGACGGGTTTTTCATGTCAGCTAACGTTCAACAATTATGATCGAGTGACGCCAGCACTAACCTCTTCAAGTGCTGCGTGAAGGTGGCGGGCGACTCTAGCAAATTGCTTAGGAGCCCATGGGTCTTTCGGGCATAGGTTGATCGATAGGTTGACGCCGACTCTGCACGGAGCGCTTGATGGAATAGTTTCCTTTTGTACGGCATCATATGGGAGTAGTTATGAGCCCATATTCCATGATATTACGGTACAGCCGCCCCTAAATACACGGTTTGTACTCACCTGTGAAGTCTCCACTCGTCGCCATACTGACGATGGACAGTGCTGAAGCCTATCCCCATCCTACACATACCAGCTTCAGTCATGAAGCGCTCAGAGTTTATAAGGATCGATGGACTCACAGTTCTGCGGTCGGGATCACCGGGCGATCCGAGTAGATCGAAGAACGCTTCTCCATCAGGGCGCGAGCGACCGGAAGCGAGTTGATAATAATGAAATGTTGGCCAAACATCTCCGTATGGATGATGTCACCTTTACCAGCGTCAGGCTCTGTTCTCTAAGACGTGGGCCAAGAACGAGCACTCACCGAAGGTTTTGCGCCATTTGGTGTAGGTAAGCCATGGTTCTGTGGCACTGACGTTGAAGATGTTGCCCAGAAGAGGGAGAGGAGTAGGTCCTGGCGGATACGGCAAGGATCGCCTGGTGCGGACCCACCGTACAAATGCGTAAGAAATTGTCACCAAGCACAGGAGAAGGAGGATAAGTCGTTCATCGACGATAGCAGTCATGAGTATATCGTGGGTTCGGGAAGTCTAGTCAGCGTGAGTGAAGTAGAAACTGCAGTCTAGCGGCAGTGAGTATTGGTCGGGTCGTCGTGTCGTTAGGAGAGGGGATAGGAAAGAAGAAAATGTGAGGATCCAGAAGTGCAACCTTACCGAAGATTGGACTGACATGGTCCTTATGTAGGACCTAAATTTCAGATCGCTAGCCGATCGCGAGCAAGCGAATAAGGGGCAACGGCCGATCTCATGTCAAGGACGACCCAAGGAACTCCAAGGAACCAAATAGACGGAAAGAGATCCACCACCCACATCACGAAGGAGCCCGTAAGCTCCCTGATTAGACCAAATCTGTACGTTGAGCCTCCTTAGTAGGTAGGAGCTTCACAGGACACGTCAAACTGTCAGCAAAGATGCTGCGTAATTGCAAGATGACCAACCGAAGGTTTTGCAAGCTCTCGCCGGGATGACAGCTGGCTTCAGAACACAGCGTTCACGATCAAGGTTTGAGTTCCTCAAACGGAAGCAGCGGCTGCAAAAACAGCGATCTTACTTCTCCGAAGCCATATGATATCCTCTCGTCTTGGTGTGCTGTCACTTGAAGCGGCGAACACACTGAGCACTCGTAAACTCTCCCATCTCGATAGACCCTCGATACAGCCCGGCCTCGGATTTGATATCGCTATGAGAAACGCTCGAAATTAGCTCGGGCTTCTCCCTCGGAAGTAAAGTGAGTGTGTACAGAAGTGAAAGAAGTTCAACGGATGAGAATCCTGTTCGTGTCTGAGACTTCGAGTCGCCTATCTTGATCCTCGGAGTCGGTACCGTTTAGCAGCCGTTTGGCTGTCCTGATTCCATACAGGGCGACCCAGATTACTTTGACTTGCTTATCGCTCCGGGCGACGTTGTCGACAGCGTAAGCTGTGTGGATGTAATGAAGATGAAGGCATGACTTGCACGAGTTACGGGATGTCTCTCTCACCGCAACATCACGAGTGGTGTCGCGGCAAACCACATCTGCGTGGCGAGATCGGGCTTTCCCCGGATCTTGACATGAGACGCTAGAAAGCTCGGTGTTTGTCAGGCTGCCACAAGCCGCCACAGTTTCTTAAGAGGTGCAGGAGAGTCGCAGGAGGGTACAGGTTGGGCTCGATTATTCCGATCCCGGGGGAATCTCAAATTGTCTCGAGGACGCTAAATCAGGACAACAACAGCCAGGTCTACATGTATCAACGGCACTGCAGTCTTCGACGCCGTAATGTGCAGAGGAGCTAAGATGTTGGGACAACATACAACTCACGAGTCGTCTTCCGCCGACGTACATTTGCCGATTAAAGCGGCATTCCGCGGAACGAACTTGCACGGGAACGAGCATGGGTGACTGACCACGTTTGGAGTGATCATGATAGGCGCAATGCATGACAATGAACGTCAGTCATCTCCGCATCTAGGCACAGTGCTGCACGACTGAACTTACATCGCAAGGCCGGGCGTGAATTTCTCCTCCACTTCAATCTCTCTTCCTGACCGGTCTGTCGCCTTTTCGATGCGGAATGCCGCGAGAATCGAAACGATCGCAGCCCACATAAGCGCGTCGGACATGTACCGCCCTGGGCAAATCCTGCGCCCCATGCCGAAGATCGGGTCGTTCGTTACCGACTCGGGCTTGAGCGCCAGCTTGTCAGAACCATCGGGTGTCGGTGCGAGGTGCCGCGATGGGTCAAATATCTCCGGATTTGCGTACCGCCGATCGTCCCTCGTCATTGCCCTGTATAGATAGCTCGGCGTCAGCACTAAGTACTAAGAGCGGTTGCCAGCCAAGCCAACAAAGCTGGAAAGGAACTCGAGACGCACCAAACGTTCATCATGACAGTAGCGCCTACAATCGCACCCTTGGTCAGCACAGTGTTGCTAAATTAAGAGAGCAACCCGACGCCGCCGCAGCGCACTACAACTGCGCATACCACGGCAGATGGCAGCAACACATTGGGGAAGCTTACCTTTCGGTATGTAGTACCCGCCGTACACATCATCCGCCGACGTCGCATGCGGTATGCCTGAGTAAGCATTATATATTGGATCTTAGCGTTGATCACTGGGTTTAGCAAAACGACAATAACGCACCGAGGGGTACGACCGGATGCCATCTGAGCAGCTCGCGCCAGATGCACTCCACGTATGGCAGTGTCTCCCGGTCCTCGAAAGTCGGTAATCTGTCGCGTCCGACAACGCTATCGATTTCGGCCTGCGCCCGTTTCTGAACCTCCGGGTACCGGAGCATTGCGAGCGCGAAGACATGCAATGTTGAAGAGCTCTTCGTAATACACATCGTAAATCAGAATTCGGGGGCCTCCGATGCTGTACCAGATGGTGCTTACCGTCTCAGATCCGGCTGGTTCACCCACCGTGACGCCATCAGTACAAGAAAAACACGATTAAAGCGAAGATCACACCTATAAAGACCGTTGCCGCCGTCGCTTTCATCGCTCGCTCTTGGGCGTTGTTATCCTCGCTTTCGTCGAATGAGCTTAGCAAGTCCGAGACCATTGATGGGCGTGCTGTATTCTCCGCCTACCGTAGCCCTTTAGTTCTGCCTTACGGGGGTGGATGAAATCACGAACCAGAGACCGTTTCACGAATTCAAATGGTACGTCGTTCACCTGTTTAGCGAGCCCCCGCGCCAATACGGCATCGCGCTTAAACCCTGCGCCTGGGAACCAAGACGGGAGTTTCTCCACTGAAAGCAAAGCAGGGATGATATCAGCAAATAATTCGTCGTGTGACGTTACCCTGACGTACACGCAGGGAAGGCCTTGAATATCGCCATGCGCTCAGGCGAGAGTGCAACCGCAAGTAGACGGATGAGCATGTCGACCGCCCCAACGAGTGGGTCGTTGCGTGGTTGCGTCTCGTATCCGTACGTCTGAGCCATCACGATGGACGCGACAAAGCTAGTAAAGAGGATCAGCAAGGTCAATCCTCCCAATATACGCGCATATATGCGCGTTCGAATAGCAGAGACACGACGAGCATAAGTACGTACCCACGGAAATGACCCTCGAAGCCCTCAGGTGCGTCGAGTAGATTTGCAAGAAGACCGTGAGCTTTCTCAAGGTAGAGATTCTGGTAACGGATCGCAGTCTCCCCCCTAAGACTATGGTGGAAGAGTTTTCTGCGGAAGCGCATCTCAGTACGTTACAAGCGGGCGCATATATGCGGTCAACGGGGGTGTTTTCCCCACCTGTGTAATCTCCATGTGTCGCCGTAGGGCTGTAAAACGGTGTTGAAGTCGATTCCGAACCTATAGACACGTCAGAGGTGTGCATATATGCGGGACAGAGACACGATGCACGAACAATTTGTTTGCAGGAAAGACGGGGCGGTCAGAGTAGACTGATGAGCGTTGTTCGAGTAGAGCTTTAGCTGCATCATAGGTGTTGACAATGATATAGTCTGATCCAAGAAGCTTCGTGTATATGATGTCCCCTGTAGCGCGCGAAGTACATACGTAAGTGTGGGCGAGGCTCGAGACTGAAAGGGGAAACGCACCGTATTTCTTTTGCATCTCCGTATAGCTCACCCATGGTTGAGCTCTGTCGATGTCGAGAACGTTTCCGAGGAAGGGAAGAGGGGTTGGTCCAGGAGGGTATGGGAGCTTGGCTCGCGTCGGACGTCGAAGTTGTGCGAGCTTGGAAAGTGCAAAGGTGAGGGTGAAGGCGCCGCAGAAGGTTAGGCAAGGTAGAAGAACAGAGCTCAGCATCGGCGTCGTGAAAGTGTTCCAGAAATAATGGAGGGAGTGAAAGTCGATGCAGAGGTAATCGAGGCAGATGTAGTCTTTAAAAACCTGGGGTATCAAGTGTTCATAAAGTGGGTATATAAAAAGAGCGACGTAATGGAGCGCTAGCTATGTCCTCAGTTAGTAGACAAGAACCGCGAGAGTGGAACAGCCGTAAGCAGTTCCAGAGAAGGAAGAGGGCAAGGAACGACAGAATGCAGTTGGAGCTGGGGGATGAAGCTTTGAAGAGACGCGAATGAACAAAGAGGTCAGAGCGAGGGCGGCATATGCCCATCTATAGACGAGGGCCAGACTGTCGGTATAAGTGATAGCGCATGAATGATGACGAGCCTGGTCAACCAGGGCACGACAGTGGCACGACCCGCTCCGAGAAAACATATTTGATTGTTCCCGTGCCTTTGCCGCTGTGATCGAAAATGTACCGATGCAACAAAAACATTCAGCCGGGTACGAAAATTGCTTAGTACTGTGAGAAACACACCGGCAAGCCCGACCATCCCGTCCGACCCACTCCAAACCTCCTCGCGAAATGACTGGATGCGGTTGATAAGACATTTTTGAATGTCGATGGTCGTTCATGTGAGGATGAAAAGAGTGTTAAGCCGTGACATCGTCAATCAGTTGCAAGGGACGAGATGCACGCGGCGCGGGCACTGGCTGTCACCGCAGACTAGCGCAGATCAGATGCGGAGGTCGAAAATGAAAAGAAAATGTCGAGGGCTTCTCTCGAGATTGTCTCCCACGCTTTATAATGATTTTGTTGTTCCTACGCGTCTTTCTTGCATCTTTCTGGGAACCGCGTATCTACCCAGCATTTTTATGTCTTGTCTCTATGATAAGTTGTGAATCTCGATCATTCACTATGTTCTCCGGAGCGGGAAACATTTCTCATCTCATCCCTGAGCAATCCCTGAACACATGTCAACTTGCCGATTTATGCTTCGATACTGTCATAATGAATCAATCAATGCAATATAGTCTCCCCTAGGCAAACCCTATATCAGAAGATAGTCGCTCTTGATATGAATCAATGTGGGCGTCAAACCTCGTCAAACCCGTGCCGCACAGAGCCGCACCCTCTAAGTACGGCAGAGTACGGTCAACCCAATGCCATCACGTCACTAAGGGCGACGGCTGGCAACGACCTAGCTTTGAATGCGAGCATGTCGGAGAATACTAAGCAACAGACTGCGCAGAGCACACGACCTCGGGCAACACAAGCGCTTGAGACTATGTAGTGATAAATTACGAAGAAAAGTGCACCGGCAAGAGCACCGGAGTTACGGGAGTAGATATTCCGGGAACAAGTCAGCCTTTCTCACGCTGTGAAATCCCATCATTTTGGACGGAAGACAGGAGCCCTCCGCCAGCCTCAACACGCGACCATCATGTCCCTGCCACTACTGCCAGGACATGTCATGCACCTGTCTCCATTCCACTTTTCTTCTACTGAACCGGACTTGACTAGTACAAACATATTCAAGTCCTTGGATGATCTGAACAAGCTCGTGAGTACTTGACCTACGCAATCACTTGAGGACGGATTTACCATCTGTCATGTAGGCCCCTCGCGTCTTGCAAGATGTGAATGTAGGTGATATTCAGTGTAGATTCAGTCCATTATCGATGACTTAGTCGGCTTCTGATAGGATTCTCTCAGATCGTCACCCTATGCCGAACGCTTAGCACAGGACCCAGGGCTCGACGTCGAGCCCGGGTCGCAGGATGATCAAAGGCTACGACACGAGATCGCAACCTACCACTCACTCATGTCCAGTATTCACATCATCACGGAACAGCTCAACCTGTGCCACTCAAAACTCAGCCAAGCGTCCCTTGCGCACTTCAGACCCATCTGCGCCCTTACCCGTATGCCCTCCGAGATTCTTGCTAGTATCTTCGTGTTATCCGTCCAGCTAACCCCTGTCGAACTCCATCCTGTCTCACACTACGGATTTGAGCCCGAACGGTACGACGGCCACTTATCCACCTACCGACACGCTGGTCGCACCCCCGCGCTGAATGTTGCCCAGATATGCCGTCACTGGCGCGCGATCGCCCTTGGCACCCCCGAGCTTTGGAATGTCATTGCCCCGGCAAAGTTGCGGCAGCTTGAGTTGACGCCGTCTAACGACCCAGACGGCCCTAGCCCATTCATACAAATGATTATGTGGTCTGAAAAACCGAGGCTTGTGAACGCCGTCGCTGCCGAGCTACTACACAGGTCGCGAGGCGCACCACTGATGCTGGCGCTTGATACGTGTGGCACGCATTACATGAGCTCACTATCACCCAAGCACACATCACCAGCGTTCAGGGGGCGATGCGAGGGGCTGGAGATTATATACATGGAAGAGGGTGGCTTCCTGAATCTAATCCGCTTCCACGCACTCCCATCATCCGGGCTGAAGCGTCTCCGGCTCGTGGGAAGCCTCATCGCGGAGGGAACAGGCGATGAGCTTACGCGCCACTCCAATCTGCGAGAGCTCTGCGTCGATGTCCCGCAGCGGGGCTTCAACGTCAAGACGTTCTTCCCCTCCTCCCAGACGCCCACGTTTCCCGGGCACTGGAGGTTCCTAACATCCCTCCAGATTACGTGCAACCATTTCTGCGGTCTTAAAATTGACACAGTCGTGCTTCACATCTACAGCATCGCGCCGAACCTTGAGCACCTTTACGTGCAGGAGAATGATAACACAGCATTCGCATCAAACTATTACAACGTTTTCTTTAAGCCTCTCGGCCTACCACAGGGAAGTGCCCTGACCCCGTTCATTTGGCAGAAACTTCGCTTCCTGGGTTTGCATAGTGTCAACGACCTGCGTACGTCGAGGCTTCTGCAGGCGCTGAAGTGTCCTTCTCTGGTAGAATTCGTCACAAACGCACACGTACACAAGGAGAACGTTGACACGTTTCTCAACAACTGCGGAGAGTCATTGAAAAGGGTCAGGCTGCTGAAATCTGTCACACATGAGATGTCGCCGAAGCTAGGCGAAGATATCAAGCAGGACATCGAGACGACTCATCCAACGTTGAAGGTGGAAGAGATTGAGAAAAAGGATACGCGGTTCTTCTCGCTTCCTGTGTGGTACGGTTATGTGGAGATAGTCGAAGAGTGCGGTTGTAGGCGGTATTGGGACCCCGATGCGTGATGAACTTGCCTAGGCCTCTAGTTCTAGACGTGAAGACGTAGATATGACGGAGCATAAAACAGTAGTGTAACATCATATGCATTAATCCGTCTTATAAAATACAACACCTTGCTCGTAACTAAGTCGTGAACGAGTCGTATAACATTCCACCAGAGTTTCCCCGCCTATGGACGTATCAGGCTTTGGATAATTCGCTTCCAGATTCTAACTTGACTACCGAGGGATCGCCGTCTGCAAACCGCATTTCATCCAACTCAACTCCATTGAACGTTCCGATGTGAATAACCTTGCTATCAAACCGTCGAATGCTTAGGAACATGATTGGACCAATCATACAGAAGCCGAATACTGATGTCACTTCAACGAATATGATCCAGGATATGCTGTTAAGCTGCACAGATTAGTGGGCATTGCAACTTTGATGATGAACTTATTATTCCTACCAGATTAGTGGGAAACTGCGGTAGTACGCTGACTCCTTGAATTGCCCAAGAAAGTGATGCGCTTCGAAGTAGGATTATCAACAAGTCTGAGGAGAACGGTTAATGTTACGCACATTAGAAAGTACAAGACGTGATCTCTGGTCACCAGCGACAATAGCGTATGGAAGTTCCATACGGCCATATGATAGTTTCTTAGCCGTTTGAAGAAGTGGTACAGCACCATGATAAGCAGCATAATTTCGTAGGCGCATACAGCAAAATTGCTTGCCACTAGTAGGCGAATCGTTGCTGGCTGAAAAACATAACTGCAACTTGCTGGTAACGGGATCACTTGACACATGAACAGTCAATAAAAACACAACAACAAGTGCTCGAAGAATGACTGTACCAATCACGTCAACTTGAATGATGAAGTCGATAGATGCAGCAATGTTGAGGGCTTGTGTGATAGCAAAGCATGCTATCAGAATAGCGAAGATTTTTCTGGACCTGTGGTACATTGCGTGCACTCTTAGTCCCATCATTACTAGAGTCATATATTGAATAGAAGCCAGGTGCAAGCTACTAATATATACGTGCCATTGAGCCCGAAGATTATCGCGAAGGCTATCGCGCCTTCTGATACTGTAATGGCAGCCACACCTATGTAGGACGGCGTTCGGGTTCAGATCAAAGAGTACATTTATTAGTATTCACTTACATCTGAAAGGACGTATGTCTATCGCATGAGAAAGGAAAAAGCATGGGACGAAAGAAGACTTACGCCTGCATACCGAAGTCAATATATATAGATAGTAAAGCTGGGGATCCTACTTACGCCGTAACTTGTATGCATTATTGGAACTGTTGTATGTACGTTAGAAAATTTATTGCGTCTGTGTAAAGCGGATTGAATCTCACGCAATGAAAGACTACACGTTCTCAAGCTTGAGAACGCAGATTTGCCAAATCGACAGGCCGAAAAATGTACTCACATGGTTTCTATCATTCCTCCGTAACATAGCTGTGATATACAAGTCCGTGTAAGAATCTCAACTTGATCACAATGGCTGTGCTTTTACCAGACCGTAAAGCACCATGGTCCTCGTTGACGAGTGTCGCCTCTGAAAAGACTGTCAAAAAGGTGCATGATGGACCGAAAATACACATAGTAATACCCATATAAGATCAATCTTCATGACGACATGATGAGCATTGCAGTTCCCACTAATAAAGTGAAAGACTTGCCTCGTCACCTAGATTAAGAACTTGGTGCGAAAATGTTATGTCAGTGCGATAAAGTCGTTGTACGTCTGTAACTATGGATGACGCACGAATTCTGTAAACGACCAAGAACGACATGCCACCTAGAAAAAGCGCCGTCAGCTCCGAGTACACATGCTGCAGGATGAACTAAGAGCTCTGACATGATATACAGTTTCTCACTTGTATTGCTCGTGCGGCAGCCTCTAAACCCTGAGACGACATTGGAGGGGTCCGGCACCGACGGCTGGGCAGAGAGCGCTAGGTCTCTGAATGCCCGTGTTTTATGTAGTTTGCTCGCATGGAAGCAGTGTCTCTTCTCGGGCGACATCAACCGGGTGGAGCTGATGTTACACTAGATGATTGATGGGTCATACCCGTTTGTATCTGTGGATCACTCGATAAGATGCTATCGTTTCGTTTTCGGCGAGAATAAATGCCATCGCTGCTGTCCAGAGCATGTGCTATCATATCAGGGTACATGTACCCTGCGTTGGAATTGGTTTATTGGCTGGGATGTACGTCCTGAAACAAGGCTATTCTCAGTAAATTGATCGGAGGCTGGGCGTACCTGAACCTTGTTAAAATTGAATAAACACTAGACTAAGTTGGCGATTTTGGATACTGAGCGTGTAGTCATTGATCTCCCGCACAAATCTTGTATCGGAGTTGATATGAATGGACTCCTCTCATGTCCTAATACGTGGTCCTCCTTGCACTCCTAAGTAAATTTCTGCCAGTGTCCAGTAGTCAGATCGACGCATAGATTTGGTAAGAGATTGGTCAGTACTGATCCTCCTAGCTAATGGACTACGAGCGCGTCACGTTTACGCGTTGCCTTGACATGGTTGTGTAGATCAAGAGCTTGGATTTTCCAATAAATATTTGGACTCTGAGTCCAAGTTGCAGCCCTGTGGACTATCATCAGCGCAAGGTTGCCTGTACCATGACCAAATGAGCCTTACATAATATTTATATTTGGCAGTAACTTTATGACGCACAGAAGCCCACTTCTGAAGTTGTCGGTGCAAAGTTCGTTGGAAACGGGGGCCCAGAACCAAATCCAAGCCGTGAGTCATTGTCGGGGCAGAGTTTACTGCGCGAGAGCGACTGCGAGCACAGTCACGGTCTGCTGCTGAGGGAGATCGTGGGAATTTTTCTACAGTAACGCCGCACAAGCTATAATCGGTCCCTTTACAGTTCATTTCCTCTCCGTTTATCACTCTTGCAACTTGCTTCCAACCTTGTATCGACTGAGCATCCAATGTCAGCTCCCCGTTCGATGGCACTTGGAGAGATCCTGAGTCTGGTAAGAGATTCTTCTTCCAATTCGAGCGTCTCACTAAACAATGGTTTCCTTGCAGATACCGCGTGTTATTGACGATGTCAATGTACGTACCGCGTCTGATGGCAATCGATGAGCTCACTCAAGTGGGCCTCTCAGTGTACGCTTGGTGCTTCTCCGTGTAGTCCCTACCTCAACACGAATGCCAACGTCTCACTGGGCCCTTTGGCTAATGATGCGCGACACGCCGTAACCGAGTACACAGCACTTCTGGATAGCCTCCACCGCGCAGCATCTACGCTTTCTCAGTGTGCCATCAAAGTCAACGAGTCCATCCAAGCCCACAAGCGGCTGGTCTCTGCCGCGACTCGTCTTCCACCCGAGATACTAGGATCCATCTTCGTCCGGGCTCTTCCACCAATGAAAGATGCTTTTCGTGAAACAGATCTCGACTTCCGGTTCTTCACATATATTTCTGAAGGGCGGCGAGTTGCTATCAACTTCGCACAGGTCTGCAGAAACTGGCGTGAAATAGCGCTACACTGCACAGAGCTATGGAACCCCATTTTCGTCAAGCTCGCCCCTGAGTCACTTGGCAACCGGTCGGCACCCGTCGAGGAGCTTGTGCGAAGAGCGAACAAGGACGATGCGCCGCTCACATTGGTGGTCGATGCATCTGCCGATGACATTGGTCTGTTTGAGCGCGAGAAATTACAGGAGGCATGCCAGGGCTCGCTTGCGCCTTTTCAAAAGCGATGCACTGCGATCGAGATCGACATCCGGGAGGGCGTGGTACTATCCCCACTCCTCGCACACCTTTCTCATCCATCTGGCCTTTCCCGCTTGCGCTTGATGGGTGACATCTTTCCTACTGGGCCTCACGGGCCTGCCTTGCTCGACTCAGTGAGGCACCCTGCACTCGCTGACTTGACGCTTCAGGCGTTCAGACAACCCCTTGACTTCGGCCGCGTCTTCACTCCCTCATCGAGATGGGATAAGCTAGTCTCTTTGCAGCTGATTACTGGCGGATTCGCCAATGATGAAGCTCCCCATCAGGTCGTGCGCAAGCTTCTCTTTGTCTGTCCTTCTCTCCGCCAACTCCTCGTCCGGGCTACTACAGACCAGGGATTTGCATCCTTGCAAGACAACATCATTGCTCCTACGTCGATGTCACAGCAAAACACATTAAACATAGACACATCCGAGATCATCACCTCCACTTCTTTGCGTGCACTGGTACTCGTTGTCCACAACACCCTCATGGGTAGCACGCTTCTCTCCTTACTCCGCTGCCCATCGCTGCACACCTTAGTGATCAGCCCGTTCGTGATGCTTCCGAGTCTCGAGACTTTCCTTACCCACGCGGGATCAGCAAAGAGGCTTGTAATAACTACAAACTACTCCCCTGTGGACGTCGCGGTTGGCAAGATCAGGGACGCATTCCCGTCATTGGCTGTGGAGCTAGCCAATATCAGAGAGGGCAAGGAGTGGTTTGCGCTGCCGTTGTGGTACAAAGACAGGGAGGATGTCGCATGGGAGGCATAATCATGGGCTGAGATTACATTTGAAACACGAGGTTCATAATTTTCAATCAATTAGTATCGTAATGTTACATTGGGCACATCCATGCATCGACGCTTGAGACTTTGAGACAACCTTGAGACCATTTTCAATCTCGGGGAAGGGAAGTCTGTACATGATTCACCGAGAGGACATCGCGAGAGCGATTGCCGCTGTGATGAACGACTGGGAGGCGGCGACGCGGGACGGTCCGCGAGATGGTCGATGGATGCTCACGGACGGCTTTGTCTATGACTGGTGGTCTCTCTTCGCAGGATGTGCAGGCGAGACAAGAAGCTCGGAAGATGGGGCTGAGCGCCAGCCAAGTAAACAAGCACAGTGGGTATACGAGCTCATGCAGGAAGAGGGAGTGCAGGGACCTTCCAGCTCGTACCTCTGAAGGCCGGTCTGTGACTCGAACCGTTAAACAGGATTTTTATCCGGTAGATATTGCATAAGGGCCCATGAGATGTCATGAATACAATAAGAAGGTAGCTAGAGGGGTACTAGATCCGAGATGGGAATATCTCTAGTCTAGGATGCGCAAGTACGATACGGTAAGCAGCATGTGCGAACAGTCATATAAATCCAAGAATAAGTTACGATGCACTGCGCGTGAATAGGCTATGAGTGGGGTATCCGCGTGATAATCAGTCCATTAGAAGCGTTGGTTGAAGTCGTTCAAGCGACAAAGGTTTGTACACTTTCTAGCCAATTGACGTACTCCTGCATCATCGTCAACCTTCGAACGCAAAGGGTAAGAACATGGAACACGCACGATTTGTTCTTTCTGCTTCACATACTCCCTAACAAACATGGCAAGCTCGTCATCTATCCCTCGCTTCTGCAGATATCGCACGAAACCTGTGCGGACATGCGATGGGAGGTCGTCAAACTGTTCGATTTCCTCATGAATGAAAAGAAGGCTAAGCACGAGGGTGATATGTGAACACACCCTAGACCCTTCCCATACACTAGCACGATAGCGCTCCCCTTCGGGCGTACGCTCAGCGGCCTTGGCTCCGTCTGAGCAGTGCGCAATTGTCCCAATCGCAAATTTCCCGCTTGTGGTAGTGTTGCCGCTGACGATTATGGCGCCCTTCTTTGGCTATATTGCAACGTGAGCACACAAAATCCTTGATAAAGCCGCATAAAAAACGCACCTTGGAGAGTATAACCTGATATCTCACGTCTTTCTCCTTCCCCTTCACACTCGCACCACTTCCCCCGGCTGCATCTGGCAACACGTACGAAAATGCGATGTTCACCCTACACCCACGCATGTCAGTTAGCAACGGCTACTCCTCCTCCGCCAATGGCGAAAACGACGCATATGACGCACCACTCGTCCGCAGCCCTCCGCGCTAACCACACCTCCCGCATGCCCTTGCAGTCCTCGATCCGCCACGTGCCCCTCCGCTTGAACTCAGCGACGATGTCCAACCCCACGCCCTGCCCATGCAGCGCCTTCGCGCTTGCGAGCTCGTCCGCGAGCGCCTGGTTCAGGTCAGGCGACGGAGGCGGGAGTTTCGCGGCTCTAGGTGCGCTCTGTCCGTTGGTGGGCGGGGAGGAAGTGTGCCTGAAGTGGGAACCTGGGCTGGGCTTCTGTGTCTTCGGGGGCTTGGCGCTGGTAGACGCGGCTACTGCAGCGGCGACGTCTGCGCATGCCTTGCCGCAGTATGGATGGACTTTGCCAGAGGCCTCGACGAATCTCGGGCGCTGCCCACACGTCTGAGAGGATGCATTGCGATAAGTCAGAACGCGGGCCTTGTGGTTTGATAGGACGAAAGCGTACTTCGCAGAGTGTGATAGCTGGCATTGCGTTACTTGTTGTTCAGGCGTACAGCAGTTCAAAGCGCAAGACACGGGAAGTTTGGTGTTAGGGAGGTAAGAAACAAAGGTCTTATCCAGCCTGGGTTCAGGGCGTCACCCCATCTTTAAAGTATCCATCATAACGCTCGTGTCCATTGTTCTGCGCTCTGTTTGTTCTAGCCGTGGAGGCAGTGTGCACAGCGTGACGGAACGCGCACGTACGGGGCAGCTTCCTGTCTGCGTAGCAGCACCCCAGACTGTGGACACGCTGGTGGGGCATTGCGTCTGTGGCAGCCGCTTCCATGATGGACTCACGCGAGGGCCACGTGGCGCGTGGCGCGTCTGTGTAGTGCAAGGAAACCGCGGTACCCATAGTTTGTTCTGTGAGAGCCGCAGGGCGGTTAGACAGGAATGAAATAACATTCCGGGGAGCGGGTATGACATAGTGTGGGTTATGACGGTAGTGTTTGACACTCCGCGGAATGGAGAGATAGCAAGTATACTGCGGAAGATGGGGTACTGGAGTCCTTGATGCAAGCCTAAAACTTTGCAAGAATAAGCGCACTACTCGAGCCCATAGAGGTTCTAGATGGTGCATCTTGGGCACCGACGTACCGGCGAGAGGCGAAACAAAAGTCCAAATGCTCGAAAGGGTCGACTCATCGCAATTCTGGTCCCTCAAACCACCCGGCCCGCGCCATCTCCCTCCCTACTCCAAATCCGCCACCCCACTCGCTCACACCCCTGCTCTGACGCACACGTACTGCGCGCTCGGCCATCTCCGTCGCGAACCGCAGACACTCCGAAAGGTTCCACTGCGTCTGGCCCTTTTCAGGCCCGTCATCGAGCTGAGGCGCCATGGCCGAATCCGAAGACGCAGGACAGAACGGCGGGCCGGGAACAACGCGTCTGCTAAGTGCGAATATCATACCCGCGATGAACGCGTCTGGATCATCCTCCATCGCAGCAGGCGTCTCATCGCTAGGCTTCTCCCGCTCCTTGCCCTTCTTGCTCTTGTCCTCGTCCGCTTTTGCGGGTGGCGTGTCTTTGACGAGCTCCGAGCTCCGGTAGTACTCCTGCGTCGGCACGCTGAGCGCTGCTGCCCCGCGCGAGCGCCCGCAGTACGCGACGAGCAGTGCGTGCGGAGGCGCACTGCGTGCGAGAGAGAGGAGCAGCGTGCGCGGGGAGAGCGCGTGGGCTTTGGTGTCGCCCTGTCCCGCGCTGGGGCCAGCACCGGTGGAGGGTTTCAGGACGGCGGCGAGGGGTGGGTAGAGAGGCGTGACGAAGATGATATCAGCGTGTGTGATTAACTGTAGGCGTGTACCGCATATAATCAGGTCAGTGGGACGTGGGAGGTATTAGTCTGGACAATCTGTGCGCACCGACTCGACCCCAGCCCGCCCAGGTCCCAGATCCAAGCTGAATGCGCACGCGTGCCGCCATTGTCGTTCGCGTGCTAACCCGTCCAGTCCAGCCATATTCGCGAGTGTCGTGCGCACCGAGCGGCCCTCGAAGTGAATCCAGTCGAAGGGCGCCGGGGTTCCTGGGCTCGGTGACGGAGCGATGGCAGGATTCCAGCCGTCTCCTGAGTTTCCGCGTCCGTGGGTATGTCTATGACCGCCATGGCCATGGGTGGGATGGGGTGGTGCAACAGAGCGGTTGAGGTTGATTGTGTGTGAATGCGGATTTGGATGAGCATTGGGCGAAAGCGAGGGATAGTTCTCAGGTGCGAGTATAGGTCCGAGGAGGGCTATGAAATCTTCGTGCGAGAGGTCGGGGAGAGGATTATGGTTGATGACTGTATGCGAGTCGCTGTCCGCTATCCTCCACACACCACCTCAGCTACAATCAAAGGGCCAACGACAATGTAAACGCACCTGCATGCAACACCCATGCCTTTGGCACACCTAGCCCGTCCCATACCTTACAAAAACGCGTGTGCACACCGACGCGTTCAATCGCGGCGCGCAACACGACGCCCTCCTCTGCGCCACCCAGACTGGCGATCAACATCGCCTCCACAATGTCCCCCGGCGCGTCATTTGCGTTCCCAGAGCTCACAAATCCTCCTTCTGGCATTGCCGTACCTGACCCACCTCCCGTTCCAGACGAACCTGTCCCCGGTCTGTCGTCCTTGTCTCGCTTCTTCCTCCTCAACCCTCCCATCCACCCTCCCTGACCACCCGTGCCACTCGCACCGTACTCTCTGTTGAGCACACCACTTTCAACAGCAACCCGTCCGAGCTCGACCACATAGGCGAGGATCTTCGCCGCGCTCCCGCCTCGTGTCGTCTGTGCGCCAGGGGCACGCGTTGTGGTCGTGCCCTCCGCGGGGTGTGTGGGCACAGAGAGCGTGCACGTCTCGAACACGGCGCCCGCAGCAAAAAGGCGAAGAAGGCGGCCAGCGGGCTTCAGTGGCACATTGGCTAGTCCATGCGTGGGCGAGTGCGGACTGGGGAGACCGTGCGCGTTGGCATGGGTGTGGCTGGGTGTGGCCAGCGTGTTGGTGCGGAGGCGATTGGTGGTAGCCGTTTTGGTGCTGTGGTAGGCGGGATACGGGGCCTCGGGGAGGGTAAAATGCGATTCTGAGGGAGAGGAGGGGAGCGTGTTGCAGCGCAGGCGGTTGAAGTCCATTCTGGGTGTTATGAACTCGTTATGAACTTGAGTGTTGGACAGCTGTCAGTCATCCCAGAAAGCTGGCGAGACAAAACATGAGGGTGCGAGCGATGCCGTAACACACGTTCCCGGGAGCGGCATAGTTGAGGGCCCGATTTTCGGAGACTTTGTATGTCTGGCATAGAATTGAAGGATGAGGAGAAGCGCAGGGAGTGTGTGAGCTTTCTAACGCTCGTCTCACCGCGCCCATCATCAATCGCCTACACCTCAACACCCTTGCAGACATTCAGACATGGAGATTCTGTATATGTTCTTAGAGCAGCTTTTCTACCTCGACCAGTACTTGCAATATCGCCGCCGCCGTCTGTCTGACGCCTGCTAAGGCATGGAAGGAACTTTTCTACCGTCCCATGCAGCGTCGTCTCCGTCCTTGTACCACACTGGCAGCGCAAACCACGCCCGACCGTCCCTCTCATCCACCGCCTCGACCTTCATCCCCGGAAATCCATCCCTCAGCCTACCAACCGCCTTATCCTGGCTCCCGCCCTTTGTAGCAATCACCAGACGCTCCACTTCTCCAGCGTTCCTGAGGAACACCTCAACGCTCGGGAGGAGCACATACATGTTCACAACCAGCGTCTGCAAAGACGGGCACCGGAGGACCCGCAGGAGCGCGCTCCCCGGAAGCACGGCCCTGATGTCGAGCACGAGCGTGCGGAGGGACGCACACGCGAACGGCGCGACGCGAGACTCGACCTCCCCCTGCCCATCTTGCCTTTCCTCGGTCCACCAGTCCTGATCGATGAGAGAGTCGTCCAGCGGCGGCATGCTGTCCCAGTGCCCCTGTCGCAGGCGCAGCTCCTCGAGACAAGGGCAGGCAGAGAGGATGTGGAACACGCTCCTGGCCGGCGGAAGAGCGAGCCTGTCGACGTTGAGCTGCAGCGACCTGAGAGCGGTCCACTGCACGTCAGACTCGGCCCACCAAAAGTGACGGACGTCGAATAGCATGTCGTTCGACATTCCGGGAGCCTGGAGAGAGAGGTGCTCGAGCGACGTCTGCTGAGAAGGGCTGATGAACATGGTTCGGCGGTCGTGGTGCCATGGAAATGGGAAGTCGCCCATCACGCGCAGGCGCGACAAGCCGTGGTTCGAATGGGTGAGGAACGTCAGGAGGCGCGGGATCGCGCCGCCCTCCAAGATGTCGATTTCGACCTCGGTGCAGCGCCCTTTGAAAGGCGCGAGCACGCCCTCGAACGCGCCTTCGATGTTATCCCGCAGCCCTAGACCGCTCGCCGAGGCGTCGAGTACGAGCCTGAGAGGTGCGTCCGCAGCCTTCAGGCTGGCCCTCCTGATCAGCTCTTGCACGTGCTGAGGCGGCGGCAAGCGCAGATCCTGCCCTCGATTGATCTTGAGGAAGATAACCCTCCACAGTTCAGGGTTACGGAGACATATCTCGCGCCACGCGCTGCAAACGCGGGCGAGGTTGAGGGCGGTGCTTCGGCCCCCCGAGATGTACGTTGAAAACGCAAAGTTGAGGTCCGTGTTGCTGAACAAGTCGGGCATTGGAGGGAGCGCAAATGGCATGATCGCCTCGATAACCTCAATGGGCAGATGATGCATCGCATTCGAGGATTCCATGACCTAAACGCGAGGGCGTACGAGGCGCGAAATCTGAGCTAGAGACAAGGCTAGTAGTAGTATGAATGACAAACCTGATCCATGTTTTAGAAAGAAAAGTAGAGATGAAACAGAGACGACGGGGGGAATGAGCGAAAGGCGCGTCGTCAAGTGCCAGTGAGGGATGTTACGACCCCGCAATGCCCCCTAGCATGTGTGGCACACGTGGCACACATACACGCGTTTTACGCGTTCCATATCCTCATCGGACTCGATCATGATGCACACAATGCTGGTAAATAAGTTCAAAACACTTGTCACACATAGGAGCTGGCATCACCGACCAGAAGCTGTGGCCGTAGCTTTAGTTTCACGCACGCTTGCGAGTGCGACAGTTGAGAATGGCCACCACATGAACGAACTCTGGTTCGCAGACAGTCTTATCCAAAGACCTGTCTCACTGCCTGCAAACCTGCGCAACGTTGGGGGTAGCGGTGCGACCCTCAGGGAGGTAAGCAGAGAAGAACTATACGAATCCTGTGTGGTGGAATACGTCTCTCATGGAAGGAAGGGCCAAGGCGACTTCAAAGAGCAGCTCAGAGAATAAATAAATCTCTCGTGGCACAACAGGTACTTAATCTGCCAAAGAATCGTTCGAATGGCAGTCATCCACCGTAATGTGAAGTGAGATGATAAATGAAATATGCGCATCTCCGACGATCAACTTACACACATGGCTATCTCTGCCAATCTACATCCTCCCTGTTCCTGTAGCATACCGGTAACGCAAACCAGTCATCTCCCTTTGGGCCATGGATCACCTCTACATTCAACGATGGGAATGTATGCCTGATTGATCTCACTGCAATCTTCACAGAAGAGTAGTTTCCTGTTATCACGAGCTTTTTTACCGACACGGCGTGGGTCAGGAAGGTCTCGAGGCTTGAAAGCGTCACGGATGTTTTAACCACTAGGGTGTGCAGCCACGGGCAGCGGAGTAGAGAGAGGAGCATGCTGCTTGTATGCGTGCTGTAAATGGCAAGCACTAACGTTCGCAGAGAGGTAGATGTGAGGATCTCGGAGGGGTCGACGTTCAATGCATTCTGTTGTGACGTCGGGTCGGGAGCGATGGCGTCGTCTTGTAGCGCTGCGGTTACCTTATCTGCTGCGCAGCGTATGAGTAGCTGGCGCAGAGAGGGGCAGGCGTCGAGAATTTTGCGCACGACCTGATGGGGAGCCTCGTTGTTGATAAATCTGTAGGTGATGAGCTGCAAAGACATGAGTTTGTCCCACCGCGCTGACGCAGCAAAAACGCGACTGATGTCAAGAGGCTGGTTGAGCGCTTGGAGAGTGAGGTCGGTGAGTGCGGGGTGTCTGGCTGGGTCGAGCAACGCTGGAGCACCAGGATCAGTTGGCATAATGTCGCCCATTATGCGCAAGCGAGAGAGCCCCGATGGATGAGAGAGGTGTTCGAGGAGTGGAGGAAGTGCCGAGCCGCAGCGAATGTTGATCTCGATCGCGGTGCATTGCCCTTGAAACAATGCGAGCTCGTCTTGACATACCCCCCGCAATGTATCCCTTGAGTCAGGGTTAAGGCCAATTGGCCTTTCCGACATGTCGAGTAATAAGTCGACTGGGGCACCATTCCTGTTTGCTCTTCGTACAAGTTCTTCAAGACCTTCCCCCATCGATAAGCCTACCCAGGTAGTAAACCCATGCTGGTAAAGAACGGGGTTCCATAATCTTGGACAGGCTAGTGCCACCTCACGCCAGCTCCTGCACACCTGCGCGAAGTTGAGAACAATACCACGCCCTTCAGGTACGTATACACGGAAAGGGGGGGCAGTGCACATATCTTCCCAGACGTCCTTCATGGGAGGAAGGGCCTGAATGAAGATGGATGCTAGGATCTCGGGTGGAAGACGATTTACGGCAGAGAACAGTCGCATATGAGCTTTGATTGACTCATTAACCTTGATAGCGCATTGAGAGATTCTAGCAGCTGCCGAACGGAGGTGTTCCCGGAGCGATGTGTACTCGGTGATGGAACGCCGCGCGTCATTAGCCAGAGGAATCTGAGAGATATTATTGTTAGTACCGACGTGAGGCGCGCATGGGGATGCGTCAAGTGTGCGCTAAGTATTCTGAGCTGATTAAATAGTTGATGGTCAAGATAGAGGCAACCCACATCGACATCGTCAATCACTCGCGGTATCTGCAAACGAACCACGATTCAGCATCAGCAGAAGTTCAACGTTCGATTAACTCACTAGATCCAATAGGTCTCCAATTGTCGCTGACTGTGCATAGATAGGCGTCATTGTGGCCGATATTGGCTTACCGATAGATTGAGGCACCAACGAGATGGAGAAAGCACCAAGGCGTTCAGCAATCCGTCAGATTTTTGTCTGTCTGACTGTGCATAACATACCAGAACGGGAGTGTCGTTGAGGGATACTAAAAGTTGCAAAGATTCGTAGAGCAGAACTAAGAGAGGATGGTTGCGGCGTTGGAAGATAACATGTGGTCGTGCGTATGATGTAGAGAGGAAAAACATGCGTGGGAAGATGATCTCGACTTTATCTCTTCTCCTTTTCCTCGCCTTCATCATATCTGGGCCTGCAGGATGACCCGCACGCGCACAAAGAACAAAAAGGCTGAACGCCTAACGTCAACCGTCACGGTCGACTCTTCAAGCACTCCTGCATCGTCTTCTCAGCCCACCATCGCCTCCCTCCTAACCAAGGCACAGGATCTCATCATCCAGACCGACTACGCACTCGCACACAAATTCCTCGACCGAATACTTGTACGAACAGATGGATCGACGCGGGAGGAACGTGCGCAGGCTCGCGAGATGCTTGGTGTTGTCCTGCTAGAGGAGGGAAAGGTCGATGAAGCCCGGCAGGTGAGCATGTCTTATAGCCCTTGCCGTGAAGACAACATGGATTCATCATATACTCTCGATCAAGGCGTTTCAAGCGCTTCTTCCACCTTCGTCAGATGCGTTACCATCTCCGCCTGCTTCAGCACACCTCTACCTTGCGCAGCTTGCGGAAGAACCACAGCAGGCTCTAACCCACTACGAGACTGCAATTGAGATTCTAAAAGGACAGCTTAAGAACTCCACATCACCTGCTAGGGAGGCTGGGGCAGAGGGAGAGGATGCGGATGCGGAGGTACGCGGAAACATCGTGCGCGCGTACGTTGGTATGGTCGAGGTGTGGATGGATCCCTCGTTAGACCTCTGGTGTGCCATCAGTCATCTTTCCCGTGTCTCCACTATTCTGACGTCCTCGTCAGCTTCGACCCAGCCGCGTCCTCGACATGCGATACCCTCCTCTCCGCTGCTCTCTCGTATGACCCCATTCACACCGAAGCCCTCCAAGCCCTCGCTTCCGTCCGCCTTTCCCAATCGAACCCTCCAGGTGCGCGCACCGCTCTCCTCCGTGCCCTCTCGGCATGGCACGCTCTTCCCGCTGCGGACCCGCGGGTTCCACCTCTGCCCGTCAAGCTCTCTCTATCGAGACTACTGCTCGAGACAGGTATGCTTCGGAATGCCGTGGACGTCCTCAGTGGGTGCATCGAAGCGGACGACGAGAACGTCGAGGGGTGGTACCTTCAGGGTTGGGCCTTCTGGCTCATGGCCGAGCGCACAAAGGACGGCAAGGGTGTAGACGTATTCGTCAAAGGTCCCAGTGAGGCCCGGAGCGAGGCGGAGGTAGAGGCGGCAGAGGCTGGGGAGGCGTTCGAGCAGGGGCTGGTTGGTGCTGGCGCGGAGGAATGGGAGCAGCTAGGGTGGGAGGACCTCGCGAGGGATGCAAGGGATTGCTTGGAGACGTGCAAAGCGGTGCGTTACTCGTCAATCCGGCGCGCATGTCATTGACTGACTGTATGCGTCATTCTTTAGCTCCATCGACGCCAAGATGACCCTGACGCGCCACTGCTCGAGCACGCCAATGAACTAATCGCCGGGTTGGAAGCACTTGGCATACAGCCGTCACCAATCGACGGGTCTGAGGGTGGTGACGATGATGACGAGTGGGAAGAAGCGAGCGACGATGAAGATGGAGACGTCGAGATGGGCGAATGATGACCGATGTTATGATGGGTGCGCCATGACGATCGTATTCTTCGCTCCATTCGCCTACATACTCATTGAAAAGTATCCTACATTTATACATCGATATCACTGCTCCCAGAAACGCGCCGATTGACTTTACTATGGAGTTTCATTCGCCCATCTTGATCCAGGGCATGTACCTAACTCACCCACCGTCACATTAGATCTGCGGTGGTGCGTTCAGTCAGTAGAATGATCTAATTGTCGACGATCTGCGGGCTGACTCACACTTTGGCCTTCATAAGTAGGCCCAGGGAGAGTCAACGAAGAATGTGCTACTGGCAAGCATGTATCCGTGATCAAAACCAGCTGACGCACCCGATATGAAGTGGGAGCGCTCTGATGCTAGGAATGACACGACGTTCGCAACGCCATCCGCAGTTCCAGTCTTGCGCAGGGCCGCCTTGTTTTCCATCTACAGCCATGCAGAGCGCCAAAATACACTATTCTTCGCACATGTATCTGCAATTATGAGGATAATCGGAGGACTCACGCTAGATTTGAGATCGGCTTTCGACCCTAGCTGAACTTCACAAACCCTTCGTAAGCACATTCAGTTCCCTGCCGGCATGTCTTAATTACTCACGCAACGCAGTGTTAATCGCTCCCGGAGAATACGAGTTCGCCGTGATCCCATGCATCCCCAGATCGAGCGCCGCAGCATGACATAGTCCGCGCACCGCCAATTTGGAGGCAGAATATGGGCTCAGGTCCTTGAAAGCAGTCTTGCAAGAAATGGACGTGGCAGCAATGAACCCTTTCCCTGCGACCCTGCGCGATCAATTGGGCACCTGCGTGCTTAAGCTTGAAGCAGAGGAAGACGCCGCGCACGTTGACGGTGAACATGGCGTCCCAGAGACTGGTCGACTGTCGACGAGGAATGGACGGTATTTGAAGGACCACTAGTGCAAGCATGTGAACAATCCGTACCATCGGTGATGCAGGTTTGGGATGGATATACCCGCATTTGCGACAATCGCGAAACCCCCGTCAACTCACTTTGCAAGTCGCCACAGCATCGTGATCGCAGCGGGAGCTCACCACACCGAGCGAGCTGAGCGCCTTCATGATCTGTGCTACCATGTCCTTCACCTGTGCCTCGCCGCTCACGTCGGCGAACAAGATTGTCGTTTTACAACCAATTTTTTTTTTGATCTCTGTCGCGAGCACGTCGAGAGCACTCTTTTTGGTCAGCATGTCATGAAGCGATATATCGAACCCGTCTTCAGCGAGACAGCTCGATGTCGCGTCCGATGCCCTGAGCGCAGCCTGTGATCAATGCGATGCCTATTGAAGCTGAAGCGGCCATGTGTTCGCTGGGTTAGGGTGAGGTTGGATAAAAGATCGCAATAACGTTGAAAAAGATTTATAGTATTGGTACATTAGTTCGGAGTTATGGGAAACGCGTCCACTGCTTTCCTTTCTTACGTTCCATGATACACTCTGCATGTATTTCTGTGCTCAGTGTAAAGGACACAGCAAGTCAGAATCTGGATCTACCCTGCTCGACTCGACATTATACCCTCTGAAACTGCCTTGGTAGTTGTAACGCGCAAAGAGTCCCTAGCACCACTACAAAGCACATGATCCAATACACAATCGTCCCTCCGGCGATATTGTTTTGCGCAGACGCAGCGAATAGCGAGGTTGCCGTCGACGGCGAGATCGCTCGTATAAACGACGCCGTCATCTGCGCAAGCCCGTTTGTCGCGCCCAACGCTTCCTTGTTCGGCGCACCGTTCGTAATATAGATGAATATACACCCTACATATACCATGTCAGCTTACAGTATTCTCTCGAAAGCTACGAGTAGAAACTACGTACCATATGTGCAATATGCGGCCCCGTACATGACGAACTGCATCACCAGTACAGCCCACGTCGCAGCATCCATTCTACCCGCGCGTTTCGCCAGGAAGCTCATAAGCGGAAACATCGCGAACGCCACGAAGAAGCACACGTAGCTCGCCGTGTACAACGTCCGCGGCCCCACGCGCCGCAGCAGGATTGGGAAACACACAGCCTGGAACGCGCCAGTGATGATGCCCCATACGCCAATGATAATGCCGATCTCGAACGTGGAGAGAGATAGGCCGCCGGAGGAAATGGAGGTAGAGAACATCAGAGGCTGGAGGACTGACAAGCACATGTCCGTGAACGCGAGGAAGGCGTAGTTTGCGATGGGAATGAGGATAGGCCGGATGAGGAGATCCCGAAGGTCGGGCGAATCGTCAGCTTCAGTGGCGTTTTGGAGGTTGGGAGATGGAGCATTCGAGCGGGGAGCGACGATAACATTCTCTCCTGCTTCAGCCTTTTCGACGTTCTTCGATACCGCTTTATGCGAGAGTGCCTTACGAGGCGAGGTCTGGAGAGAAGCCCTGTGAGCTGAAATCATGAGATAGGACAAAGTAAAGCATACCTCTTTCAGGAGTACTAGGGTCACCACGAAAGCTATGGCCGACACCACTGAAGCAAACAAGCATGGTAAGAAGTAAGGATAGTGCTGGAAGAACTTTGAGCGTCCGATCGTCGTTGGCCATCGCTCTGCAGGAAGTGACAGGACACCGGCCGCTATTGGCCTACACATGCATATGCGTGCCATTAGTGCCAGCATCAAATATATCTTATATGTCGAAGGCTCACCCAATTGTCACTCCCAGCGTCCATACCATGGGCAACAGCGCGAACGCTTGAGCCATATTGGCCGGGTCACCCTGCGTGCACTCTGCCATGGCGCATTTCACGACGCCCACATTACCATTGAGAGCACCTTCCGCGCACCGGCTGAGCACGAGCTGCCAGAATTGCAGAGAGACACCGAACGAGAGGATGGAAAGCGAGAGTCCGAACAGACCGACAAGGATAATTGGCTTCCGGCCGAATCGATCCGACGCGCGTCCCCACTGGAGGATGGTCGTGCATTCGACGGCGTAGAAAATGGAATCCTGGATCATACGGAATGGGTTGATAAGAAGATGAAGGCGGAAATATAGACGTACGATAAGCCCAGCAAAGTATCCAGTCTTGCTCTCGTCCCCTCCCGTGACTCCCGTCTGTCGCACAAGCTGATTGACAAAAGGGTAGATGACATAGGCTGTGATGGGTTCTGCGAGGTTAACAAGGAGCAGAATCGCTATCTGAAGCTTCGGAAGAGGTGGTCGAGCAAGCGACGAGGCGAGCTCTTCCCTTGTTTCTGTTTGCGGACTCGGCTCGAGGACACGCCCTGCATGGGTCTCTGGAGTGGCCTCTGCCGACCTTGTGTGGACTTCAACTTCATCCGCACTCTGGGCCATGAAGACAGTTGAAGGGCTGGCTCTGGTCAGCAAGTGAGTGTTGGCGACAGATCAATAAGTGGCTCGAGCTTTGGATTAAGTGCTTCACGTTCATTGGAGTGCGTCCGAAAGTGAGTCAGTCGCCTCGAGTCTGCTCGAACCTTTCAACCGCTTCTTAGGTCCGACTCGGCCTCGGCCTCAGTTCCCATTCGACCTCTAGTTACGCTGGTTGAAGAATACAATCGCCTATCAGCGCCCATTTATCAGAAGGCGAAAGAGAAGCAAACACGTCGATGATGATCAAGGTGATTGCAACTTTGAAAGGCAATGAGCGAAAGAGAGTCCCGAATGCTGGCTGGATGGGAAAACTGTCTTCAGGGACAAAGAAGCGACCAGCACGTTGCTCAAGCCGGGGGCGGACCGGGTTTGATGGCGAAAGGCTGCTTTTCGGCATTCTCCGTGAGGCAGTTGGCTGACAATCACCATGATGTGAAGTGTTTGCCACAACACAGCGCGATTAGATCAAGGTAACATAATTACGAAGCCGACAGATCTGTTCCGTCTGCAGAATCACATATGCCTCTGTCAATGTCAACCCCTGGAAGAAATAATGGAGCGTGTCAGCAAACCGACCTACGTTTCGCCGACACCTTCACAATTTGCTTGTGGTAGCGCCCAGCTAGTAAGGCGCGGATATCTTTGATGCAAGTCGTTCAGGTAAGTAAAGTCTTCTTCCACATCTGAGTATCAGTATTGCCAACAGAACCTACTGTACCCGCCGGAGTTCTGATTATCAGTTGTTGGTCCGTATGGGCTATCATTAGCTCCATTAATTTTTGGCCATGGCATTGCACCGATGGCATGTTTCAGATGCGGCGTTCGACGATCTGACCGGGCTAGCTGCGCCCGTGACTTGTTCCTCCATTCATTCACGCTAGCCTATGGTTTCCACTCACCCCGCGATCTCCTCCGCGATCGACCCATACTTCTGCGATATTATCTATGCTAGCAATCGACGATTGCTACGACTGGTCTCCGCATTTAAGCGAACCGGGAACGAATTACACTACAGACTAACGTCATTTCTGTTGGGCGTTCATCCGAAAAGCTGTGACGGCATACAGGAAACTCGATTTCCGATCACATTGCTATCAAGTAGTCTCCACTGCTCGCCACCCTCATGAGCTACGCACTGTCAAACCTTGCGCCTAAGCTTTCTAATGTGATCCGTCGTAGTCTCGATGCTGCGCGAGTTTGCGACGGCAGTGTCAGTGAGCATAGCTTCCTTATGATATTTAAGTCGCCACTGCTCACCACGTTCTAACAGGATTCATCCCCTTCCCGCAATGATATCCGACTCCTCCCCGTTGTGGAAGCCTTTCTGGTCGAGTGGCCTGACAATGAGCTACATTTTAGGTCAAGTTTGCCGCGTTGTTGGCATTGTATGCTAGGAACTGACGGGGCCACTCATTAGTTTCATTATCTTTCTTGTCGGTCTACGACTACCGTTAGTATCAGTTCTTTGCATCCCATGCGGAAAGTACTGAACAGCTACAGTTCTGAGACTTGACTCTGAGGTATAATCATCTCGGTTTTCGGGTTTCCCCGCTTAAAGTTTGATTTTCAAGGTAGATTTGGTATGGAAAAAGTATCTTGTACTAGGCAATTTGGCGCGAAAGCGACCGAGATTAACGCTCATAGACGGACTGTACTTTATCGTAAGCCGAAGCATCAAAGTTCCTGAAGATGCTGCTAATTTTGAAACATGCCGGGTAGATGCGATATATGGGCCTCTTCTATTGCGCGTGAGTTTCATACCGCTATCGGTGAAGTGCTTGACACTTTACACAAAGCTTCATTTCCCAGTCAATCGCTATGTAAGACTATAAGCAGCCCATCCTCGTCTCTCGCTGACATATAGTTATATATCAGCATGGTTTGTATTTGATGTTATGATGTCCGAACAAGTTCGTCATATTTTACTTGATACGTCAACGGTCTAACGCTTTTCAAGAAGTAGGAAGAAGACCCAATTCTCTATATGTTGTCGTGGCCTAAGCTATGCCGCAGATGTGAGTTTCCTGAAATGACTTAGATGAATGTACTAAGAGATGGATTATAAGGTTACATCCTATACGTTATATCTATGGCCACACAGACCATAGTGATCATGGCGTTACAAGGTGTGTTCGGGCTTAAACCGGGCATTCGTCTACTCGTTTTGATCCATGCTCCCAGTCGTGATGATTATCCGCCTACACGCAATGTACTCACGATCCGTCAAGATACTCCGTCTACTACTCGGGACGTTCATCGCTCAAATGCTTATCTCTCTATCAACGTCAATTCTTTTATATGGACCATTTGGTGAGATCATAAGTAAGAGACCGCCTCCATTGACCCTTAAATCCGAATGATGACAATTGCCAAATACATTAGTGCAAAAATCGACTACGAGTCGCACAATTATATGTGGTAACCTCCTCTCTTCCTCCGCCTTTTGGGTGAGGACATTGAGTCAATTAGTCACACTGGCGTACGAAGCCATACTGGTATCCCTGACGCTCTTCAGATACATTGCTTGTAACAGACAGCGACGTCAGCTGTGGAGTACATGGAAGACGACTCGCTTGGTGGTTATCCTGGTCCGTGATAGCCTCTCTTATTTCTTCCTGTAGGTGTCTCCATCTACCAGTCACCGGGGAATATTCAATATGAACACCACATCATGCGTAGAATCATCTCTGCCCTCTTGATAGAGATCGCCGCCTTTGATGTCTGGGATAGAGAGGTGGGCTGAATGACAAACTTCACTCATCATTCTCCCTGTGACTAACTTTGCTGAAATAGGACAAGATGACTGACAATGGGTTGCTGTATCTCTGCATGTCAGACGTCCTTGTTGTCTCCGTCATAAGCATATGTGGACCTCGCATGATCCTCAATCTCCGTTTACAGGAGAAGTTAACTGTACTCGGAGATCCAGAAGAGAGTACCATCTCCTCTCTTAGATTTTCCTTTCGGTCGATGGATGACGATATAGGTGTTCCTTAAAAACGACCATTAATGCAGGCTCCTACCCACCTAACTATTCAACTGCTCTTGCGATCGCCAGAACTGTACATATTCACTAATTCTCCGACTCCGATTATCCCATTCCATCAAATACAATGATTTTTTCATATTGTAACTTGTATATCTTCAGCCCTATATTGTACATCATCGATAATCTCAGCTTCAGTAATCACCCAATGCCCTATCCAATGCGTCCAAAACACTGGGAAAGTCAAGCTAGCGTCATGGGGATAGGCATTAGAAATGAGATGGAGAAATAGGAAGCAGGGGAATGACGCACAACATCATCCGGATCCCACGGGTTGAACGTTGAGTCCCAAAGTCATCATGTCGGTTTCGTTGTAGCCTATCCCGTTCACAAACGAGGTTCCTCCCCTCCTCGTGCGGCTTTAGTATCCATCGCAGTCAAAGTAATCAAAATCAACGCTTGCTGATTCTGACGATTCAGGGTCTTCGTGAGCACGATCGGTAGCCAACCGGTAGCTTCGTTCGGCGCACGACTGGGGACCATCTGTTGGGGTCTATCTTGCCCATTACGCCCTCGTCGCGCGCGAGAAGGGCCGGATTGCATCGTCTGATTTTGGCTCTGACGTCCTTGACTCTGCTGATTTGTGTTCGGCCGGCTCTGGCCCTGCTGGTTTTGGTTCTGTTCCACCTTCTATCGTGTTAATAAGCCTAACCACCGTGAGAACTAACATGTAGCCTCACCCGATTCTTCGTGGCTCCCCTCCTCCTGTTCCTATTCTTCTTGTTGATGTTAGTAGACATAATGATGCTGCGTTGACGCATTTTGCCTTCCTTTGGCTCGGGTTCATAGACTCGTAACCAGAGCCTGGCAAAGCGCTGTCCGGTGAGGACCTCTTGGCCCTCGGCTTGGTTTCGGCCTTGGTTTCGGCGATGTATGGCATTGAACCGTGGGAATATGCATCGCCCTCATGTCAAGACTCCCGACATGGACACCTGTGTATCGACAGACACACCACAATCATGGCACAGACCTCTCCAAGTACGCCTTACACCATTTTATGAATCCGATTTAAGATTCTGACTGAAAAAAATAGATTACGCACCTGCTCAGGGTGATCTCAAAGGATGGCAGAAGCTTGCACGCGACTGCGCTCAAGGTGCTGCATACGACTCCCATGAGCGACAACCGCACTCCAAGTGTCTCCCAGGAACAAGAATTGGCCTTCTTCGGTCGCTCAAGACGCTCTCCGAAGACCCAAGTCGAAAGATCGTGTGGATGGCTGGCGAGTCTGGGTCGGGAAAGACAACAGTTTTGCATACATTTGCAGATGAGCTCCGCAGAGACGGGACGCTGGCGGGCACGTTTTTCTTTTCCAGAAAGCACACCAAGCGAAGCACCTTCGATCACGTCCTGCTCACCCTCGCCTATCAGCTAGGCCTGCAGCATCCTCGCGTCCACGAGGCCATCATGAAGGCCATCCTCGACGACCCCGCATTGCTCTCCCAGGAGAAATCCCGCCATGACCAACTTGAAAAACTGATCATTGAGCCTTTGAGGCATCTTGCACGGATACGGAGAGGTGAACCTAGCATGTCCCTTATCCTTGATGCTCTCGACGAGGGTACGACTCGCGGACTCCACCACGTTGAGCCCTTCATTTCCCTTCTCGCCCGTCTTATTCGAGATACAACACTTCCTATCCATACTATCATCATATCCAGCAGATCCTGGTCCCAAATAGATGCAGTTATGCGAAGCAGCTCCCTCACTGATGTCATGAGGACCGTGCGTCTCGACGACTACGACTCACGCGAGGACGTGGATCGTTTTCTCCGGGACGCCTTTGACCGGATATACGACGCACATGGCGTTTCCCACTTCTGTTCGAGACCATGGCCTTCCCCAGCCGATTTCACGATGATCTCTCAGCGGGCGAAGGGTCGGTTCATCTTCGCAGCGACAATCGTTCGAATGATTGACCAGGAACAGCCTCACGAACGTCTATCGCTCGTTAATAGCATGCTTCGCGGTGACGTGGAGCACGTCTGGGGAAACATCGACCACCTTTACGCGTCCATCATCGACAGCATCGAAGCCTCCGCTCGCGAGAACGCGCTGAAATTCATCTCTCTCCTCGTCAACCTAGCCGAGCCCCTGTCCCTTTCCGATCTGCGTCTACTTTTCGGCGTCGATATCTATCTTTTTCTTTTACCGTTTTCAGCTTTAGTTCATATCCCTCCCGTGGATTCCCGTGATACTGTTCAGATATACCACAGCACGCTTCGCGACTTTCTCCAGCATCGAAACCAGAACGATAGCGATCAGGATATTGCCAACAGGGTTCATCACCCTATAGCTATCCGCTGCTTTCGAACGATGGCGAGGATGCTCAAGCATGACATATGCGGGCTTCAAGATCCATCACTTTTGCATGTTGAGATCCATGACTTTGCTCAGCGGCGTGACACCATTCCACGCGCTGTTCGATACGCGTGTCTCTATTGGCTCCATCATTTGGAGCACCTTCTGGTGGATAGTGAGGTTCGAGGATGCCTGATTGAATTCCTCGAACGACGACTTCTGTTCTTCATTGAAGCATGCTCAGTGCTTGGGGAACTTGATGCTGCAGTCGGCTTACTACGGGCCGCCCGAAAGCATGTTATCGTAAGCTTACTCTATTGATCCTGACGCAGTAGCTGATTATTCCGCACAGGGCTGGCGCACCTCCTCGTTTCCGGGGTTCGAGACTGCTACAAGCTTGCTCTATGACAGCTGGAGGCTGGTAATGGACTTCTTTGACGCCATCAGCGTCTCAGCTTTACATGTCTACGAATCTGCTCTCCCGTACGCTCCGGCAAAGTCTCGAATTCGTCTCACATACTCCCACGTTCTCTCAGAGACTAGTTGTGTTACGATTGAGAACGGCTTGGATGATCGCTGGGACTGCGTTACACGCGTCCTGGACATGAAGACAGATGACTTTGACGTCTCTCTTTCCCCCGATACCTCACAGGTCGCCACGTTCCGCATGGATTCGGAAGATACCGGGACGATCATGCTATGGGACACTGCCACCGGCGTACTTATTACATCGTACCTCCTGGAAGGTATATGCGAGCCGAGCTTTGACTACGACGACCGAACAGACCTCGTCCACGGCGGCTCATTTGTTGCCATACGTGACTCTCAGCGATGTTACTTATGGCGGCCATTCAACCAATCGGTCTCACGGGTTGAGGCGCCACAAACAGAGTGTTTCTTTGGCCCTGTGGCCGTCTCTCGCAATGGTGACAGGATGGCTTCACTGGTAACCTCTTCGGCTGCCCCAGGGAAAAGCTTCTCTGTCTGCGTATATGATACTTCCTCCCTCCAGCAGATCTCTTGTTGGTCGTTCCCCCTCCAGTTCAAGGAGCTGCCACTCGTGGCGTTGGATTTCGCATGCAAAGATGACTGTCTCCTGGTTCGAGTGTGGCCGTTCTCGCCTTTCCTGAAACACTCACGTAGTTATGTCCTCGTTGTCGACTCAACGGACGGACAATTACTATGGCACGGCGAATATGATTGCTTCAACGCCATCTTTGACTCAAGTGACGACATTATCATGGCCAGGGCCGAGAGTACCGGTATATCTCTACTCAGAAGGGTGGCCCCTTCACAAAATGCTACAGCTGCCCAGCCCGCCAGTCGTCCCAAATCAAACCCATCATCACCTTTCAATGGGAGAAAGCTGTCTAGAGAATTATTCAGGTCTAGTCGAAAGCTACCTCTGGTTACCTGCGCACAGGGGAGAATGTATCAAGCTGTAGACCCGAAGACATCCTCGCATGTGTTCCCTGAGTTTGTCGCTGAGCCGATATCTCACGGACAGGTGGCAGTTAGGCAAGGGGACAAGATCAGCGCTTTCGTTCGAACGGGATCGACCATAAAGAAGACGAGGTGGAGGCCGCAGAACGTGGAGTGTTTCGGAATATCCTGGGAAGCGGGCCCGGGGAAAGGGATCGCGCAGATTATTGACCTCACACAAGCCGTCGCTGCCATCAGTTTTTCTCACGAGGACACCGAGGATGACCCTTATGAGTGGTCACTAGCACTGACCTCCAGACGGGGAGATGTGACAGCCTATAAATCAACAACGAATTGGACTCGTAGAACCAAATACATCCTTGTTGGCCGCGGCGTGGAGCCCGCTGACGATGCTTTTAGGTGCAATATCGTGCCTGATGCACTCAACGTAGCCTGGACCTCCTCATCGGATGTATCAACGCGAAAAACCATTGCCCTTTCTCCGAAGTCGACATATTTTGCAGTTTCAACTATTCGTAGGGACAAAGGTCGTATTCAGGTCTGGAATTCTAGATCGGGCGCTCTCATGGGAAGCGCGCCGGCGGCGGGTCTAGGGCTTGAAGCTGAAACTGTCTTGGAGATGAGTTTTGCAGAGGACGAAACAGTTCTAGTGCTCTCGTGTTGGGCATACGAATCACACAGCGTTTTTATTCACGTGTACTCTCTGGAAGGTGGAACTGTCAAACATGTGGGATCGATCTCTCCTCCCTCGCTCATCTGTGCGGAGCCTTGCGTGATAGCATCCGTCACACGCGATGCAGTCGACTACTTCTGCGCTGACAAGGACCACAATCTAGTCTATCATTTTCGTTGGAACAGAGAGACGTCAACACCTGTCTCTGTCTCTTCCTTCCCTTATCTAGGTTTTATCAACGCTGACGTGACGCACTCCCCAAGTTTCAAGAGAATCTACTACCGCACTCCTGCCACCAATACGGAGTTCATTTTGAATATGAAAAGGTCTGCAGGCGACGAAACAAAGACGTACGAGGTTGAAGAAGCCGAATCTCCAAAGGCTTTCTACGACCATCGCTCCTGGTCCGACCTTTGTGTGGATGTGGATGGATGGCTCCGACAGCGCAGGCGCAGAATCTGTTGGCTTCCAGAGAGATATAGGCCTGCTGAGCTCGGAGAGAGTGGTTTAGAGCTGATAGTGGAGGGGAACCAGGTGACAATCCTGAAACTCCACAATGAAAAGTGTATCACTATAAGACTGCTCAACACGGAAATCGTGTTTTTTGAATAGGTACTTGACGGAGAGTCAAGGCACTTATCGCACAATACAAGTCGTCAGTACATTAAAATCCACCCTATCCACTCTCATGTTAGTCAATTACGTTATACAAGACACGCCTCCGTTCCTCTCCGGATTTTAGACAGTAAGCGGGTGAAGACCACGTTGTTATTTTAGTACAACAACACGAACAATACGATAGTAATGCAAGGTCAAACTTGACAGACGTGGTGGGCAAGGAGAGGTCAAGCGGGGAATGAACAAATGCGAAGAAGCTACTGGAATGGCCAATCTAGTGTGGCGACAACCGTCCGTTTTATAGCCAGGCGTCGGAGAGGGGTGAATGCGCTAAGGGCTTGGGCCAAACAGGTCATCCAACAGGGGTGTGTTGATTGAATGATTCGCGGACACAGCTTACCAACAGACGAGCGTACAATGTATGCATCAGCTAAAGCCGAGAGGGGTGCTACTGTGCCAAGCTCTCGTATGTAGACCATCGTCTACAGGAGCAGATAGACTGAATGGGATGCATAGTCGGCTTACCAACAGCCCAGCATATGGCTGACGCATCAACACAGACGAGGGGCTCAAATGGCGGACACCATCAGGTTCAGCACAGTGGACAAACAGAACCAAATGAATAACGGTAAGAAGGTTAACTATACGGGAAGGGAAATGTTTACCTTATCACATTACGAGCGTTAGATATGAAAACTATTCTACTTGTGAAATGATAAAGCTTAGCGTGATATCAGAGAAAACAGATGACGTGCCGATGCTCTTATCACAGAGAATATCTATGTAACATCGTAGTTCATCTTTGTTGACTATAATTGACTCAAACACGCCGAGGCTAGCGACGAGGAGTATCAGTGGTGGAGATGGTCAGCCATGAAGCCTTGATAGAAACTCACAGTCAGATTCTTGAATAGTAAACGGCGCAGTCTGAGCCAAGTCACTGGAGCTATCCTTCAGGGAAAACCCCAAGACCGTGCCTTAGTCGATAACATCAGCAGGTTGGACCGACGCTCATAGTAAATAGTATTGGCATTTACCTTCCTTGACGTTCACGGTCCAAGTATACGCATTGCCAGTCAGACCATAAAAGGCCTCGACGGGACTATCTGGGACACCATTTTTGTTTAACCTACACATTGATCGAATTATGAAAAACATCGTTTCGGGGAGCAAATATGTGCTTACGTCTACAAGATGATAGGGAAGCGTAGGATAACGCTTTGTTTAAGAAACGAGCGCGCAGCTGAGAGAGACTTGAAACTGACCAGATTGTACGGGCCTACGCAAATGCGGTGATGTCAAATAAGGTCTTAGTAGTTATGCGTTGATGCGCCACGTACCTACGCCTCCATCCCAGGTGATGAGAACGGGCTCGCATTGGACGACGTTGGCTCTGCATAATAAAGTAAAGTATCAGCAAAGAAAATATCGGTGCGAGCAGTGCGAAAGATAGTTTACGGCGTATTGATGACTAGAGGCTGTTGTCCTACAACACTCCCTACCAGGAACATGATGAGACTCGCTAAAGGAGCAGAGGACTTCATGTTGTAGTACGGGTTTGAGGTGAATAGCTGGGTGAAAGATCGATTTATATATGCTGAAGCCAACACGCTGCGATGGCTTTGCCTTAGAAATGTCAATGAGTGGCTATTTGCGAGTCCCTTGATACGTATCCTGTACATAGAGACCAGCAAGATATCCTGTGTATCTGATGCACGGAGGCGCCAACGGGGCCGAAATAAGTAATTTTAGTCCTTAAGTTCCCACAAAGGCATTTCTTTACCGTGATGTACCTGTTCAATGTGAACAAGGGGCGTTAAACGGTCTCAGAAGATGCGCCCAATGCCAGCAAATGTTTCGCCGTTTGTTGCTTTCATTGATGCACGACCGCGCCGAATAAACCGTACACAGCCTTCAGAGTACTTTCTGAGACATAGAATTAACGGTCGCTATCAAAGGGTGGATTGAGTCGATAGACGCGTGATGGGACCTAAAACACTTCCTCGCTCATATTTTATGTTTCGGAACCTCAGAGCTGCTTTCACTCGAGTTCGGGTCATGCACTGTCGGTTCAGCCAACTGTGAGGGCGTCTGATTGACACACATGTGATCCGACGCAGGATCTTGACCTAAGCTCGTCCGACAGCACCATCTGATTTCAGCAGTCAAGCCACCTTCGTCGGAACATATCACGCCGCACCTTAGCGACGTATGAGTCACTATACCATTTGATTGTGAACACCCCATGAGAATAAGAAGAAGAGACGTAGCCCCTGTGTCATGACGAGGGACAGTACACATTACGACGGGAACCAGACAATCGAGAGAGATAGGGGCAGGACGGAAGGGGGAGGGCACAGCCACAGCCACTCAGCCTCGTAAAACGCTGTGAATCCTGTGAGCGACATGTCTCAAATGTCGTTAATGTTGTTAGTGAAGCCAACGATCTCAAGATAGTTACGGTACCGCCCACCTATTGAATCGACTCAAACCTTCTCAAACCACACCTCTGCCCGCTCCTTCACCTCGCTTGCAGGCACCTGCTCCAGACTGTCTGGTCCCAACAACCCAAAGACACCAAATCCCTTCACGTCTCCGTCGTCAAGCACGAATTCAGCAGCAACCTCCCCGCCCTTGAAATCGCTCAACTCAAATGCCGTCGTATTCTTCCCGTACCCCTGAGGATACAGCGACGTGCAGTCGAGCCCAAACCTGACCGTTTGCGTCTCCTCATCATACCCACGATGGACTAAACGCACGTGCGAGCACCACACGCGCGGCCAGGCACCCACGAGCTGGTGCTCAGCCGTTTTGGTGATGTTACGTCCTGCGGCGGCATCCACAGAAGCAAGCGTCGCTCGTGTTTCGGTGCAGTATGCTGATTGCGTGGAAGCGGCGCAAAGCGAGAGGGATCCGTAGCCTGGGTCGTGATACGTTCCCGCGAAGTCCTCTAATTCTGGCGTGGGGTCCGAATCGGAAGGGGGCGGTTTGGCGCGACCAGGGGAGCTCGTTGCGTAGGGTATCCTGAACAAAAGAAGCAGCGATGGGTGATCGCGGCATGGGAGATGCACAAACACTGAGCAAAACGTACATGTATGGGTCGTATTCGCCCTTAGGCAGAGGCTGCAAACCGAGGGCGCCCTCCACAAGTCTATTTGAGATAGCCAACACAGGACCAGCGACATCTGCGGTATTAGCAAAGACGACGACACCGAGTCCATCAGATGGCAGCCAGGAGACGAGCGTAGAGAAGCCTGGAATGGATCCAGAATGGTAGACAACCTGTGACGCACCCGTCGTATCATCAGGATGGGCAGAGTCAGAAACAAAGTCCGACATACATCATGACCCCTGTAGGAATGGCGCCACCAGCCCATACCATATCCTGAGATTGAGTACGGAGGGGCGGCTGGCGCACCGACCGAGATCGAGTACGCAGTGGATGCCTTCTCGAACGTATCTTTCGGGATGATCGTCTCGTTATCCCAGACTCCCTCGTTTAGCCAGAGTTGAGCCCATTTAGTCTGCAAGGTCAGAACGTTAAGCACCCAATATATTTAATGACGACATAAGCGAAGGACGAGACATACCATATCTTCCGCACTCGAGATGACGCCTCCCGCCCCTGCCATCAAGTCGGCGACGTTCTCGCTAAACCATTCCGGTAGCCTGCGTTGCTCGCGCGTAAATCCTTGCGCAAATCGACCTGTAACATAAGCTTCCTGTGGGGAGTACGTCGTGTTGCTCATGCCAAGCGGACCAAATATCCTCGTCCGTACGAACTCTTGGAACGTCTGGCCTGAATGCGTGGCGATGATGTGGGCCGCGAGTGTGAACATCTGTGCCGTCAACATGAGTTAGGCAATCGAGCACCCAAGTATGAGGAGTATACTTGCCTGATTATTGTACGACCACTTCTCTCTGAGCTCATATGCAGGTCTAAGGTGCCTCAAGCGCGCACTAGCACTCTGAGCGGTGTCTCCGGAACCGTATGACAGATCATGTCTAGGAACTCCACTGACATGACCCAAAATGTCGCGTAGCGTCGCTTTCTCGTGCGCCCACTCATCCATTAAGCCATAACTCTTATCAACGCTGTCGGCTGGGAGGACGTCCTTCACTTTTGTCTCCCAGCTCAGAGAAGAGAGGCCAACAGGGAGAGGCGTGACATTGCGTGATTGTGTATAGTCATCAATGAGGACTCCGAGCGCGGAAGCACAGAAGGCTTTGGATACAGAGGCCATATGAAAGAGAGTCTGATAAGCAGGGTCGCGTTAGCCCACTCATGGAAACTAGGCGCAGATAGTGTAGATAAGTCTGACGGAGGAGGCAGACGGAAGCGAGTGTAGATCATGAGGGCATGTCGAAGAGAGTGAGAGTAGACAGAGCAGGAATGGGGTCGAAGAGATATCATCAAGATAGGGCCTACGTACATCTGAAGCTACCTCATCGTCGTCCTCCGTCCTCTTGCCCCATGGGTGGTAATTGACCTGCCCATCCTTGCGAACGACTCCTGTCGAGACTCCAGATATGTTGAGCTCAGAAGCGATCCTTTGTACGTCCACTTGTACCGCGAGATCTATGAGAGATGCTGGACCTCTCTCGAAGCTGGAGAGGATATCTTGGGGTATCCGGCCCTGTAGGCCAAGACTGGACAGGTACGAAACTGGAATGGCCAGAAGACCGACCAACGCGCTGAACGCGGTCATTTCTTCTTATCTCTGCTGGTCGAATGAAGGAAATTGTTGTTGGACACCATGTTGGTCAATGGTGGATGGATGTATTCTTCTCGAGGCGGGTCAACTGACCTCGGGGCGCCGCCTGGCGCCGCGTCCGATTGGGGTCTGACCGCGAGTTACCGGGAACAGCCGAACGGGTTATCTTCTCCACCTCGCATTCTCGCGTACGTCCGTACGTATGTTTGGTTTGTTACCAGCACGCGTTGGCCAACATCCAATTCTGATCTGCCTATCTCCATGGGATGAGGGAAGATGTTCTCGGATACCATGTCGATGGATGGATACGCTCTTCTCGAGGGTGGCCAACTGACCACGAGACGCCGAAGCTTCGGAAACAGCCGAACAGGCTCGCTACGCATGTAAGGGCCCCATGCACGCTGACTTTTCTCATCTCAACTGTGCATAAAACTTCGACGGACTCCGCTGATTTCTACCAAAACTATAAGCTATCTCGAGGCCTTTTTTGTCCCGTGCCTCGTTCTGAAGCTAAGCATATAGCTGGCCAATCGCTGGCCCCCCTTTTCAAGTTCACGTTGCGCTGACAAACAACAGTGCATGCACGGCACCTCATTTCATCCTACAGCCTGCACTACAGTTCTTAGACCAACATAATCCAAGATAATGCACAGTACAATAATGCCGAATTATGTATATGTTGTGAGCTATTCGATTTTGTGCGCTGATACTTGATTTTGTGTAACATCAAGCATATGTATGTTAGCTGCAGTTAGAGGGTAAAATATGTGCAATGGTCGCTGCAGGATTATGGGTCTCTGATAATTATTCGCTTGAAGGGTCGCCTGTCTCCGGCATATCCTGATATCTCTGCGCTCTTGACCTAGCCATGCTCGCCTCAACATCGACTTGGGATCGGCCTTGAATTGCCAAGAACTCCAGCGAACATAGTTCCACTTCGTCAGTTGTTCCTCCATGAGCTTGCTTCCTATCGAAGCGACGAATGCTTAGCAGCATGATTGGACCGATCATACACTCCGTGAACGTGTTGAGGACATTGGTAAACAGGAGCCAGGCCCAATTATTCCCCTGAGTGAAGCGTAAGGCCTTAAGGGTCAACAAGGACTGTCTGGCTTGAGACGTACCAGCTGCGGGGAGAAATCAGGTAAGTCGCTAGCAATCGCTTGTGTTGCCCAGTTGAGCGAAGCTCTGCCATGAAGTTTTCGAGTTAGAGTACAGAATCACCTGATTAATTCGCACTTACATCAAAAAGTACAAGACGTGATCTCGCAGCGCCACTGATAACAACGTGTTAAAACTCAGAGACATGCTGTAGTCGTTTCTCATGTGCCATACTACGTGAAAAAACGCCATCGATAGTAGTAATACTTCATATGCAAAGTTGGAAAATAGCCTTGAGAACTCAATATATCCCGCGGGAACCTGAGATACTCCTAAAGTGCAGACAGGTTGATGAGTGAGCGGATCTTGAGTCGCTAATTAACATTTGGCCGTTAGCCCTCACTGTCTAAGTTTGACAAGAAAGGAAAACAAACCATCTACAGACATAGTAGCCACAAAGCTAAAGAATGCAGCCACACCAAGAACTTGAGGAATTGCAAGGCAGAGAGAGAGAACTATTAAGACTCTCTTAGACTTGCCGTACATTGCATACACTCGTAGCGTCATCATCACTACTAGGCCATGAAATAACTCCGGGTATGTTTAGTAAAGACACAAACATACCGTTGAGAGAGAAGATAAGGCAGGTAGGTATTATGCTTGAAGGGTCCTGAGTTAAAACACTTGACGCAAAGCCTGAACAAGCACAGCCGTTAAGTGCCATATCCCCAGATGCGCGTGTGGTAGACCTATCCTTACATCTATAGATACCCCATACATGTGACAGACACCTCGTCAGCACGGATCAGACATTCAAGCAAATGCCAAGCTATAGCAACGAACATCTGAGATTTTGTGAGCAAGGCAATAAGATCCAGGAAATGACGTCCAGGAATGGGCTTACTTCATATGATATCGTTTTGATTTCGAGGACTTCAGTAAACGCCTCAGCACCAATACTGTGTTACGCTCTCTTAAGACTCACAGAGCCATAGACTGGACGAGTTGTATATTAGTCGGCAGTAACGTGTTTTGCAGAAAACTCAACACTTCTCACACGGCTTGTAATAAACCCCCATAGTTGAGCTTCGGGAGGGAATCAGTATGTTTCCGAGCACATATCTGATTGAAGAATTGCCCTACCAGAGCATAAAGAATTAAAGCGCGTTTTGAAGTTCCACGTCTCTGTTTCAGCATAATGGTGAGAAAAGTATGCCTGGTCATACGCATCATGACATATACCCAGAATGCTTCCACCTAATTCAACACATTTAGTAAGGTCGAGTAGGTAATATAGCTTCGCTCACTTCGTGATCCATATTCAAAACTGGAAGATTTATGCAGCACAATATCAGATAAAAAAGGTCTACGATTCACCAACTAGCTGACACTCTCACGGATTCTGTATGGCACCAGAAACAATATTCCAGCTGCAAAACAGATTTCAGCAACATAAGAACACCCAGAAAATAGATTGCCTCAGACCATGTGCGTAATTAAGTATCTGAGCCCGCCACAGCTCTGCCAAGACTTGAGATGACATCCGGAAGTATAACGAGGGGCTGGGGATTTAGTTTCGTTGTTTTGCCTTTGGATTAGTGTGCAAAAGACTTTTATAGGAGGCCTTCTGAAACGAGGAAGTTACCGCGGTCTATTACAGAGCACCAACATGGAACAGCGGCAGCTTCAATCATGCTTTGTTGTTCTAGAATACCGCTGAAACTCTTACCGAGCTCCACTGTCCAAAATCCAGTCATATGGCCGGACGTGTATCCGGTTCGTATTAGCGGTCTCACCAAGGACTAGCACGCTAGAATCATTCGTCAATAACAGCTAGGCCAAGGGACTCGCTGGTTGTGACAAATCATACTAGTAGATTGAATCCATTGGAACTAAGCAATATATGTACGTGTCTCGGCCGCATTGGGTGACTGAAAACCAACATATCAAAGCTAGGGGGCTTGCTTTGAGTAGAGGTTCGTTCTGTTATCCGGCGAAACTCGGATCAGCGCTCATCGTTGAGCTAACTTTAACCGTATCTGGATTGCCACGGGTTTGAACCTCTGGTTTCTCCCACCGGAGGACGTTTATCCCGAAGAGACCTGCTGTGTATAGAATCTTATTGATGACACCATGCTACTTTTAGCCACGTATTTTATATACCTCTAGGATCCACTCGCCTGAGCGTGATTATTTGAGGATGCCGAACCAAGAATTAACGACGTATATGAGACGAAACGTACCTTCTCGGATTGTCATGGCCACAGACCCACAACCGTGACCTTAGGTACTCACACGCCTGCGAGAATCCAAACATCATGTCATCTTCATGCTTCAGGGAGCGGTGAACATTCTGAAACATAAATCACGGAAATGGAGAGGTCCACGTATATTTATATCCCCGACACTTGAGACCTTGGAAATAATGTGCTCGGGTATTTCAAATACAATTCACATCCGGACAGAGAAAATAAATAGAGACCTCATACAACCTGTGTCGTTTCAGCAGATTTGTATTCTTCGGATGATAAACAGGTTACATAACATTATCGCATATTGGGCTCTGAGTAGCGAGAGACGACGTAAAGTAGGAACGGAGTTATCCACTTTGACGGCAGTGAGAGCGCTGAATGATACGAGCTCCATGTTGTGAGACGACGTTTAAAATAGCAGGGTTAAGCTTTACAACTCGCCTAGGCCAAGAGATCCCAAAAAGAATAGGCATGTTCATATGCTCAACGCAAGGTCTGAGTTTAAGTAGACTAGTATACATGCTAGCTCGAGAACTAAGCGTGGAGTGTGAGAAAATACACACCAGATCTTCTGTCTTTTCCGAACTTTCCCAACGGCAAGAGGGTTGCGCCCGTGGTGTACGTTCTGCCTCGCACACCAATCGCCGCATCCCCTCCTCGCCCATAGCCATGCATACGCGTTATGATAAGACGAGGTGACAGGGAGGCGGACAAATGATGGATGAATGACTGGGGCGAGGGAGAGCAGATGCGTGCGGTGGCTGTGTGTTGTGCGAGTGATATCGCGCGTGGCTGTGGGTGGCGAGGACTCTCCAATAAGACTGAAAAGTGGAGATTAGTTCAAGAGGGTAATCTAAGTGACACAAGAGGGGCAAGGACAAAAGGAAACTAATAGTGCCAAGAGACAATCATGAAGGACATGGATGACTATATGTGCTCGGGGGTAACACAGGCACCGAGTCTTCCGTGCCGCAATCGAGGCTAGATGCTAGTAACGAGATCGTCTCGAGACTCTTCTGGGCCACACAAAGTCCCAGGTGAAGGGAGGCTCTGAGCCTAGTATGGCGCTCGCGCTCTTGGGCATACCGGAGGCCTGATCTTACTCCGAGTCAAAGTCCAAAGGGTGGGCGATCATTCGGGAATACCCGAGTGCTGAATCAGACCCATTGCTCGTAAACGTTTAAACCCCACCCCAAGCCTTCCCTCGTTGACTTGTCCTTACCTTGATATATTTATACCACGCCTGAATGCAACGGCATCCTCATCTCGACCCGGGAGCCCCAATTACCCCACTGTGATAACCCACTGAACATTTGAAAATCCTCGCATGGAGGATATCTCAGATGCAGAGCAGAAAAGATGCTATCACACGGGCACTATGAGCAGATGGACCAGGTCTTTCAGCCAATGTTTCTCAGCGGCGTCAACCACCAAGGGAAAGCAATATTCAATGATGCCCTTTACGCCCATGCCAATCAATCAGACAGGCCGATGTTTTTAATTTCGTTGATTTTGCCATCCACCAAACTCGGTCGTCCGTATGACTTATCTGACGGCCACAGGCACTGCCAAATATTACAATCATGTCATAGCAAATGACTATGATATGCCGAATCACTGACTGGCAGGGTGGACCTCGTATCTAACATTCATTCTCTAGCTGATCGCAGCTCAAATTTCAAAGCTCGTTGTCCCTATAAATAAAGCTTCCGATGGCTACCAACATATGAGGCTATCTATACTCTATATGTGGCGAAAGCGTCCGATGAGAGAGAACCAGCGGCGTCGGGCGTTACGGCTCTACTTATAAGAGTTAGATTGGGTCTCATGTGAGAGGAAATTTATAGTACCTGTGTATGTGCAAGTCACAGATAAAGCTTGAGCTTGAGCGTGCGCCGGTGTATACGAAGAACCAGTCACCTCGATGGATTCTTCATACATCGAAGAATTATGGATCAGCCAAGTGAGCCAGTATGCGTCGAGTCAGCTGTTATACCTAATATCGAGAATACGCAAGCTTACAAGCTCTCCCCTGTAGTTTCCGCTGAGTGCTTGACCGTCTACAGAATTTGTGGGCACATATTTATTTCCGAACTCTGAGACTACGAAACGCACTTGCTGATCTAACGCTCATAGTATTGAACCTGGATGAAGAGGTATGTCCTCAGCAGCGTCTTTGTGACCCTAGTTTCTAACCTGGTCGGCCTGTATCACGTTAGGTGGAGTTTATCTGGGTAAGCAGTACTACTATTCGGTTTGCAGTACTTTCCCCACTAAAGTCGATTTTGACTGTGAAGAGGGGGTCCTCTAGCCGCACACGGTCGCTATACGGGCTAGTAAGCCACCCCCACAAACATACAACTCGTAGCTGACATACACGAACTTATTCCGTAAAGCTCACCTATGGAAGTGTGCTATATGTCGTGTATGTATTTGTTCTCATAATCAAGGATCATTGGTTAGGCTCACGAGGAATCTACGTATTCGAGAAGATTTCAACTCCGTGAGGGTCAACCTTGGCACGTATCATAAAAAGGTGTCTTCTAATGTCGATTTTTGTCAGCCATCTATTACACTGACATCGTGAGTTTGGCTTGATCGTACTGCTTTTTTGTTGCTAAGGCGCAACTCGAATAGTCGTACGTTAAGGACAAACATCTTAGAACTGACTGCTCCTTGTATACGGTCGCTTACGACTTTGTTGCTGGCCATTTCCAGGTGTTAGTGAATTTAAAATGATTTCCGATCAGACCTTGACACGTATTTAGGTAAAGCTTCTACAATCCTTGATGACATTATTGTGGGGACTTTACTGTCTCTCGGAATTAACGGTGGGTGCCTACGAGTTTTGCTCTAATCATCGCCTTGCTTGAATTCGTATTCATTTTAGCAATGATGGCTTTACGGGTATACGCAATGTATGGTCGGTCAAAGAACGTCGGCGTCTTCCTGATTTTGTGCTTCACAATCACCCAAGTACTCAACCTGGCAAGCTCGTTGGAGCTGATAATTGGAGCAAATGTTTACGGTGATTTCACATTCCTTTTATCATCTTGCGATTATATTGATCTCGCGTATAGTTGTCCCAGGTTATGGATGCAGCTTCAACGAGGGCAATCTTACTGTCGCGCTTCAGCTTGCTTTTTATGCTGTTATGTGTGCTTATGAAGTCGTCCTGCTTGTCTTGGCACTTCACAGTGCATTCAAAAATCAAGAAAGCAGCACTAGAAGCACATGGAGTGATTATAACACTCTATGGGCTACGTTGATCAGAGACAATGTTCTCTATTTTCTGCTGTGAGTTGTCAAACATTTTTTCGGTGCTAGACCATTCACAATGGCTTTCAAAGGGCTACGGTCAGTTGGGCGCTCTATGCAAGCTCATGGGTGCCTACTCTACCGGCCAATGTCCAGGCGAGTGTGCTTATCCGGTCGCAATAGCAGATTCAGATCACGCTCATCACATGGTTATACTAGAACAGCGTCGTTTACAATGTGGCCGTCGATTGGCTAGGCATCTACACATACACCATGCTTGGACCAATCATGATGATTAGCATTCATCGCTTCGATGCAAAACAAGTTCGAGGCGGTACTTCGAATGGAGTGGAAGTAGACATCATGGAGTTCGCCACACTTGGCGCGGGCTCCCTTGCAGGCGTGCGGTCGATATCTGAAGGGCCAAAGGTCTGAAAAGGTTCGAATCACCGGGGATGAATACCGTAGTCGATTACTAGGTGCCACCATTACTTTGGGTGGGGACAGTGTCCTGTATATATTGGTCTTTATTAGTATACGAAGTGCGGCGAAAGCGGGGTGTTCGTAGTAGTCGAAGACATAAGTTAATGTATATCCATTGTATGATATGCCCCTCCGCTGCCCACGAAATCGTGTTGTTCACCTCGTTCGTACGCGCCTTCGCTGCTCAGCCACATATATCCGAATAAGCCTGTACATAAGCAAGCTCGTCAGCGATGGCTCACGTGATCATCCAAGGAATAACGAAGTTTACCCTCGAGCTCTAGCGCAACCCAATATAGACTGGCCTATCGGAGAAGTTCTCCGTGTTCAGATTTAGATCCTACCTAAAGCGCATCAGCATGCCTAGCCTCTTGATGGCCTCCCGACGCGAGATACTGGGCTGGCCCCGGCGCTCAAGCGAATTGGGAGCTGCGAGACAGAGGAGATGTCCAACGAGGAAGTTCGAGTGCAGAGAACGCGGGAGAGTGGGAGGCTGAGAGATTAAGCAGCGCGGGAGTGTCACGAGGTGTATATGTTATCCATGCAATATATCAAGCAGAAAGAAGACTACGCACTCATGCAAGTCTGTGACAGCGCCGATGTCTCCGCCCCTTTCAGCGCTGCGTCCCATGCCCCTCACAGTACGCTCCATCACCTCGCTCCCGAACCACTGAGCCTCTTTCTCGTCCATACCCGAGTATATTAGTGTACCATTCGCAAAAACGGCTACGTCTCCTCCCTCTCTGTTCCTTCCTTAGTGGTTATGCGTCTCCCGCTGACGAGCGTGTAGTACCTGGCGCACCCCAATGCCAGTTGCAGTACCATGAGCGATACGGCGCATGCGCATGCGTTGTATCAGGAGGAATTCGGTCACAGCGGAGGTTAGGACGGTACGAATCGCGTTGCATTACGCGTCGGCGTTGGGTGCGCGGGTATGGTACATGCAGAGCTGGGGCACACCGTAGTGGTGTGTTAACCTTTGGTTTGGGTTTTGGCGCATGATCTGCCGAGCCTGCAGGCGGAGGTGTAGGAGATGTGCTGATGCTAGGCGGACAGATGATAAGCCGAGATAGGAGCATGGAAGGGCGCATGTGCATGGTCTAAGTCCGGTTGACAGGGCTGAGCGACTGAGAGAGTCTACTACGATATTCATCTTGGACGTGTGGGGAGGAAACCAGCAGGAGATCCCCAAGCTCTTTGACGACCTGGACTTCGTGCTTGCCTGTATTATCGTGCGAGTTGTCGAGACGTAGGGAAGGAAATCGCCCAACGCTATGGGAGTAAAGAGCGCGGACTAGTAGGGGGGAAGTGTAGCTCGAGAAAAGAATGGCTAGCGAGAGTGGGCTGAAAATGAGGAAGAGGAAGTGCCAGAGAGGGAACAGGGAGATATGTGGAAGGATGTCAGAGCAATTGGACTGCTCGGGGTAATCGAGGGTTTGGTGCGGCCTAGGATGAACAGGTGCATTGGAGGCGCGTTAATGTCGATCTGTTTATGCGTGCAGACACGTAAGCCTCTGAAACTACGAACACCAGATGAGAATATGTGTACTCGCGACGCATACCGGCGGCCGGATCCCGCTGCGCGTTGGCGTTGAGTTGATGCGTCGGGGTATGACGGTGACTATGAATCACTTGCCCATAGCGTTATGCTAGCATTGGTTCGATGTTTGAACGCATATCTGGCGGCTTTGAAGATGAAAAGGAGAAAAAGAGGTGCTTACATAGGACGGATGATGAATCGATGAGGGAAGGTTGGGACGACTCGGAAGGCTTTGCGCGTGACGTAATCTTGGAGGGACATTTCTTGTGGTCGACTGGGCGAGGTCATGAGGAAATTCAATGGCTGTACCAGAAACAAAAGGTGGCAAAGGGAATCTAGGGGACGAGCTAGAGAACAGAACGAGCGGTGACAGGAAAGGATGGAGAAGGGGATAAACGCATCCAGGGGAAAGCACGGACTGTTTTCGTGTCGTGGTCCAGTTGAAGCTATGACGCATCCGTCACATATGGTTCCCTCATGTGCATTAAGTCGAGTTCAGTCTCTAGTTATGATACGCGGGGCAGGTCCGGTAGAGTATTCTTGGGACACGGCTGCGAGTGAGTGTTATAATTGGTCCTTGGTGAAATACTGGGAGAAGTTCTCCACTAGGACCGATACGTGCGGGACGTGCAAAAGCAGAGTATCACCACGGGAGCATATGTTTAACTCAGGTTCTTGTAACTCATGCATGCGACAAGCGTGTGAAAACCCAAAATTCTCGCGTAGAAACGCACTCGATATCAAAGTAGCTCCGTCTCCGCGCGCGAAGGGGGACATTAGATATGATGAAGGGGAAGGCGAACATGTGAGACGGCGGTTCGGAAGAATAAGGAAGGCGCAACAAACCAGCGGCGGCAACAAACTGAAAGGCCGTGAGAAACGGAATCCAAAACTATACAGTCGTACATTATCGGAAAGCTAAGTTACCCAGCGGGGAGGACCGTCGGTCCGGTATGACCGGCAGGGCACCTATCTTACAAGGAAAGAACTATGGTGAGACACCTGTCTCCTTCGGATCCAGGAACTGCCTGAAGTCGGCATTTTGCTCTGAGGGCGGATCCATGTCTCAGATCTCAAGCCTTCACCGTCAACTAAACCCTGGCATCACAGCCTGTTGGACATCTGAAACACTTCGCAATATAGATTATATCAGATGCAGAGCATTGATGGGAAGATGGTAGTATCGCATGAGTTTACACGGAGATAGGTCGGGTCTTCACTCCACGGCTTCTCAAGAATAGTGATCACCAATGGCAAAACTGTTTCCAGTTATACCCACCATACGCATCCCAGTCCATCGGGCAGAGCGTGGACACTGCCAAACGATTCAATGAGCTCTCCTTTGATGTTTCTGATTTGTCTCCAGTGACTGAAGCGATGATCCACCCGATCAAAGAGTGAGAGTAGCTGGATACAAAGAACGTAGATCGCATCTCTGAAACTGGTTTGAATTTTGTTTGCAGATCAAATCACGCGCTCTCTTTTAAAGTCTGCGGATGATCCTTACCAACCTACACGATGAAACAACTTATATGGCACAAAACACCGCGGAGTTCAGTGAGAAAGAATCAGCATCATCAGACAGAATCATTTGCCAACATACTGTAGGATAGCTGTGCTTGTTTTGCGCGAGTAACATATAAAACCTTGGAGGGGGGAGGGGGGAAGTATCCAACCAACAGTCCCAATGGACTCCTCATACGTCTACTTATCGTGGATGGCCCAAGTGAACCGATATGTTTTAGGTATAATTATATGCCTGGCGCTAGTAACATCCGAGCTTACAGATTCTCTCACTGTATACGTAGCTTCTGCATCATGCTTGGCCGTCTACAGAATTCGTAAGGGTTTGGGCTCTTTGGAAATGCGAACTCATTTACTCATCCAATAATACTCCTAGTGTTAAACTTAGACGAAGAGGTGTGTCTTCAGCGGAGTCAATGCCATTGCCTAATGTCTTAAGCCGAATGCTCTGTATTACATTAGGTGGAATTTATATGGGTGAGCTATATACTAACAGCTTATTGGGTATTCATAGTCTCTTTTGCACTAATTTTAATTCCTGATCTAAAGAGAGTACCTGCGAAGCGCTCACTACTGCTATATGTGCTCGTACGTTATGCCCGCAAAAGCATGGCGTACCATTGACATAGTTAAATATGATCCGGACAGCTCACCTATGGCGGTGCATTGAATCTGATGTATGTCTTTTCTACACGATGAACTAGCTATCAACGCAATGAACTGATAAACATTCTGCATCCCCGCAAAGACTTAGCTTGCGTGAGGATCAAGCCTCAATCGATATCACAGCATGCAATCTCTAATAAACATATTTATCAGCTACCTACAGCACCTTCAATGTAAGTCTTGCTTAATTATGCTGCGGTGTTTCTTTGAATTCTTCAAAGTTCTAACATAAATATAGTCGTACGTTATGATGTCCTAGTGGAAATCTTAGAACCGGCTCTCTCCCCTGGCTACAATTCATGGCCCTGTTACTGATTATTTTTAGATGTCAGTGAATTCGAGTACAAATTATCCTCAGACACTAACACAATCTCAGGCAAAGCTGCCGTTGTATTTGACGGGGTCATTTTGGGGAGTCTGCTGTTGCCGTCTGGACTCAACGGTAAGTCTACGGCTTTCAATGGTCTAAACATCGTTACGCTTAATATCTGTAATCATCTTAGGAATGTTGGCTTTGCGGGTATACGCAATGTACAGTCAATCAAAGAAAATCTGCGCCTTTCTCATTGTGTGTTTCGCCATTGTCCAAGTAATCAACTTAGCCGGCTCATTAGGGCTTATTATTGGAGTAAACTTCTGTAAGACTATATTACTGCCGCTTTCATTCTGAGAGTTAATTGACCTTGCATATAGTCCCGCTGGCCTCAGGGTGCTTGTTTGTCGAAACTTCGGCTGCCTTCGTACTTCAACTCATTGTCGATATCACTAATTGCCTCTATGAAGTCGTGTTGCTTGTTTTGGCACTTCACAGGACATTTAAAGACCAAGTAGCCAATATTACAAGCTCATGGCGCAGTTTCAACACTCTATGGAGTATCTTGATCAGAGACAACATCTTCTACTTTCTATTGTGAGTTATCAGACGAGTTCCAGTCCTTGAAAACATTAATAACGCCTTTCAAAGTGCTACCCTTAACTGGGCACTCACCGCAAGTTCTTGGATACCCAATATACCAGCCGAGGCAAGTGCTAGCAGTGTGGTGACAGCCTCAGATGACACTGATAGCAAGCTTTTACTAGGATAATGTTGTTTACGCTGTGATCGCCGGTTTTCTAACCAATTATGTATTCGCCATGCTTGGACCTATCATGATGCTGAGCATCCGACGATTCGATGCCAAGCAGGTTCGAGGCGGTACTTCCAATGAAGTGGAAGCAGCCACCATAGAGTTTGCCGCAGTCGGCACCGGGTCCCGTGCAGGCATGCAGTCGACGGCTGAAGGAGCAGAGGTCTGACGAGGTTCGACTCACTAGCGATAAATTCCGCAGAGTCGACTACTAGTTTCAATCATTATTTATGCTGGGCGTTGGTCCAGTGTTATTTGTTGTATTATGAGACGCGGCAAGAGTGGAGTGGGTAGTACTGAAAGGGGTGCTCTAATGTATTTATTCTATGATATGCAGCATGCGTTAGAAACGTGGCAAGGTCGTGCGGACTTATACAAGAAAGTAACGGCAACTCGGTCCTTTGTTTACGCGGCCTGCGGTGTCCCTTCGGACACGTCTTGTTCAGGCGGCCCGAACGCCATGTGCCAGAGCTCAGGACCATCGCGTATGAGAGCCTAGTTGGACTCGGCGTCAGATCATTATACAGGAGTTTGGACACAGCAACGTACAATGACGACCTCGACAGCGATGAGCGCGATGATCACGAGCTCCATGCTATGTGTTGACGTCTGTGCGTGTGGAGAGGTCAGACATGACCCTGGGTACCGGGATATTCGTATGCTAACCTCGGTCAAGAGCTGCCTCAGGAGAGACTGCACCTCCGCTGCATACGTGATCTTGTCATTCACCGCGTTCGTACGCGCCTTCACCTCCAACGCCGCTGACATCGACTTGAAGAAGCCTATGTACACAGACATCCATCAGCACCAGTCCAAACCATCATCCAAATAACCGCGGACTTACCCTCGAGCTCCGGCTCAACCCAATACAAATCCGGTGTATCAAAGAAGTTCTCCCTGTTCAGATTCAGACCCTGTCTGAACCGCATGAGTACGCCGAGCTTCTTGATGATCTCGCGGCGCGAGATGCCGGGCTTTCCTGTGCGTTCGAGCGAGTCGGGAAGCTGTGAGACGGAGGAGAGGAAGTTGTCCAGCGAGGCTTCGAGTGCGGACAGCGCGGTCGAGCGCGATAGGGCTTGGGAAAAGGCGTAGCGAGGAAGGAGGGTATCAGCGGGGAGATGGGCTGAGATTGAGGGTGTGGTAGCCGTGGAGGATGGGGAAGAAGGGAGGGATAAAAACGGGTCGGACTGCTCGGGGGAGTCCAGTGGTTGGACACGGCCGAGGATGATCAGGTCGCCTTGAAGGCGTGTTGGCCTAAAAGAGTAGGCACGTATATCAGCCGCATAGCTGGGATAGAAAAAGGCAGAGAACGCACTCATGTGGGTCCGTGACAAACTCCAGCTCCTCCGTCTCCGCCTCTCGCAGCGGTGCAAGCGCCGCGCCCCTCATAGCAGGTGCCATCACCTCGCGTGAGAAGCGCTGTGCCTCCTCCTCGCTCATACCCCAGCAGACAAAGGTGCCATTCGCAAAGATGAACACCTCGCCTCCCTCTCCTTCCTTCTTTGCCTGTCCGTCTGTCGCGTCTCCCGCCAGCGAAGACGCAGGCCAGCGCGGAATCCATAGCGCTTCGTGCACCAGGTGTACTTCAATGCCAGCTGAGGCATTATGAGTCATAATGTGTGCGCGTATGCGTGGTAGCAAGAAGCGTTCGGCCATGGCAAAGGTCAGGACAGGGCGAATCGCGCTACGCGTCGGCGTCGGGTTCGCGCGGATGGGGCGCGACGCCGACGCGGAAGCGCTGCGTCGTAGTGGTGTGCTGGCTTTCGGCCGTGGTTTCAGCGTAGCATCTACCGAGTCTGTAGGTGGAGGCGTTGAGGATGTGCTAGCCAGGCGAATAGAGGATGATCCGAGACGGGGGAGGGTAAACGCATGCGGTCTGAGAGGGACACTGCGTGTAGTTAGACGTGGTGAAGTGAGTCTGCTTGACAGGGCTGAACGACGAAGAGTGCCTGTGAGGAGATTCATCGTGTTGGAGGTGGAAGGAGGAAGCTAAAGGGAGGATGGGAGGAGAAGAGAAGGGATGAAGGGGAGCGCGTTCAGGGGGACGCACTGACTTTTCGTGTGCCGCAAATAAAGCCGATGACGAATCCATCCGGAAACTTCAGGCGCGTACTTTGCACGTTCTCGGCCACCGGCGCCGGGAAGTGCGAAGCTTAGCATGGTACTCTTACGGCAATGTATACACTCAAATAAAAAACGGACACAACGAAAAGCAGCGAAACAATTGGACGAGACAGACGTCAGCACGCATTGGTCGACGAAGGATGAGAATGACAAGGATAAGGTGTCCTTTCGTCTATTGGGAATGTACACGCTCTCAAGCGTGCTCTACTACTCGGGCATGAAGCATCCACCCTCCTCCGACACAGAGTTTACAGCCACATACTGGTTGAGGTGTTGTCCTTCGAGTCCTCGCGCTGTCCGTATCAACTACCGTGTGCGCCGCACAAACTGCCATCCTCCCCCCAACGTCGGGCCCACCGCCTATGACTCGTCATCGTACCCAGTCACCTCCCGTCTCGGCCTGTTTGGTACTGTAGATAGAAAATGCGTTAGCATGAGGCCAGCACTCGTCCAGAGGAGCAGAATAAACGCACCAGGGTAACTGGTGGGGATGGGGTCGGGAGAGACGTAGCCAAAGTAGCCGCGGCGGACGGGAGGAACAATGAGAGCCGCGACGGGGCCTACGAGGCCAATACTGAGCGACCAGAAGATGACGGGCTTTTCATGGGCGAGCCATTGCTAGAAAGAGAAGCACAGTTACTTAGCACAGGGTGTTGCATGCCAGGTGCGAGGATATGTTGTATTTGACAATCCGCCAGACCAAAGAACGATATCAAGAGAAGAGCTGCGTACTTACTGTGTAGCGATACGCGTTGCGGAACGGCGAGAAGAGGGAGGCCATCGTTGGGCTCGGCGAGTTCAGTTGGCGTCCTGCGTTTGCTCGACGGGGCGGTCGTCGCCGGCGGCATTATTTGCGTCTATTTACCAGCGTTACGTAAACACCTATCCCCTCTCTTTCCTCCCTCACCAATCCCTCGCGTCCTCGTCTCCATTCCCAGCTTCTCCATGAACGCCTAGCATAGCTCCTGGACCTCAACGAATCCCTCCTTGTATCCACCTTTCTTTTCAGACACAGGTCTTACCAGAGAAGCCTATGTCATGGATCAAAGATAGCGCAAACAGTGCTGAACAGAATAAACCAGGAGATAGCTCGCATCCAAATTAATCGTGCGTAACGTATAGGTAGCCCTCTAAAGTCTAGTAAAGTAACACAGTACTGCAGCCCCATCCACATCATGAGGCAGCATCATGCTCCTCTAGCAATACCCTGTCTTCCCCAACCATGTTTGCCTAATCGAGCACCTTGGAAGTTGTAACCCCGGTCGTCAGTTCCCCCATGCCCGCTTTGCCTTCTCCCTCCATACCCTCCGATGCGGTATATGAAGACCCATCGTTCAGAGTCGCCGACTCCTGTCCATTGGCGTGGTAAACGGCGGCGTTTGCTAGGTTGTGCTTCGGCGTCCAAGCGTCGGTCCTGCGGACGTTTCCATCCTGGACCCTTGGCGTTTTCTCTCCGGAAAGCAATGGCGACACTATAGAGGCGTCGGGTTTAGCCTCAAGGTTGGAGGAAGCAGGGAGTGACGCCTCCGTCGGTGAATGGGCAAACGCAGAGGGAGAATAGTATTCAGGGATCGTGATCGTGCTTGTGGCTGGCTCCAACGTAGGAGCAGTGGCATCCTTATCGTCAGTGGCCATAGCCTCCAAAGAAACCGGTGCAGCGAGAATCTCGTCGGTGGTGGAGGTCTCTAATGCCTCGTCCATGGCAGCCAGGCTCCGCTCGTACGCGACAGCAGCTTCGACGACGGAGTCGTACATCGCGAAGCCGAGCCCGAACGAACGAGACGCAGCGTCCGCCATGTTCCGCTCGCCGATTTGGGGTGTATGCGCGTCCACGGACTCGTCTTCGACCTCGTCGTCCGGCTCGGGCTCAGGATCCTCAACGCGCAGCTGGAACGATAAATATGACCCTACATACCCCATCTCTCTAATCAGCATTTTCTATCGGAAGAAACACGAAACACGCACCGTTGGAGGTGTTGAAGGAATTCGGCGGCGAAACGACGCTCCCGTCCCCGCTTGCCCCAAAGAGACCCTTGCGCTCCGAGCCACGCTCAGTCGCAGGCACGGACTCCTCCGCCCACACCCGACTCGCGCGGCTCGAGCTTCCATGATGGAGGTGCAGCAGCCCCTGCGGCCCCTGCGGCGTATGCTGCACGCCGACGAGCGACAGCGGGCTCCACGGCGACGGCAGCGTCGAGAAATCCACATCATCCCCATCGCCTCCCTCATCGTCTTCAGCGATCCTGATCTCAACGATACTCGGAGGCTGAGCTTGTGGCGACTCGACAATGGCGCTCTCGTCCGCGAGCCCGTACTTGCTCGCGCACGACGCGGGGTACAGTGCGCCCGAGCCGAAAGACCCGAACCCGATACTGCCTGGGTCGATCCCGAGCCGGCGCGTGTCGAGGTCGAGCGTCGAGCGGCGCGCGTGGAGCTGCGTCAGGCCGTGCAGGAAGGCTTTTTGGAGCTGCAGCGAGGAGGACTTTTCTTTGTTTTCTTTGTGGCCTAGGAGGTCTGCGCCTGATGGGCGGATGGCCGTGGGTGTGGAGTTTAGTGCGCGGGTGTTGCGCCCGAGCGGGGAGGGGGAGGGCGGAGTTACGATGGGGTGGAAGGTGTGGTCGCTGGCTGGCTGTGAAGGTATGGGCAACGGAGCAGTGGTGGATGCGGGATGGAAGGGCGCGTTGTCAGCCTCCGTAGGATCAAGGCCAGAAGTAGGAGCGGGCGCGGTATCCTCATCACCGCCAAAACCCGTGCCGACGCCACCGTCCACAGGAGAGTCGAGCGAGCCAACCTTGAACATCCCCGACGGCAAGCTGATATGCGGCGCGAACCCAAACGCGGGGAGGCCCTCCGGATCACTCTCCTTCCTCTCGTCCCGGTCGAGTCCAGCGAGAATCGGCCCAGGCGTGCGCTCGATTACTCCCATGGGCGACATGGGAGCGCTCACGCGCGGACGGCCCATGCTGGGCGGGGAGACCATGACGATCGAGCTTGAGAGCTCGAGGAAGTCGGTCGATGGCGCAGGCGACCTGGGCGGGCGCTGTGCGTCGATGCTCACTCCCGGATCCACGGCATGCATGTCGTCAGAGCCCATCTGCTCGGGAGAAAGAGTCTGCGGTATGGGGCGCATGGACAAGTCATCGCCGCTGCTTCCGGTGTTGGCGGTGGTAGCGGTGTCCGGAGCCGCGCGGATGTCGAGAATGGACTCGGAGAGCGTGAGCATCGGCGGCGGGGAGTACTTGCGTTTCCCGAGTCTTTCCGCCACCTCCTGCTGCAACGAGGCGGCAGCACCAGCCTCCCCATGCTCCGCCCTCCCCAGATGATCGCGCGTTCGGACGTTGACCACGATCTCCCTGTCCTTGCCCTTATCCTGCTTCTTCTGCTTCTGTTTCTTCTTCTGGGCAGGTGCGACAAGCGACTCGTGGTGCCGATGCGCGCGCGTGATGGGCAGAACGGGTTCCTCGTTGGCCCTGCCTTTCTTCTTGCCCGATGCTGCAGAGCCACGGGAACGAAAGAGGGCGCGAGCGAGCGCGGAGAGGCAGCCCTCGCGGGCCTTCTTGGTGGTATGAGTGTTGTCGAGGGGCGGCATGGGTGGGTTTCGGGCCCGATGACGACGGTGGGGGTATATGGGCAGAAAGAGCGGGGGATGATGACAGGACGAGAGCCTGCTACAGCGTGGCAAACCGGACGCCCGATACTTAAGGTGGTGGCGGGGCTGGTTAGGAGCAGTCGTGTCTTAAATGCCAGGCCGCCAGCTGAGGTTGGACAGTCGGTGCCTTCGTTTGGCTCTGGCTGAAATGGTCTGGGTCCGAATGCAGGGCCAGTATCCGGATCTGTATGACGCTGCTCTTTACCGTGTATATGCTAGTCGTAGAATGTCATCACAGAAAAATATCAATTCCTACATACAGCCTTCGGAGAAAGAGGATTTGGCCCTGACCAGACCTTGAGTTAGAGTTTGAAGGATGAGATTTGAAAACCAATGAGGCCAAAATATTATCTCAAGAATTGCGAAGATCGCCAACAAAAGAATCCCACCGACTTGAATGCATTAAGGGGGAATCGAACCCCCGGCGGGTCGATGGCAACGACCCAGGTTACCACTACCCCATTAATGCGGATATAACGAGGCTCTGCATGCGCATTATATACGTCTGTAAGCCTCGGTTGCTAACATCCTGGGTTAGCTTCTATCGACACCCAGTTCAAGCCCTGCTGTAAAACGGACGCGCAATGTACACCGACGCCGTGTCGCCAAGTCCATCATCACAAACCCTCAAATCTATCATGATACGTGACCTCGAGACTCCCCAAGCTGCCAATTTAGAACGGTAAAAGCATATGCATGAACCTGGTTCCATAAGAGCGAACCAACGAAACCTCCTCCATAGATTACGACATTTTACATCGAAGGATCCTTGGCAGTTCTACTTCTTCCGTCTATATGAAGGACTAGTGTCACGGTTCTAACAAAGTCGTCGCGCTTGGCACCTCCAGGCAGCCGAAGTACGTCGCACGTCAGACCGGAACAACCCAACTTCCGTTTTGTTCTTTAACAGACTCTGAAATGAGGCTTCTGAAGCGAGAAGGGTCGAGGTATGTCCGGAATACATAAATTGACGCGTTGTTCGTTGACCTTTGTTCGGCCCCCCAAGTCTCACTCACCACTCAGAACCCTTACGCGTTGCATAACCATGAAGTTCACGTCTGCGTTTGTCCTCGCCGCATTGCCTTATCTTGTCAATGCTGCTCCTAGCCCAGCATCGCAGGCTGGTCGGCTCGAGATACCTATCTCTAAACGGGCGCAGCCGCAGGGCGTGTCTTTTTGGGCAGAACATGTCAATAGTGTAAAGAAGTGCGTCCTCACAACCCCACTCGCCGTATTCACAGGACTTCTCTAACACTTTACAACAGCAAGTATCTACGTAACTTCGCAGTCTATGAACGCAACACCGGTAGCAAGCACCCGCTCGCAGCATCGCCGGCACGCGCATCGCGTCGTGGCGACGGCGCAGTTCAGCTCACTGACAGTGATGAAACATTGTGGTATGGCAAGATAGCCGTCGGCACGCCTCCAAAGACGTTTACGGGTGCGTACCCATGTCACACTCAAACAAACACCGGCTCACTAGCCCGCAGTTGACTTTGATACCGGGAGCAGCGATCTCGTGTTACCGGGCGCAGATTGCACAGCCAACTGCGAAGGGCACGCACTATATGACCCCAGCCGGAGCTCAACCAGCGAGACAACCAATCAGCCGTTCAAGTTAAGCTATGGTGATGGGTCGAGCGTGCAAGGAACAGTGTATCTTGACACGGTCGCACTTGCGGGATTCCAGGTGCGCGTGATCACTCTTCGATATGCAATGTGCTTCAATGACCCCGTCTTCGTTACAGGCAACGGACCAATCTGTAGGAGACTCCAGCCAGTACTCCGACGGATTTGCACTATCCCGGTTCCCTTCGGACGGTCTGATGGGCATGGCCTTCAAACAAATCTCCGAGTTCAACGCCTCTCCGGTCTTCCAGACCCTCGTTGAAGAAGGAATGGTATCCGACCCTGTCTTTGCCTTTAGACTCGGTACATCTGGCTCTAAGCTTGATGTCGGCGGCATCGATCAAGCTTCTCTCAAGGGGGACATATCGTATACCGACGTCACCCAAGAGGTGATACCTTCACTATCTGTGCCTCGAACGAGCCGATGCTGACACAAAGTAGGGTTTCTGGCAAGTGAAAACCGACGCTCTCATGGTCGGAGGTCAGACGACGTCATCAAACTTCGATGCAATCATCGACTCTGGCACGACGCTCATTGTGGGACCTACAGCAGATGTTGCAAAGTTCTACGAAGCGGCAGGCGGGACGGACGCTTCTCAAACAGCCGGTCCGGGCATGTATACCGGTGCGTTATTGTGACGGTTTAAGTCGTTTCAGTGGCTTGACCTGCTTGACGGTCCACAGTGCCGTGCGATAAGATCCCCTCCGACATCTCTCTTACTTTCGGCGGACGCGAGTTCCCCATTTCCCCGGATACGTTCAATCTCGGGCCAGTCTCAGAGGGCTCGAACGACTGCGTCGGTGGGATCACTGGACAGGATATTGGCGAGCGTGAGTCGCTTTCCTTGGCATCATTGCGAATGCTGGTTGACATCCTCGCTCTGGTAGCCTTCTGGATCGTCGGTGACGTCTTCATGTGCAACGTATACACCATTTTCGATGTTGGTGAAACGCGTGTTGGCTTTGCCAATCTAGCATAACGAGCGGCACCAATAACTTGGATCTCAAAGTATCTTCGCGTGTTCATGTGCTCTTATTTCCTTTGCGCATCACGCTACAGCTAATGTAATATCTCGTGACAACCGTCTTAATATACCTGCATTTCACTGTTCATTGGAGAATGTGTCCCTCTGAGTTAGAGCCTGTGCTTCTCATTGTGATATCCCATTTCTCGTCATTCGTACATCGGTTATGGCACTTGAATGTTCGTGTCTCCTGTCTATTGTAGGTTCCTCACAGTAACTGACACATGCTCTAGCTCACTTATGGTGTTCTTATATATCCCCGAAGAGCACAACGGCCCGACCGGTGCGGGATCGGAGGGAAGCCAAGTGCCTACGACGTCAGCTATTTCGTTTGTCAATAACATACGAGTGCGTGTCCCGACTTCGTTCCCTTAAGTTGCCTTTGTGTCTGATGATCTTGTGGAAACTTCGTCATACAATGCTACCGAGTTTTCGTATTGTCTTGGGCCCTTGAATATTCTATTCCGGCCTGTGCCCATGATGACACCCTTGTTCATGAGCATCTATTCACTACATAACTCCGTGAACATCGCTGATGGCGCATTGTAAGGCAATGCGCGCAATGTTGCTGACTTCAGTCGGCATTCATTGTACCTTCATTTCTGTGGCTGGGCTGCGCGCCCCTGGCCGTTATGACTTGATTTCCCGCATTTCGATTGGCTCGTTCCAAGTTACTGAGCGCATGTCTGTACTGCCTCCCTCAACGGAAACTCTGAACCATCTCAAAACATTCGTTTCTTATGGTGATTTTCGCCCGTCCGCGTTGCAGCTTCAATGTTCCTGAGCTAATTACGTCTTGTTTATAGCATTCTTGCATTTTACAGGAACTGCACTTAACGTCAGCCAAGGTCATAGCCACAAATATCGGCTTGCTTGAAGTCTCTGCCACCTCGGCTTCAGGGTGTATATAAATGGCGTTCACGAGCAGCGAAATTCAACACCAGCTCTCGTCTTACCCAAACATGAAGTTCGCTATCAGTCTCGCTTCCCTTGTTCTTCTTGCCAGCAGCACTTTGGCATATGAAATTACCGTCGACACGCCGTAACGAACCTATCATCTCTTCTTTGATCCTTATAGCTGACTCTTTGCTACCTGCTTCAGCTCTGATGTCTACTCGTGCTTCGATACACTTGTTACATGGAGCGGCGGAATAAGTAAGCAGAGTTTTTGCCATGACAAAATATACTGAACAGCATTGCTTACTGCTGGATTCAGGCCCATACAATTTGGTGCGTATACAAGAGTTTTACCCGAGAGCTTATTGTTCGACATGTAATTTGTCGTGCACAGAGGTATACCGGTTCTTCCATGACATTGTCTATGAACTGAAGATTGTAATAGCGTCACCCCGCCTTACAACGTCGATGAAACTTATGACACTTACACTGGTCTGACGGGCGACTCCTACGAATGGGGTGTCAACATAGCCCCAGGTAAATCTATACGTCTTTCAGACTATTTCACCATACTCATTTCATTTGTTATCTCAGACACTGAAGTCCAGTTGGTCCTCCACGACAGCAATGGACAAGAAGCACAAACTGAACCTTTCACCGTCACCGCCAAGCCCGGAACTGCTCGTAAGTCTTTGTGAGAAGCTGCCTGTCAAAATATGAGCTCACATAAGGCTCTTATCAGCTCCCGGGTGCGAGTTTGCGGCACCTACTCCCGTTGATTATTGACCGGTATAAGGCTGGGCGCGGCGCTGAGCATCGATGTATTACTACATAGTTTTATAACAGATTGTGACGTCGACCATAACCAAACGAGATAATACCATAACTACTATCTTGCTGTAAGGGTGGCATCGTGGCTGCGCCTAGACCACCGCATGTCCATCGCACGTTTACCTCGAGGATTCGCTTTCGAAGATTTAAATACTCGCATTTTCGCAGTTACTCCCCAGCAACTTGATTGGCACTCGGTTCTCTCTTGGTCCCCTTTGAACTTGTACGAGCACATGTCGTAGCCCTCACTGGCTTCGATACTTACATTGCCTATGGAAGCAAAAACAACCTCCGTCAACGGGGCTGGATAGCTATGCTCATGAGTGAAGCTCTGTAGCTTTACGTATTATGGTGTTACAAGACACAATGCTCTAAACATCTGTGACTACGCTCTCTGAATGAATGAATGAATGATCATATTAATGTCCAGGAAGGCAGACGCGCCTTAAGACGGACAATCCTACGCGTAGTTACAATAACCGTATAAATCAAAAACGTTATGTCATGCTGACACGTGCACGCCAGCCGAAGCTGTGAACACTGCGAACGAAGGCAAACAACAAAGACCACACCGACACCGAGAGCACATCTGAGCCCAGCCCAGCACCAACCCCAAAGACGCCATTTCCGCGCCACACAGGCTCCCATGTCCAGCCCCGTCGGCCGCCGCCACCGAGTATTAACGCGCCCAGAACCGCGACGAAGCGGCCCCTCGCTCACGCCGAGTTCACTCGGCTAAGATCTCCATAGGTCTTGCGGAACCTGCCCGTCGCGTTGATGAACGCCATCAACGAGCCAATCCCCTTGTCGCTGCCGAGCAGAAAGGACAGCGACTCCGCCTGGCGTCCCGCCACTCCAATCAACCGCCGCCGCGCCCGTTCCCAAGCCGGGCACTCAAACAAAAAATGACGAATCGACTCGTCGGTCCCCCGGTCACAGTGCTTGCACCCCGGATCATCGACGACCTTGATCCGGTGAAGGAACGCATCAAGAGCGATGTGACGCGTCCGCAGATGCGTCAGCAGGGCACCTTGGCGCCGGGGCAAAGAGGATATCTGTTTCATGTGATGCTCCGTCGCAACCGTCTTGTAACCCACGGCCCGGAGACGAGGGGCACGTTCCGCGGCGACTACGCTCTCTATCGGACCACTGTAAGGGATGCAAGCAGTATTCCGACGGATTCACAGTGTCCCGGTTCCCCATGGGTAATGCGCATGGCTTTTGAATGACATCCGGTCTTCGAGACGTTAACATTGCTCAAGGCCAAGTGACCGAGAGTGTCTTTGTATCCAGACTTAGCACATCGCTGTCGGCGGCACCGACTAGCCTAGGCCATCAAGGGGGTAATCACGTATGCTGACATCCTCAAAGAGGTGACACCGTCACTCCTTATATATCCCACACAAGCAGATCCTGACGGAGCTTAGGGGTCCCATCAAGTAGAAACTGACAAAAATTTCAAGGTCAGAGGCCAGCGGACCTCAGCAAACTTCGATGTGATTATCAACTCGGGGTTGATCCTCGTCGTCGGACCTACAACAAATGTTGCTAAATTCTACAAGGGGATAGGCGGGACGCCTTCCCGAGATACTGGACCGGAAATGCATACCCATGAGTTTCTTAAGGGGGTTTGACTATTTGCTGTCGACTGGCCTGCTGAATGGTTCGCACTGATGTGTGACAAAATCCTGGCACGGATTTATCATACCAGCATAAGTCAAGCCATCAGTCGTTCATTGAAGATACTGGTAAAATAATGAACACTCCAAGAGCACTACTCTGCAAAAATACTAAATCTGGTACCCGAAAAAATCAATACATCAATGGATTCAAGCCTCCAAAGGTTCTTTATTTGAAGTTGCCGTCGAATGAACTGGATTTACTGTTGCAAATTGCACAGTGTGTAGTTCCTCCTCTGTGGATATTTCCAGGGTGTTCCCAGCGATATCAAATTGACGAATGCTCAACAGCATTACCGGACCTATCATAAAAAGCGCAAAAAAGGAGATACCGTTCGAAAACACAGTCCAGATTAAATTGAGGCCCTTGCCAAAAAAGATTAGAGTACATTATTTGTTGTTGGGGAATGACGCTCACCCATCCGAAGGGAAACGGCAAATACGAGGCTGCGCTGATTCCCCAAGCCAGAAACGATCTACAAGCGCTTGAGTCATGCCGTGAGATGGATATTTGCACATTCCACTCACACAATAAAATAGAAAACGTGGTCTCTGGTCATCATTGCCAGCAGGGTATTAAGACTCCAGAGCGACCCAGCATAGCCATTTCTTATATGCCATGTTGCACGGCACAAAGCCAGAGCAAGTAGGATAGTCTCATATGCAGAAATTGCAAAGTTACTGCCCAGCTCCACCCATACCAGTTTGTACGGAAAACTGTATCCACAGGCATGCCCGAGCGGAGCCACAGACTCGGAGACTATTGAATACCAAAATATGAGGAAACCCTTTGATAAGGATGAGTAGGATAGATAGTCTGTACCTTCAACCTTCATAACGATCATCATTGCTACAAAGGCGGCAACGCTTATGCCTTGCGTTATGGAAAAGCAAATAGCTAAAAAAACAAGCACCACTCTAGACCTGTCATACATTGCGTACACCCTCAATGTCATCATCACTGGTTTAAAGCGTCATCACGATGTTGCACAGAAAAGCACGGAAGCTAACGCTCAGTTAACATACCATTTAACCCCATGATGACTACTACATTCAAAGCACCTTGTTCCATCGAGATAATCGCTAGGCCTATGAGGAAATACCCAAGGTTAGTTCGTTTTTAAGTTATTTCCCAATAAATTAGCTTTACACCTAAGCAATGTTTATGAGGTCATGTAAGCAACATTTTAGTGAGTATGAAACTCGGCTACAGCTACCCACATCTGCAGCCCGTGACGGGTGTCAAACTCGCTGAAATAATTTTTAAGGTTGAGATTTTGAGAGCTGACGCACTTCATAATTTAGGATGGTACCCAACAACCCCACTTCATTAAATGGGTATCACCATCGTGTTTATAGTTATTGTGTCATGTCTATTACTCACATAACACAAAACTAAAAGTTGAACACTGTCAGCCATGTTCTTAATCACTCGTTGATGTGGTGAGCTTACAGTGCCTCCAATAGTGCACCATAAGTCACCTGTCCCAGACCGAGTTAGCATATGTACCCAGCATCATGATCATGGTCAAATGCCTCACAACTGCATAGAGGAGTTTCATGGATTTTGAAGAGCCCCGCTTCTGGTATTTGCTGCTCGTTAGATTTTTGATAATTCTTTGATACTGTACGCCCACCCATATGAGGTCAACCTATGTGATGCGCGTTCAAGGTGGAAATAAATAAAAGCGCATAAAATGCTGTTCAGGTCTTACCTCTTGGTCCATGTTTAAGACTTCATATTTCAGAGTGCGTGTAGTGGAGATACAGTTTGATAGTTGATACATTTCAAATATGAAAATGTTCACGACTTACGTATCCTGTAAAGTGTTAATGACGACAGCCCGCCTACCAATGTAGATTGAATGGGAGCGCACATCATTATTATGTCTGAAACACTCACACAGTGTGTATTTTGTGACCACTGTGCTCCATAAGGATGCCATTTCCGTGTCTTGAGAGGACATGACTTTGAATGTGGGACTTGACTGATAATTTTCAGAGTTGAAATAATCTCGGCTGAAACTAGGAGGTACCCTTTATACGAAGGAATCGACTGCGTGCGCTGTTGCAGTTTCCATTGGCACAGCAGCAAGGCCATGAAATCCCGTACTATTATCGTTGGATAACAGCGATGTACACGGATCTATCTTTGATTCCATCCTACTCGATGATAGCCAATGAGCGAACATAACCTTGCCTTGATACATCAATTCTCATGCATAATCAAAACGGGCTATGCAGGCCCCACAAAAGGCGGTATGCCATCATATAGATGAAGGTGTAACGTTCAACGTTTTGTCCCCGCCCCAACCAACCATGTGTTTGTGGAAGGTGACTATTCTGTTATTTCTGTTCCTTTTAAGATGTTTATAACTCAAGTATCCAATGACACACAGAGTCATTCGTTCCGTAATTGGACGTTACAATCAAACACTCGATGCGTTTTCTGAATGACTCGTGATCATCAAGAATTCCCATCATAATCTGTGCTCAACAAAACGAGGAACATTTATCAGAAGAATCTCATGTTACCTGATAAATCCACGTCACTTCGAGTCTATTGGTAGAAGCTACTAAGCGCTTGATATCTAGAAGGCTGCGTAAAATCAAGGGCACTGACAGGAGACAGTTTGATGGTTCTTCTTTGGACGTATCGCAAAAACGTTGACAAAACTAGGGTTCACGCAGGAATCAGAATAGCATCGCTAGGCACGCACTGTCGGGTATGGTTTTAGTTTACACGGATTCCCCTCGCTTCGGAAAGGAGTTTGAGGGCCAGGGCATGGTCATCTGCAATTTTTTTCTTACAAGACATTCCGCCCGCTACAGAATACTGTACTTGAAAGCTGATGGGCGTGTACATGAAAAATCAGAACACGTATGGACTTTCGTCTGCTACATAAGACAAAGGGCAATATCCCATCCTAACCTTAACCCTCAGCCCGCTGCCAAGCAGGAGCAAACATAAGCCGGAGTAACTAGTAAATGTTGAAGATACTGGTAATTCGCCAATGTGTGGATCGGGATTAGCCATTCTCGCACACCGCCCATACCCATCCTAAACAGACTTGACATGGCAACTCCTACAACGCCAACGAGGACAACGACATTCAACCCAACAACCCCAATCGCAACACCTGCAGCAATCAAACTCGGAAACTCGCAGGTTCTCCAGTCCTCGCCGCACTACACCACCACACGAAGACACTCACTCTATGGCACTGAAGACCGTGTTGTGATTGATCCGGGGTCGCGCATCTGGAAAGTCGGCTTCAGCGGCGAGGGCAAGCCGCGCGAAGTATTCTACGCCGAACCCGAGGGCTCGGGGTCGCTTTGGAACCTAGAGCGCGCCGCGGATGTAGGGGAGAGGACGGAGGAGGACAGAACGCTCGAGGCGAACTTGGAGCGGTGTATGCGATTTGTGTTTCACAAGTGAGTATTCCTCTCGCCGTCCTGCGCTCGAACTGCCTTGCGTGTTTATCTGACGGTGTGAGGTGTGCGAAAGGGCGCTGTTGACGGATCCCAAGTCGCGCAAGATCATCTTGGTCGAGCAGCCGCTGATGCCGATATACATCAAGGATATGATTGCGCGGATTCTGTTCAATAATCTGCAGGTTCCTTCGATATCGTTTGCGTCGAGTCACCTCCTTTCGTTACTCTCGGTTGGGCGGATAACGGGGCTGGTGCTGGACTGTGGGCATCTAGAGTCAACAGCTTTGCCCGTACGTCTCATCCGCATCTTCACTAACACCAATGATACAAGCAACGCGAAACCAGATATTTGCCGCCCGTCCCCTGTACCCTCACCTACGCACCACTCCCCTTGCAGGCTCTCGCTTATCCTCACACCTCCGCGCTCTTCTCCTTCTCTTTGGCACCTACCTCCCACCACCATCCACCCTCAGCGCAGCAATCAACGTCCCCGCCGCCAACCGCGCTACCCGTGTCCCACAGGAAGTCCTCACCGACGCAGTCATTGAAGACATCAAGACCCGCCTCTGCTTCGTCAGCGAAGCGCTTCCACTCACGCCCGGCCCCACGCGCCTCGGCAGCCCCACGTCGGGCGTCGGCGACGACGCGTCCGACTTCCCCCCACCGCCCAGCTCGGATGCGCCCTCCGAAACCGAATCCGCGGGGTTCGAGCACGCAAGTGCGCCGGGGACAAGCGCGAGTGGTGCCGAGAGTGCTGCTGTATCGGAGGAGTTCTCGGTCGTGTCGCACCCGGCTCCGCACGCGGGGAGCACTGCGCAGCATCAGAGCGGGACACAGGCGCTGGCGATGATGTATATGCGGCATTCGGCTGCGACGGACGTGCATCTCCGGGTTGTGCCGCCGCTCGCGCAGCAGACGGGTACGGGACGCGGGACGCTGATTGTTCCTGGATGGATAAGAGAGAGGGCGGCGGAGGTGCTGTTTGAGGGCGGGGATGTGGATGAGAGTAGCGTTGCGGAGGTGGTGTTGGATGCGTTATTGAAGGTGAGCACATATATGCGTGTGTCTGCACCCGACCTGACGTGACGGCCTCGTTACGCAGGCGCCTGTCGATCTCAGACGGACACTGGCTTCTTCCATCCTCGTCGTGGGCGGCACACCTATGTTGTCTGGGTTCATCCCGCGGCTACAGGCCGAACTCGTCCGTGCCGTCGGACCACGTCCATCGCAATCCCAGACGCACTCGGCCCCTGGGACACCTCGACACAAGCGGCCTCGCCCTGCGGCGAACGACCGATATGCGCCTCTTCGTCCACTCCTGCGCGATTTCGCGATTCTCAACAACCCAGCTCCGCGTACGGCTACTGGTGCTTCATCACGAGCGATCGCCAACGCAGGTAAGGCACCTGCGTTTGCGCCTGCTACCATGGCGTGGGTCGGGGGGTCGCTGGCTGGGTAAGTATATCATCCCAAACGTTCAGCTCATCGTCTTTAACGATTACCTTGCAGCTCTCTCAAAACCGGTGGTGTCGAGGTTCCCCGCGAGAAATGGGACGAGTCAACGGATCCGAATGATGATATGGACGAGGACGAGCTGATTATGGCACCTGCGGGGAGGGACGCTGCTGGGATGAATGTCATACCGGACTGGACACGGTCGGCGCTTCCCATTGGAGCACCTCCTGCAGTCGTGCACAGGCTGGCTGTAGAGACGGTTGAGCAGGCGCCGCCTATGGTCGAGGTCACTTAGGGACGAGATGCATCGTTATGTCTTAGCTGGAGTGGTTACGATGTTGTCTGTTGTCTTTACAGATCGCTTGGACGGTGATCACGTATTTTTGTGCGATTTTGCAATCGACATTGTGCATAGGTTTCTCGCTCACTTTCAGTTAACTGCAGCGTTCTCTGGATGAGCACCTTGATGTTACGATGCCGCGATGTTCCGCGCTGAGCGCTGAGCCACAAGCCACGCGGGTTTCACGTGCCCGTCCTCATTGCATCCGCACCATGAGCGCATGTTCGAATCTGGGCGGTCGTGTTTCTCAGATAAAACCCCTATACTTGAACGTACACTTGACGTAAACTCTTCGCTTCTCCTAACCTCTATTATCGTACAACACATTCGACGCTCGCACTCTCCAGCATCATATCAGCCTACTTATAGTTGGAAGCACAACAGGGAAGATGGTACAAATGAAACGAGAGGTGGGTGCCAATTTAGCGTTGTTGAATCTGCCATCTCATTCTCGTAGAACCCCGCAGTCGACGACTCGACAGCAGGTTGGGAGGACATATCTGAAGGCGAACTCAACCAAAGCAGGCTATCCCAGTCCAGGACAAGCAGCTCATCGACAGCAAGCCCTCGCACGCGCCGGAGACGGCGCACTGCAGGGACCAAAGCTGCCATCCATGCCAGTGAGAAGGAGTCGTCACGGCGTCTACGCTCTGCAACCCCAAGCCCTTCCTATGTCGCAGCATCCCCACCTGCACCAGCATCACCCGTTAAGCCCTCTCTGCCACGGTCACGCACGCTTGACATCAGTCGCGAGGACGTTGTAGACAGCCTTGGCAGCGGCGCTTATCATACATTCCACTATGTTCACGACATCGTCGCCCCCGCCATCCGCGCATTCCGGAAACCGCTCTCCCTGTTCCTGTTCCTGTGGATGCTCGCGTGGGCTGTGACGCGCATGTCGGCCACGATCCGCACTGCGCTCTCGCCGCTGTGCATCCTACCCGGGATATCATCCAGCTCGCTGTGCGCGCCGTTTCCACCGCAAGCCTACAACGGGAGGGGGAGAAAGCCGGGCGACAATAATTCGAAGCCGCAGCGCGTTGACTTCCCCGAGCTCATGCGGATGCAAGAGGGCACGTTCGAGCATCTCATGGACAACGCCGTAGGCGGCGCGGGGCTCTCGCTCGAGGTGCGCAAGGCGGAGCTCGCGACGGGCGACTTGACGATCCTCGTGCGCAACAGCGAGCTCAAGGGCCGGGATGTGCTCGGAGATCTCCTTGAGACTTTCGTAAAGGACGCGAAGAAGACGGCGAAGGGGCTGACGAGGCTGGGGTCTAAAGTCGGAGGCGCGGTCGACCAGTGCGTCATGTTCTCTCTTATCTTTGCCTTTGCATCCATCACTCATCATGCATCCTGATGCTCATTCTAGAGTAATGGCTGTAAACGGCTACACGATGCGCACAATCCAGGAAGCCCACGCCAACACGCCATCGCCGTATTCCATCCGCGCGCTCATGCCCTCGTTTGGGCGCGCACCGCCGCGCGAGAAGGTGCTCGCGGCCTTCACAGACGCGATGGACACCCTCGCGGACGCCATCACGCGGCTCATCGTCGAGGCCGAGGTCTCGCTCGCGGACCTCTCCGCGCTCGAAGAAGACCTCAGCGCGATCCACGCCGTCGTCGTGCGCGAGAACGGCTCCGTGACGCGCTCGAAGGACGAGCTGCTCGCGCAGCTGTGGACGATGCTCGGCGCGAACCGCCGCGAGATCCGGTCGCACGACGACCGGCTCGCGCTGTTGCAGGGCTTGGGGGATTATAGGCGGAGGGCGCTGGCGCATGTTGTGGCGGCGCTGCAGACGCTGCAGGGGATGAGCGAGGATATGGAGGATTTGAGGGAGAGGGTGGCGGCTCCGGAGATTGTTGGGGGGAGGATACCGCTCGAGGTGCATATGGAGAGCATCCAGAGTGGGTTGGAGCGGCTGAAGGAGGGGCGAGTGAAGGCTAAGGAGAGGGAGGATGAGGCGATACGGAGGGTTCTTGCGATAGATGAGTAGCCGGCTGATGACATACATCGGTGCTTGATTGTTTGGCCGTTATTTATGCAATTCACTGGGTCGTATCATTCCCACTCCTCACTCGCACGGTTTTTGGATAGTCCTCTGATCAATAGATGAAGCTCATCGGCGAAAGTTTGATTCCTGCGCTATGCAGCATATCATGCTATCTTTTTTGACGGTCGCGTCTATCCATCTCTGTGGATACGATTACTCTGGTTCATTGACGTGATATCCGTAACTTAGCTCCACAAATAACCAGTACAGCTTCTTTACAGCAAGTGACTTATGGAAATGGTTTAAAGCCAAGGCAAAATCCATGCACCGGGCTGATCACCACCACTGTCCTGAAAGCGCATTCTCAATGTTGACGATCCTGGACCTTGACCAGTACCTCGAAACTTCTTTAGTCAACGGTGGTCTTACATGTATATTGCTATATCCTACAACTGTCTCTGCTTGATGACATCTTGGTTTTTAGGCGGAATGTTGTCCGTAGTGGTCTACCGGCTTTGTGAGTTCGCTTATACAATATGAATAATCAATTACTCACTTCGATTTGCAGTTTTGAACATAGATCGAGAGGTAAATCAAGCTGAAACCCGTCCACTCTTTGCTGCTAACCCGATATACGTGGCTCAGATGAAGCTTATCTGGGTGAACACCTATAATTACGTACGGAGCATCAAGCACTTCGCTGATTCTGCGCTTTCGGACTAGAACGGGGGATGCTCCAAACGCATTATGGCGCTTTATGCTTTGGTGAGAAGATATGAGAGCTATTTATAAAGCACCATCTGAATGATTCATTTCTAATCTCTAACAAAGTTAACTTATGGCGGGCTGCTCTATAGCGTGTAAGAGTTCATCAATCCTAGTCTTTGCAGAGTCATAGCTGACGATGATTGGTGAGAGTAGGCTGTCCCTTTGTGAGTCACCCTCTGCTTTATAACATACAGTGTTGCGTAGATAACCATTTTTATTACCGATGAAGTATCTTCAAAGTATACGGGTAGCAACTATAGTGTGAGTTATGTTGCGACGTCAATGCTTGATAACTTGACTTCCTGTTGTTTTTAGATCATGTAAGCAACTATTTCAAGCTACGCGGCATTTTGGGCACCTTTGACCTCTCGGATGTTGTTTAGATTCGAAGGGTGTAAGTATTTATCGCTAAAATTGAGTTTCGTTAGGGCTAATGTCACAATTTACAATCAGGCACGGTCAGCCCCGTGGGCGTGATGTTCTTATCCGTACCACTCCTTTTCGGGATAAACGGTGAGCAAATATATCTACATTATCTCATGGCTTACGCGACAGGTTTGTTGTGCCTGATAGCATTAATGGCGTTGAGAGTATACGCCATGTACAACAGGTCAAAGACGGTCCTGATATTCTTAGCTTCCTGCTTTATGGTCGTTCAAGCGCTGAGCATTGCAACATTTATCAGCTATATGGCCATTCTCCGTGAGTAGCTTCCACCTTGTGATACAGCGATTCGGCACTGACGGAATCAACAGATCCTAAGTTATGCGAATCAGATCCCACATTCTCGATGGATGGAACCTCGATACTTACCGATTGGCTCGAGGTCGCATGTAACTTTTCCACATGTGCATACGAAACTGTCCTGCTTGTGATGGTGCTTTATCAAGGTATCTGGAAACCAGTGAAACACGGATACGCGACATCCCTCTGGAGTTTGAACAAGTTGATGGCTACTTTGATCAGGGATAATGTGTTCTACTTCTTGACGTGAGCATTGAGTACATTCCACCCGCCCTATTGACCAATTTGAATGTGCACAGGGCGGCTTTAGCTTGGGCATCTCAAGGGCTCTTCTTCATGCCGTTTCGCATGGAAAACTTATATACAGTCAGTATATGTCACCCTTAACAAATGATCAGTACGCTAAGCCATATATGTCATAGGGAGGAAGCTTGACCTTAACCGCAATTTCGTCTGCATCAACAACATTTGTGTATTGCATGATAGGCCCAATCATGATTCTCAGCATCCGTCAAGCTGATGCTGACAACTCAAAGGGTCGAGGTGTATTTCTTATGAATTGAGAAGGCGAACGCCAGGTGACTACAAGTTGTAGCAGATCCATAGCGTACCATATTTTGTGTGCTCGTGCCAAGAAGGCGGAAAATTATGCATTATGTTCTCTACACCCCAACGGCCGAGTTTGTTGACACCACAAGGGTATTTTGTGTCAGAAGACATCACCTTCGATCAGAAATAGTACTAACGGTTATCTTATACTGCAAGCTATACATGGTGAATAGCCGAAGAGTATGAAGCCTGTTGGAACATCCAAGTTGTCGTAGCTAAGGTTCATGCACGTTCATGCTCGTAACGCCCATTCATTAGGCTATGCCGTGCTCGGTACGGGTAATCGTTGGTACTTGTTGGTGGTTGGACTTCGGGACGTCCAATTCTACGTCACAAAACATATGCTATTTGGGGACCGCCCTTACGATAGTGCTTTTAGTCCGCCAAGTTACAAGACACCGGCCCTCGACAGCGAACCATATCTGTTGTTTTATCCACGTGGGACGACTTTGGTTGTTAGCAACGGCCGACTATATGCTAAAATTGGCTAAAGGTGCTAACACGTTGATGCAGATGTATATTCAGCTGTATCCTGGAAAGTAAGTAACACGGGCCTATCAGCATCCTCTATGTATTGTCATAGATACAAGAGCAATGACGGCGCCCTGTCGTGGTCGCAAATTTTGGTATGAACCAGTGGGAAGCTGCATGGCAATTTACCGCAATGCTTACGGGATCGTTTTTGGCCTTCGCTATTGTCACGGAAGCTTGAAAAGGGTTGAGGCAAGCAGCAAAAATTATCTCATTGACAAAATACCAAAGAAATGGGGTTAAAGACTCAAAGCAAGTCAAAACATGCGATCCCTCTTGACTTGTAGGTTCTGGTCTCTTGTTCGTTACACAGAGCGTCTGATGACTAGTCCGTAAATTACTACATTCCGGCGCAGCAAACGGCTGAACTTAAAGATGGACTGTCTCGGATCATCCATGCACTGTCATCCTGGTTACAATTACAATAGACATTGGTAGATAAGATAGCAGCGTCTTCACTGTAGGGTTTGGATGATGTGGATTCTGCACTATTCATTTGCACTATTTATGCGTGAAATTTGCATCCTTTCAGTGCAATTTTTGCTTACAGTAATGCAATTTTTGCTATAAACCGAGTTGCAAATTTTGCCGGGAAAAGTTAAGATTTTGCTTATCGATTTTGGGTACTCAAAGTGCAAAATTTGCCGCATTTTAGTGCAAATTAGCTAGCATAGACCCCTTATCCTTGGATATTGATCAACCGCTATTCACGCGTTCACGCAGTGTAAATCGAGCACACGGCAATATATTGAGGCAATGACTACAATACAGGAATGGTGTGGTTCTATATACAGTACACCATGACATGGGTAACACATAATGCCCTGGGAAGGTGGCGAAAAGGGGGAACAGGGAGAGGTGAGAGGTAGGATAGACCGAGGAGGGGACGGATAAGGCACCAACAGCACGTTGGTAGTACAAGTAAGGACGGGGCAGGGCACATATGTCAAGTAAAGTATGGGGTGCTTACTTTAGTGCGGCAGTCGCGAAATGTTCTAAGACAGGGAGAGTGCAGCGTCAGCACATGCATCAGGTGGGCAGCGAGAGCAGAGCACTTACCATTATGGTTTGATGAGTGCTCCGGCACAATGTACGGGCACGGAAAGGATGGTGACTGATGGAACGGGAAGGGGACGGAAAGGGAACGATGGGACGTGGAAGAAGGGAGAACTCGAGTGCGTCATAAGTGTCCACGCTTAGTCATCGATTCCCATCAGCACAGCCGATGCCACAATCGCGCTCCACGCCGCGAAGTCACAAAATTCGCATTGCTCTATCAGGTATCCAAATCTGATTTACACCATTTTGCTGCAAACCAATCGATTTGGGTACCGGTAGTGCAAATTTTGCATCAATTACTTTTCATAGTGCTTGACGTAAGATAGTAAATGATGGATAAGGGATGTGGCGTTGAAGTTAACGTGTTCGGCAGTGTGCCCTTGCCACTTTTATTCCTAAAACGAGCTATGAGGGGACATGTTGGTCCATGAAAACACAAGGCGTACCAAACATGGGCAAGGCGTACCAGAAAGCTGCGTACTAATCAATATGTTTCAATCGGGGGCTCAGAACGTGGTCCATACCCAGGACATATAAGTCGTGTCAGCGATAGAAGCACTCCTCAACACGAAATTCCACTGCCCTGTAAACAACAGAGCTGCACCCGTGTGATCTACGAAGATAACCAAACAACAAATATCTCTGTTATACATGGGTTATCTAGAGTGTATGTATTCGGCTCTTTCCCCAGAAGACATCTTTACTAAATAAAAGCCATATCATGTATTAGGTGCAATGTTCTGCTTGGTGTGGTACAGATTCGGTTAGTAGTAGTCTCTGTCTGTGGTTCTAGTTAGTTTTTTTACTCTCCTTTCATGCCATATCTAGCTCTGAGCATAGACCAGGAGGTACGTTCTTTGTTATGCTCAGTATTTATCTTCCATAGCTTGGATCACCTGTTTTAAACTCTCGTTTATCTTCGACAACGTGGGAGCAGGTGCAATTTGTATGGGTGAGCAAACTTCTAAGCAGACAAAATACCTGACGGTTACTACTTACTTCTGAATCAGGGAAACACATTTTCAAAACGTTCAAAGTTTCTTTATTGCACTGTAAGCCGAATCCGTGCAGATATTCACGCAACTCCTCTAACAGGATTGTTCCAAGAAGCTCAACTATTGCGGTCTTCTGTATGCCATGTGCGTGCACCATCTGAGATTATATAGTCAAGGACTGACTGCAAAACCCACTGGCAGTATCAACCTCGGTGGGTATTTTTACAAGTTCTTTGAATCCCATAATATTAATTCCTTGCCTCAGATCCGCTGTTGGTAAATCTAATTCATGATGTACGATCCCAATTATACTTTCAAATAGGTCCTGGTGTTGACTACAGGCAAACGTTCCAGACGTGAGCTCAGCTGC